TTAAATATATTTAAAAATTATAAACATAAACCCCACAATAATATTGTTAATTTTAATATTTATAATGAGTTTAAACATCAAACATCAAAAGTACTAATTTTTATTAAAAAAATATTTATTACAAGAAACATAAAAGTACAGTAAAAGATTTATTTTTTTAATAATTTTTTAAAATATTTAAATTCAATCTTAGAAATTAAATTTAACAAAAATGTAAATTTAATACATAAAATATAATTAATAGTATTAAAATGAATATAAATTATTAATAATTTAAATATGAATTCTAACATAGGAGATTCACGGCCACTGTGCCGCACTGTAGGCTATGGTACATATGAAGACATATATTTCGCATAATTCCATTAATGTCACTAACGACAATATGTATACACAAAACCTAGCCCCCATGTTTGCAATAAGGGTACAAATCATATTCCTCAACTGTGCAAACATGCGTGATTCTGTAGAAGGAACAGGATCCAACTGTTTTTGTAGAGAAACGACAAAGACATGTAACTTTTCTTTTTGTTTATCCTGAATATATAATCCATGAATTATAATGAATTTAATAAAAGATTCAATGCTATGCGATACTCAATGTTATGAAAAATAGATTAAACTGGATGGTCAGGCTAATTGAAATGATAATCAACTAAAGCAGAAAATCGACTAAGAACTTGCTAAAGTTGATTAAACTCAACTGGTCTTTTATTAAAAAAATATATATTTTGTTTTTTATTTTATATTTTAAATTATGTTTTAAATAAATAGAGAAACATATAATATATCTAAATATAAATTGCTATTATTCAATTATTCATAATATTTTTAATCTTATAAAACATGAAAAATGATTCTTTTATATATGAATTTATATAATTTATTTATTTAATATATTATATAATATAACTATATTTTTTTGTTATTACCAATTTAAATTTCTAATTCTACCACTGTTGAACCAATGAACTAAAAACTAATGTCTTTACTACTTTAATGTTGATCTAATTTAAAAACATCAAAACTATGTAAATTTAAAATTTTGTCAACTTAGAAGAACAGTTACAAATGATATTAAATATTTATTAGGTATTTTTATTTTTTGTCTAAGGTAGGGAGTTATGATCTATTTTTAAATTCAAAGAGTTTAAGGTTAATTTTTACTCATGATGTATAACTTTTGCTGGCCCTAAAAATTTTGCATGTGATAAAATTCTAATCCAAAACTTTTTGCTCAATAAATTGATTCTGTATGTGCGAATGTAATAGAACCTTGCACATATGCATGCTTCGTCTGGAGGATTAGATACCAGTAAATTAACATCCTTGGAAAGTTCCACCGTGCAAGGATGATTTCGACTTTGACAAGGTGATCATAACACCTAGTTAACGAAAGAATTTGTTAATCTAAAGCCACGTTTTCTCATTTTACAGTCTAACAAGCCATCTCAGTCTTATCTCTTAATTTTCTCACAATCCCTCTTAATGCGTTAATTCCCTTGCTATCTAAGACTTGAAACTCGTGCACACTATCAGAGATTGGACTCAACTAAAACAACACTATCAGGGACTCAATTCAAACTACACCACCTCCTCGACACTAAAATGTTTCGCTTTTATGCAAAGCTATTTCAACAAAAAAAAAATAATGTGACAGTACTCAACTACATCCACTAACTTTTTCATGTCAAACGTATCTCTTTTAAATGTCCAATATGAGAGCCATTCATTTATCTTCATTGGTCCTAGTGTTTGATATTTTGAACAGGCTTTATTTTTGGACTTATATGGGAGACTCGTTATAAGGAGAGGAAGAAGTAGAAAGGAGTGTGGAAAAGTCGTGGACCATGCATGTATGTCTGTTTGTGCTAAGATATAGCTAGCTATTAGAGTAGGTGAGGTGGACTTGGTAAAAGTTGTGGATAGAATTAGAGAGAGATAAGGACAAACATATGATGAAATTGTTGAGACCCATTTGCGGGTTGAAGATGGAAATAGGGCTTGTAACTGATAAAAGGTGGCAGACATATGAGTGAAGCACTGAAGCTAGTTGACCACAATAGACAGAGTCATCTCGTTGGATATTGGAAGATGAGGTGTTACCACTTAACACTTACCACTCTCTCGTCCTCTCTTCTTCTAGTGGTAGTGGCTATCGGAAATTTTTGGCAAATTGCAAGCTATAGTATTCGGGTTTATGGGCGGGTCCAGTATGCAAGAGTACGAAACCCAATTGCAATATATAGATATAGGGCTTATAAATACAATTTAGGGTTTAGGGTGAATAAGATACATATTTCCTTAATTCATTGAACTGTGTTGTGTAATGTAAGATATGACCCTGGGTCCCTTTTACTTTTATTATTATATAATTTTCTAAAGAAAAATTAGACCAGTAGTGATTTGAACACTTAATTATAGAAGATTTTAAAGTTATAATTATTTTTCTAAGAATGAAACTGTATAAATAATGAAAATAAAAATAGTTGGTATACAATTTTATTATCAACACATGGTTGCACTTGAATAAAATAAAAATGTATCAAGTTACGAAATATATAAATTTTACATTGATAATAAAGATTAACACGTTTAGAGTACATTTCTATGCGAAAATTTTATTTAGTAAACAAAGTATTTGTATTCGACAACTAGGAGATCTATAAAATTTACATTGATACGAAATATTAAAACGTGAAAGTCACGTATAATACTTCACATAGTCATGAGATCTTTGAGTTATTCAACCATCTATATATGATTAAATTTATTTCATTGCTATATAAGATTAACAATACGTGAATGCACATGCGTATACACGTATATAACTTTCTTCAAAGTACGATAATATTTGTATGAAATTTCCTTTGATAAACATGCGACTTTTTTTTTCCGTTTTGCAACACGTATTTTTTGAGCTTTTATATGGAATTAGATTAATTTTGTTTTTTATTTAATTATTCAATCAAAGAGATTTTACATTACATTAATTAATATTTTTAAGAAAAAAAGGTTTTAACTGTTTATGTTTTATTTTAATTTAATTTTAAAATTATTTTATACTTTTTTGAATTTATAAATATACGTATAGCGCATAATATTCTTGCTAATAAATATTAAAGATTAATTTGTCGTTTACTCCTTATCGTCATGTTTAATCACAGCCGCTTTCTCATTTCAGCAATTGTTAACATTTAGAGGCTGTATATAAAATAAGTTAACATTTAACAATTATTTTTATATAATTCAAAATTAAATGCACTAAAATTTCTAATTATGACCTATGAGTGGCATAGCATATGCCATTAGTCTATCAGACAGTGAGAACAGGTTTAGAGAAGAAAATTGAAACGCGTAAATGTTTTAATTTCTGATAATGACTTCTTATTAATGCATTTATTCAGAGATATCACATATCACCATCACTATAATTTATTTTCCTTGAAAAAAATTGGCATGTGAATCGGCTTAAACCTGATTCATTGCAGTCTGCGATAAATAGACCATAGGTTCGCATTTAAAAATGAACCCTTTTTTTTTTTCCAAAATTGCACATGTAGTTATTAGGAGCATATTTGTTTCCAATTTTTAAAAAGAGTTTTAAAAAAAAAACTAAAAATACATATATTAATAATCTCTAACAAGATACCAGCCATTATGAAATTTAGAATTTTTTTAGGAAAAAGAAAACAAAAACAGAAACAGATGTTCCATTCAACCGAGCGTGTAAGTTAATTGATGATGAAGCTGTTTGAATTTAATTTATGACTTTAAATTTAAGTTCAAGAAATGCAATAATATGAAAATTTTAAAAATTGAAGTTACAAATATGTTAATGTAAAATTTAAATAATATATACGAAGAAAATCAAATGTTTACAATGTGTAAGATAATTTATAGTAAAAGAAACTAATAAATTTGAACCTTATATTTTAGAACCAGGCAAGTAATGATGAATAAAATTAATTAAATAGGAAATTTGTGAGAATGTCAATATATATACTCGAAAAAAATTATCCTTTTCTGAGAGAGAGAAAAAATATTATCTAACTAGTATAGCAGACATATTTATTATTTAGTTATATCACAAGTAATACCTAATTTCATTAGAATCATCCTCAAAACAAGTAAAAATTGTTTTTTAAAGAACTGATAAGTACTCACATCACATATAACTAATATGTACTGATTGATACGTGATACGTACTATATATGGATATGTTTGACAAACTAAAACCAATATTAATGTTGAAATTAAGAAGAAAAAATATATGAAATAAAAGAGTGAAAAATGATGTAAATTATCATTGATTATTTTGTATGCAAGATATACATGAAAAAGGGAAACAAAAGAGCAACAACGCTTAAGAATTAGGAAAATGAATCTTAGAAAATCATTTAAAATATTATTTTTGGTCAATGATTTAAAATATTTTATGCATAATCAATGCTCGAAGCCAAAGCCCACAAGCAAGAAACAAGAAGATCTGAGATCACAGCTACACAGAAGAAAGCAAAGCACAACATGATGAGCTCATAAGTGCTCTTATTGTTTTTGGTGAAGAGCTCATTGGTTAAAAGGTTAATTGGGCCCTTTGGGGGAACCCCAGCTTCATTAAACACACCATATCAAGCGAGGCAAGTTTACACCTTGATCCATGGGATTTTGCGTACCAACAATACCTCTCCACCAAATGCAAGAACTTGGACATTGGGCTAAGAAAATTAAACAGATTATAATACTGATGGTAGATATACCCAAGAAAAAAGTACTGATATGAGCGCGTTTTCTTAACAAAAAAATAATGACAGGTTTTTAACTTGTAGTTAAGGATATATAACAAAAATATCAACTTATAATTTTGGGACATTAATTAAAAAACTAATATATTTTTTAAGAAAATGCAATAATAATTTCATTTTTATAGCTTTTAATATATCTTAATATGTTATTTAATTAAAAATTACAATTTTATAACTAGTTAATAAAATTTTAAAAATAAATAAATATTATATATAAATTTTATTACGCAACCTTAAACACATTAAAACAATCATTTTTAAACATCCCTCTCTAATTTTTCTTCTTTCTTTAAAATAAAAACACTCCAAAATTCCAAACCAGCAAAAGTGCATCTTCAAAATATAGTTTTACAAGATCTTTAACCTCCCTCCTCTGCTTCTCCAAACCCCCTGCACTCTGTCCACCCTGCCCCTTGATGGCAGGCGTTGACCTGGGGACTGGAGAGGATAATGCGTATGTTGCAGTGGTTGAACCATCCTTGACTCTTTTTCCTTTCTATTTTCATGCTTCAATTCACAATTTAATAGCATTCCATTTCTCTTTCACGATGGTAAGATAAATTAATAAATTTATGGTCTTGAACCACCACAATACTCATGATTTCGACAATTTCCACATCAAATGTGGCAAAATTACTCTCTTACATTAATTCCATTTTGTCTTAATACCATATAAAATAAAATAAAAAGAAGCAAATAAGCAATTTTGTCTAATTGTTGTTGCGAAATCAACTTTGTTAACAGGAGTAATAACATTTTAATAAATATAATTAACAAATGTTGCTAAAAACCTTAAATATAGTAGTGACAGTTAAACAGGGTAGTGTTATTTTCTCCACAGTGACTTTTTGTTTTTAAAATATAGTTTTGATGTGTTCATACTGCGCAATTCAGAGTCCGGTCTCCAACATATGTGCGGGATTGCGTACCACAACATACAATTAACACTAAACAGTAACAGGAACACATAATACAACAACTTGCATGCTGTATTATGATGAAACATGAAAATAGGAACAAAAACCAAAACAGGAGGCGACTAAGGTGCGCTAAGTAAAACAACCACAACTTTCTTATATACATGCACATGCAGATCACGGGTGGTTGTGTCTTTGTCTTCTTCACACGGATCTAACTGGCCATCACCAAACTTTGGGAAAGTCTTGCAGTTAGTTCCTTCCGCAGAATTTTGCCGGACGCTGCTTTAGGAATTGAGTCGGTGAAGAAAACTCTGTTGATTCTCTTGTAAAATACCACCTGCCACACCCCCAATTCAACTCATCATATATTATTACTTATATAAATACTAACAAATTTATCTTATTATTATTTTTATTTTGTCTATTAAACGAACCTTTAAATTGATACTTAATTTACATGCTCTTTAATTTATTTTCTCTTCTATTAACAAGAGGGGTACATGCAAATTTTCTCACTCTCTTTTGGAGAATAAATAAAAAGATAACAGGGAAGGACAAAACTCGAGCTGGTACTAACGAATAAATGCATGTGGAACGATACAGTCAATGGATGTTATCATTGAAGTCCAACGACGCCAAGTGCTTCACCAACTCAACCGTTCTTTTTTATTTAATAGATAAGTGCTTAAAAAAGTTTGCTTTGCTTAGTGGACTTAGGTGTGAAAAAGTCTTAAATAAGTGAAATATATTGAATGTACCTAAACGGCTAAACCAATAGCTCTCACTTTGTAATAAAAGAATATGTCATGTTAATTCATGTGTTAAAAATGTTAGTTAAAAATTTAACGAATAAATATTATTATTATTATTATTATTATTATAAATTGTGTTTAAAATGTATAAAAACCATGATAGAAAAGTATTTATTAATTTTTTATTTTAAACAATATTTTAAAAATATCTTTTAACTTCGCACGTTTCCTGTAAATTAGATTTGAGAATATCTTACGAGCCCGCAAGCTTAAATTAAGTACACATTTGATTTCCTCTATTTTGAAATTAATATATTTCATCTGCTTTATGAAAAACATTTTTCTATTCAGGCATGCCTTCAATTTGTCGGCAATTTTTTACATGATTGCAAACCATAACATGTGGAGTGTCGTATGTGACGGTGATCATAATCATAACAAGTGGAGATGAAAAAAGTGTATATTATATTTAGACCAAAGAAATGGCTAATACACTAAAAAAATCGTATCACTTGTTTAGATTTTAGCATTCCACTTATATTCATCCAGTGAATTAATTTATCAAGTTAGGATGGAATATCTAATAAAAGAATATAGAAAAAAAAATAAAAATGCCTGTAAAGTAAGAAAAGATTGAAAGAAAATATTATTTCAAAATAAAGTAAGGCCTAAAAAATAAAATATAGCATTACTATATGTGTAAACAAACATTTTATATATTTCATTTAGTTTTTTCTTTCGTTGTGAATAGTTAGTAAGTATACATGCATTGGTGGGACTGTCTTTATAGCAAAGCAAAAACTATATATTAAAGTTTATAAAAATATTAAATTGATCCTTAAAAGTCCTAGCTTAATTAAGTATTTAATTTTTACAAAAACTTACAAAACTTCACTTCAATTCTAATAAAAAAAAGTTTATTAGAATATAATTCTTTTTTTTTTGTTTTTTTAATTCTTCTAACTGTCATAATTCATTGAAATAACATTAGTTATCAACTTTTAATTCAAAGAGTTAGCTAAAACAACTAAAAATTAAAGTACAAAAGAAAAAAATAGAGATAACTTTTAATTAAGCATAATAATATTTCGTTACTATTATTTTGGTTCAGAGAACTACCTGTTGTGAAATGTATTGCTTTATTTCATCCTCGGTGATCGTAGAACCATTTGATCTTACTACAAATGCAACTGGAACTTCACCGGCAACTTCATCCTTCAAGCTGAAACCAATGGCGATATTAATATTAGTTAATTTTAGACATTATTGATAACTATAAATATATAAACAAGAGGAAAATTACTGAAATAAAAAAATTCATATTTAGAAAACAAAAAAGTCAGGAAAAAAAAAAGTTGAAGATTGGACTCTGAAAAATATTGGGCAACCAACTTACGGTACAACAGCAGCATCAGAAATGCTTGGGTGGGCAATCAACAAAGCTTCGAGCTCAGCAGGAGCTACTTGGTATCCTTTGTATTTGATTAGTTCCTTTAACCGATCAACAATGAAGAGTTCATCATCATCGTCGATGAAACCAATATCACCTGTGTGTAGCCATCCTTCTTTGTCTATAGTTCTCGCTGTAGCCTCTGGGTCATTTAGATATCCTGACCAATCACAAATCCAACGTAGCATCTTTAGGGAAAATAATGTAAAATGTGTTCATACTAAGAAAGAATATTGTTTTTCCTTTTTTTTGGTAACATATCACATTGACAAGACTTAGGGTAATTAGGATTACATTAAATTTAGGATTTTAAACTTATACATATATTTTTATTTTTGACTGATTAAATTATGGCCCAAATGAAAATTCTATTCACAGGTGTGAAGGATAATTAGTGCCATACGTCTCATATATCATAATAGTGACTACTTGGACCCGGCAATGAGGTCACTCAGAGAAAAACAAGAAAATGAGGTAGGTGAGGATGTGGACTTTCCATCAAGGGATGGATGAACGACCAGAGATTTAAAAGCAATGTTGGTATGACGATGACGTTCAATTTCAACTTACCCCTGCAAGTTTCCTCGCCAATCATCTGGTTGAGGAAACTTCTGTATTTCAACACTTTCAAGCTACCATACACGAGGACCATGCAAAATGTACACTTATTTTAAACTATCTATGATATTTTGATAGACCATGGATTTGACCATAATGATCCAGAATGATCGAGCTGAAATTAAGTTAACCTGATTTGAATATTTGTAAATTATTTTTAAAGAATTATAGCTATATTTTATAATTAAAAGTATCCTTCATTATCATAAATATACAAAAATGAATTACGTTATATGAAAAATCACTTAAAAAAGGGAAAGCAAGCAGATCCTTATATCTTAAAGTAGGTCTAACAAATAATTAGTTGAAAATTGTAAAATTAAAAAATATTAAAATTTTAAGCTGGAAAATTATTGGAAAATATCAAGTTAATTCATTTATGATATATCCTAAGCATAATAATTAACCTTATTGAAGTCCATCATTGTCAATGGTTTGGTGGGTAGGGTCTAAAGTCGCTTTACGTTTTTGACAGCAGAACTTCTGTGGACTACACACATTTTAATTGGCATGCGAAATCCGGCTGTGGTAGTACACACATTATTGTCCCCACATCGTCAAAAGCAAAGGATTTATAATAACAACTGAATCGCCCTCCCAATAGCTTTCGCTCCAACTCCACCAAACACAACCACCCCACATAGACTTGTGCAAACAATAAAAAGAATAAAAAAATTGTCTCTCAATTTTATTTATAAAAAAATTAAAAATTTGAAGCAAGTATGTTAATTTAAAAATATAGAATTTCAAATAATTTTTAAAATTATAAATATAAATCTAAATACATAATTTATTTTAAAAATAATACAATTGAGAGTTAAAATTCAATTGACATTATTATATTTAAAATACTAATATAATATTTTCATAATTAAAATTATATATAAAATCAATTATGTATATCAAAATTTAAAATTTATTTATATTTTAAAGACATGTTTCATGTTAAAAATAAAATAATATGTCAAAGTGCGTATTTATTTTTTATTTATATAAAATTTTATAAAGTTAATTTATATAATTAAAACAATTCTAACTAATAATTAAATTGACTCGTATTTTATAAAAAATATATATTAAATTATACAAATGTTTAGGTTTAATAGCTGATATAGGCAAATGTTTGACACTGAAATTATAAGGCATTAATAATCACGACATTTCTTACGAACAGTGGGCTTGCTCTTGTTTACGTTTAGGGTCGTCCAAATATGAAAATGACACTTTGTTTTTATATTTAATATATATATATATATATATATATATATATATATATATACTGTATTAATTTTTAAAAGTTAAAATATCAAAGTTCTAAAAAGTATTAATCAATTCTAACCTTTTTTTTATATCTCGGCTTATTCTGATATCTTATTTACAGTTTTTTTCATGTTTCTTTTTTTTCTCTTTCTCTTCTATCTTTTTTTCCTTTGTATTTATCTCACACAATATCAATGCCTTTTTAGTTTACACATAATAATACTCAGCAAAGACAACATCTTGGCCCTGCAATGAAAGTACTATCTCAGCTAATTAATATAACTAATGTTTTCGTATGTTTATACGAGTGAAGATCCTCTGAATACAAGAAAGGTCAAATCACATAAAATTATACTGTTTATAACTTATACCCTTGTACGTTTGGTTTAATTATCGTTGATAATTATTATTGCTTCAAACATTTCCTGCATAAATTCCTGAATATCCCGTGTCTTATTTATTTCCCTTTCAAAGTCTAATATCAAGCCGTATTAACAAGAAGGCAAACAAAACATAAGAAAAAAAATGGTGATAATAGAAATCTATCATGCTAAAGATTATGAATAACTACTTAACGAGGGACCACCATGACAATATTGTTTTGTGATGAGTGCATATAATGGATATGAATGCATATAAGAATACCTTTCATAACCTTTGTCCCTCTTATGCAAATTTCGCCGGCTTTGTTTCTTGGAAGGGAAGCACCCGTTTCTGTATCCACGATTTTCATCTCCGCGTTTCTTACAACAGTTCCACACGCACCTGATTTTATCTTAAACGGCTCTTTTGCAAATGCCAAGCTAATGGCAAGTGGTCCTGCTTCTGTCATCCCATATCCCTGTGCATCAAAAATTTATGTTATCTTATTTTCTTTTCTTTGTTTTTTAGTTCAAAAGAATAAGAATAATTATTTTGTTTCTCGTATCTATGTGGCCTCGTTCAAACGAGATAATAATAATAATAATAATAATAATAATAATAATAATAATAATACTTAGTTCCTATGCTTTTTGCCTGTTAAAGTTTAAAATCCAAAAGTTAAAATTACTCATGCAATTTCAGAAAGATATAATTTGTGTGATATACGCGGGTGGCGGGTTTAAACTTTTTCTTTTCATTTATTTAAAAGTATAATTAACTTTTTTCGATATATGAAGTTTAAGAGTAACGGAATAAGGAACGATGCATCAGTGTAAAGCGGATAAATAGTAGTTTTACGAGTAACTTATATTCATGTCACCTAACTCTACGAACATGAGTTCAAACTTCAAACTTAATCTTATTTCTTCAATACTCTTTAAAGAGTTTATAGCCTAATAAATAAGAGGATTCATTATTTAATTTATTTTAAAGAAAAATAAATTTAAAATATTATTTTTAGTCTTTAAGAATAATTATAAATAATTAAAAGTGATGAATATTGTTAAAAAAATCAGAATACAAAAGTGTAATAAATATTAAAAAATATTTTGTTATTTAAAAATGAATATGAAATACAAACTTGGTCGAGTCTGAAATGATGCTTGTTACGGAAAAACTACTAAAATTTCGTATCAAAGCGAACACTAATTTAAAGAATATATACTAACAACTAAAGTTCCATAATAATGACACTTTGCATAAAGAATAACGTGTCATATCAAAATGTAAACGTGATGGTGTTTATATTATTCTAATTCCTTTCTAAATGTTAATTTATTCTCTTGCCTAAAAGATTTGCATGTATTTAAATGTTATCCATAAATCAACATTTAAATGTCCACGGTTTTTTTATACAAACATTATTTTTATGAAAAGAAATTGAAGTGTTTCGTCATTATTAGCATAAACAAGGGCGTGAAGAATCTGCATGTCACAAATTTTATTTGTTTGTAATTAGCTCTTTTTAAATTAGAATATGCATACAATAAAAAAACTCATTTTTCTTATGATTTCATATTAATTTTTTTAATATATTATTAATTATACGTTCAATTATTATCATTTTTACCTCAATTTAATTGCCTTAAATCAATCACGCGTGAACTTTTAAAAAAGTAAATCTCAAATTCTCCATTTAATGATTGATTATTTTCTTTTTTTAAAGAATAGACGGAAACCTGTCCAAGTGTGGCGTGTGGCAATCTAGCCTTGACAGCGTCTTGAAGCTCAACGCCCATGGGTGCCGCACCAGTGACGACGGCGCGAATAGACGACAGGTCGTATCGAAACGCTTCTCCATTCTTAACCAACTCCAAAACGATAGGCGGCACCAACGACGCAACCGTAACCCTATGCTTCTCAATCAGCTTCAACAGCGTAGTAATCTCAAACTTCTGCACAATCAGAACCGCAGCACCAGCACGAATCCCACACAGCAAAATCGAATTCAGCGCATAGATATGAAACATAGGCAACACACACAGTAACACATCTTCCCTATGCGTATACTGGTGCGGGTTCTCACCATCCACCAACTGCGCCACCGTCGTTACCAAGTTTCTATGCGTCAACATCACTCCTTTGGGTAACCCAGACGTGCCAGAAGAAAACGGAAGCGCAACGACGTCGTCTGGGTTTATCTTAACGGCAGGGGCTTCCGTTTCGTTAGCGTTAGTTAACGTCGAGAAATGCATAACGTCGTCTTCTTCCGTCGAATCAATGCACATCACCGTAACGTCGTTGTTCTCCGCGAAACTCTTTACTTTTTCCACGTACGCGGCCTGCGTTATGATGAGTTTGGATTTCGTCGCCGTTATCTGTTTGGCAAGCTCTGCCGGCGTGTAAGAGGGGTTGGCGGTGGTGATGACGGCGCCGCGGTGGGAGGCGCCGAGGAAGGCCAGGGGGAACTGGATACAGTTGCGGAGGAGGATCATGATGACGTCACCCTGACGGATGCCGATGTTATTGAGGCCGGCGGCGATTCGCCGGGCGGTGAGGTCGACGTCGGCATAGGTGAGGGTTTCGCCGGTATCGGCGTTGATGAGGCATGGGCGGTTTTGGAATTGGGAGAGGTTTTGGAAGCAGTAAGAGTGTAGAGGGAGGTGTGTGGGGATGGGTATGTCGGGGAGTTTGGAGCGGAAGATTAACTCTTCTGAAAGAGGTGCCATTTTTGAGAGAAGAATAAAATTTTGGAGTTTGCTTGAAGATGGTGGCTCTACGTACGCAGTTATATAGGTGTATCAGCTGCTTTAGGTTGCATCAGAAGTTGTTGAGACAGCGACAAGTACATAGACACGTTTGAGTGAGGAGCAGAGTGTTCTCCTTCAAAGGAAATAAAATTGAATGGAGTGTTTTGCATGCCCACCATTGTTTTTGGAAAAGCTACTTCGTCTTTCGCGAGAAAAATAATAAGAAAAAAAGTTAGGTGTAAACGTTGTAAATGTTTTTTTCAATTAAAATGTTATTTTAATTATTAATATCAGTCTTGACTATGTATATCATTAATTAAAATTTTAGTTAATAAATAACATAGAGGTAATTATTATAATGCATCTAAATTTTATTTAAAAATAATATTTTGATCTAATCTTAGTCTTGGTAAAAAATTACTATCTCTGTCTTATTTATAAAAAGTAAACATATAATTCAATAAATTTAATAAAAATAATTTATTTAAATTATACTTATATAAATAAATAAATATTTTTAGATATTATTTATAATTATAATTTCATTTTAATAAAATATTTATATTTAAATTTATTTTGTATTTATGAAAAAATATTTTATTTTAACTACAAAATAATATAAAAATCACATACATCATTGTATTTAATTTATAATTTTAAAAATAATTATAATATTAAATTATAATTTTTAATATGTAAAGCATTATACATGAAAAAATAAGAAGAAATCATAAAATTTAATGTAATTCAATGCGTTGACATAAAAAATATTGCATAAAATAAGATATAAATTATATAATATTTTTTATTAAAGATTTTAATACAATTAAATATATTAATACTATTTAATAGATTATTTTTAATAAAAAATTCACTATATATAATTTATTATCTTATATAATATTATACAAATTTAAAAATATAAATAAATATTATATAATTAATGTGTTTATTTTATCAACACAAATTTGATCATAAGTAATATTTTAATTTTTTAACAATTAATACACTTAAAATTATTTTTTATTATTAAAATAAATAAAATTTAACAACTGTTTCTGATAAATAAAATGAAAAATATAATATTTTAAATGCATTTGTGATTCAATACTTAAAAAATTTATTTATAAATAACTTCCATGTATATTTGTTGTTTGCATTGATTTTTTCTGATGAACAATCAAGTGGTCGCATTCAATTTCGATCATTTCGAGCGTACTAAGTGTAATAATTTAAAGTTTCCTGACAAAAATATACTGTATATTTATTTATGAAATATAAACTCTTGTTGTTTTAAAGAGGAATTAAACTTTCTATTACTTAAATTAACATGCGGTGATAGTTAGGTAAAGTCAAACTTAAGTATTTCAATTTGATTATATACTATATTTTTTAAATTATATATTATCGTACCATAAATGTGAACTATTTAAAAATATTATAAATTCATCCTTTTTTATAATATGAAATATTTTAATTCACATATTATCTGTCGATGTAGTATATTGAAATTTTAAAAATTAGTTTAATTTATGACTATTTTAAATTCAATAATATGATAACTTACATTGTCCAAAAAAGAACGACATTTTAATCACGCATAGCCTATCAAAATTTAAGTTTTAAATAAAAATTAATTTTAAATTGAACCTGAATCTATGCAATAGCTTTTGGGAGAGTAATATTTCAACTTTTAAAAAAGAATTATTAAAAACGCAGATTTTTTAATGGAGAATTCATTAATTCTTTATGATTAAGGTCTTTTCTAAAGATAATTTCTTTACCTTTGAACTTATTTTTCTTTATTTTTTAAAAATATGATTAATAAATAAATATTTTAAACACATTCCCGAAAAAAATTATATATGTAATAAATTATATAACATGACAAGAAGAGAAATATCAAAATAAATATTTTTGTTAGTATTTATGAGTGAATAATAATCAAGATAAATAAGAATAGAAAACTAATTTATTTCTCTAACTTTTCCACCAATTTGTTCAAAACTTTAACATGTGTAGGTCTTATATAAATGATTTGGCTTCCACTAATTTTTGACACCAAACCATAATAAAATAAAATCTTATCTAATATCTTTTGATCCATTTTTTTCTTTTTGTCAGGTTTCTTATAACACCAACCATAGTGCGACCGTTACGGTAGTCACTGTTGTCGTCTTTTCCACAACTCACCTACCCCTGCTTTTGTTTCATCCATGTCATCCTCGTAGTCATAGTAGCGTCACTTCTTCGTCACGTATACCTCTATACACTATCCAAAGCTAAACTATGGGCTTTTTTTGTCTGAACCACCATGGGCTTGTTACTTAAGAGGTTAAACCTAGGTCATAGCTAGAGTGCAAGACCAATCAAAGCTTATCATATTCCTAATCCTCCAGTTGCATACCCAAACCTTTGCGTACTTGCTTATACCGTTCTGACCAAAACAAAAAGTCTGTACCACTGCATTACTTGCCACACTCTTTCTGTTTTGGAGCCCAGTATCTGGTTTTTTTGGGCTTAGAGCTCAATTGTCCCGCTATTCTTAGATCCAAGCAAGTTGTACTGTTGTTCCAAAAATATTATTGTGGATCCATGTTTTCTTGTCCTTTTCTTTATATAGTTAGATTCTAAAAACATTAATCCTAAATAATCTATTAGAAAATATTGCATTAAAAAAACTGCAATGAATTCGCTGAAAAAAATTAAGATAACTATCATGTAAAGCACAAGACTTTTTAATATAAATTATTATAATTGTATACTTTATCTTCTAACACTACCTTTCAATATTTTTTAAAAAAGTCAACTCCGTATATCATAGGCATAAAAAAGAAAAAAACGAGTGAGGCCTGGTATATTATACTGCTTTATGTTTCCAGTGCAGCTACTACAGCCAATGAGCTATTAATGATGTGTGACGCATGCTTCGGCTTCTAAGGCCTTACAGGTAGGTTCTTTTGGTTGCTTTCTTCTTGTTTCCGTTAACCATCCAATCGCGGTTGTGCGAGGCATTTTCTCTCCCTGAGATTATCGGAATTTCAAAATTGCATTAGGCTTTTGGCGTATTTGAGTCGACTTAATGGATCTATATACAACTTTCCTAATGTGTATTGGTTTCGTTCACAAAATTTGAATTTAAAACATCAGTTAAGGCTGTAATAATAATAAATAAATAAAAAAAGAGCTGAACAGAAACTAAGCTCTTTATCACATATATATATATTGGTCTTTACACATGCTTTTATATTTAAACTCAAAAGCAATAACTTAAAAGTTACACACATTTACAGGGATATATTCCACTGAAGCTCCATGCTTCGTTAGAACATTTGGATTTCAAACAAAACAATAAATAACACACAAGAAAAACTGGTTCTTTGGGTCTTCAAATTAAAAAAAAACTACTAGTACTAAATGCTTTGTATCTGGTGCTTGGTGGAGTAGCATTGAGTACAGAATGATTCAATTGCGTTGGGCACCCACTGTCAGAACGAGAGTGGGCCTTGTGATAGAACTTTCAAATTATGCCTAAACCGGAAGCCCGGCCGCAAGCCTTTCTCTGAGGTCTTTCCGCAAGATCTTTCCCGAGGGAGACTTTGGAATTGAGCCCACAAAGAAAACCCTATTGATTCTTTTGTAAAACACAACCTGCCACATATATACAGAAAATTTGGTAGCAAAATTAACACAGGAGGATAAAGTACAACTTTTGAAGGTTAATGTTTTTTGGATGTTGAAAGCCAATAAAAATACTTACATGCTTTGAGATGTATTGCTTGATTTCATCCTCGGATATCTTAGAACCGTTCGATCGTACAACAAATGCGACTGGAACCTCTCCAGCGACTTCATCTTTCATGCTGAAATAAATGATCATTAAAGTTTGTTCAAAAAGAAAAACAAATAAATAAAAGGAGTGAATCAGAATAAATATTTGTAAGCTAGCTCTACTAACGATACAACAGCAGCATCAGAAATGTTTGGGTGAGCAATTAGCATGGCTTCGAGCTCAGCTGGAGCCACTTGAAATCCTTTGTATTTGATCAGCTCCTTCAACCGATCCACGATGAAAAGCTCATCATCATCGTCAATGTAACCAATATCACCAGTGTGCAACCATCCTCGTTTGTCTATAGTTCTTTCTGTGGCCTCTTCGTCATTTAGATAGCCTAACCAAACATGGCATGGCATGGCACAACTAAGTACATCTTATTCGATTGCCTCAGTCCTTCAATAATTTGTTATGTATATATATATATATATACACAAAGCAAAAATTGGTTTTGTGGTGTTTCTTGGTGAATGTCTGGTTTTGATTAAATATTCCCCACAAGTATATATTATACGTATAACTTCGATTTAGTTTAAATTATCTTGATTTCCAAATTTAAATTTAAAAATTATTCTATTGAATGCAATAAAGAAGTATTTATCTTTATTTTATTGGCTTTGATCTTTTATTCAATTTTAAAAACTTACATTAAATGTATTAATTTATAATACTGTAATTAAACTTTTTTATTAACCGTCTACATCATATAATTCAAATGTTTGAAACATATATGAAAACACATTTAAGCAATAATGTTAATGACTGCGTTTTTTTTTTCAATAATAATTTATAAAAATAATGAGAAAGCTACTGATTTCAGTATTTGGGGAGTTAAATTTAGTTGAAAAAAACTTTTAAGGTGTTTTTTATAATTTATTAAATTTATCTTTTTTATTTTAAAATACTAAAATAATTTCTTGAATTTTTTAAAATGAATTCACTTATAATATTTTTCAACAAATTCGTAATTAAAAAGCAATTCTTGTTTAAAAAAACATGTTTTTATATGTATCTCTAAATGAATTCAAAGTACATGCGATTCTTACTTCTCTGACTTTTCTAAATATAACTACTGTTAAAGAAAATAATCTTAAACAAGTTATAATAGTTGTTTCAAAATACGTATTAAATAATTTTAAAATAATTTAAAATTTTGTAGAAGATATATATAACATGATTTAAATAATTTAGAACATAATTTTTGATAAAAAAAAATATTAAATAATATGAGTATCAATGTGTTGGTATCGATCAGTATAATTAAATTCCTTTTACGCATATATAAAATATTATATTTGATATGAATCACAACTTTAAATTAAAGTACTATATCGCGTAATCAAATACGAGATGAGTAAGGAATGCGAAAGAACTCAAAATGGCTCACCTACCACTACCAGTCATAAAGACTGGTTTTTGTAGGTTCTCCGCGGGCAAATAATTATCAAATATGGATGAAATAGTAGTTAACATTAGCAAGTAATACAAGCCGATAGGTCATGGGAAACACACGAGAAAGACTTAGTTGATAGTTTAACATTAGCAACTAATAAGATCTCTTTTATTTATTTGTGAGTAAAGAAATTAAAAGGAATAACAATAAATATAAATAAATACCTTTCATGATCTGGTTGCCTCTGATGCAAATCTCACCGGCTTGATTCCTGGGAAGTGAAGCGCCGGATTGAGGGTCAACGATCTTCATCTCCGCATTCCTTACGACGGTCCCGCACGCACCTGATTTCACCTGCAACGGCTCCTTCGCAAATGCTAAGCTCATTGAAAGTACGGGTCCTGCTTCTGTCATACCGTAACCCTGCATGCATCGCACAATCATACATCATTATTAACTTCTTCACCCCTCGCCATCTTTACATTCTCTCTGTTGTCATCGTGAGGGCACTTTCGTGGTGTTGTAGCCCCTTCATCTATAATGCGCCAAGTCATATACGTATAATACGCCGAATTTATGAATGTATAATACTCTTCATACAGTTATGCATGACTCTCTATTTTTCCCTTTAAAAAAAGTCATCTAATCGTTTTCTGGTAGTTAAGATTTTCACTTTTGGATAGAGCTTATTAATTTCGTAATATTAATAATTTTTTAACCAAAAACCTTAAACATTAGGTGTTTGCATTTTTTAAATAATGATTACCTGTCCGAGGGTGGCGTTAGGAAGCTTAGTCCTAACAGAGTCCTCAAGTTCTTTTCCCAAGGGTGCAGCACCGGACATGAGCATTCGAATAGACGACAGGTCATATCGCTCCACATGGGGGCTCTTAGCAATGGACAAAACGATGGGGGGAACAAGCGGGGCAACACTCACCTTGTGTTTCTGGATCAACTCCAGCAACGTAACGATCTCAAATTTCTGCACGATCAAAATGGCAGCCCCAACTCGAAGCCCACACAGCAAAACCGAGTTAAGCGAATAAATATGGAAAAGTGGGAGCACGCACATTACCACATCCTCGCTCCCGAGCCACAGGTTCGGATTCTCTCCGTCAACCTGTTGCGCCACGCTCGTAACTAACCCCTCGTGCGTCAGCATCACCCCCTTCGGAAGTCCCGTGGTCCCAGACGAATACGGCAGTGCAACGACGTCGTCTGGGGATATTTTAACTGCCGGGATTTCGCCCTCGTCAGCCTCCGTTAACTCCGAGAAGTGCAAGTAACCTTCCGGCGCCGTGTCAATGCACATCACTCTAACGTCATTGTCTCTCGCGAAATCCTTCACTTTGTCCACGTAGGACGCTTGCGTTATGATTAGTTTGGATTTCGACGCCGTGGCTTGTTTGGCTACCTCCGCCGGGGTGTAGAAGGGGTTTGCCGTGGTGATGATGGCGCCCCGATAGGAGGCGCCGAGGAATGCGAATACGAATTGGGGGCAGTTCTGGAGGAGGAGGAGGATGACGTCGCCTTGTGCGATGCCGAGTTTGTTGAGTCCGGCGGCGACTTTTCGGGCGGTGAGTTCTACGGTGGCGTAGGTAAAGGTTTCGGCGGTGGTGGCGTTGATGACGCATGGACGGTCTTTGAATTGGGAGAGGTTTTGGAAGCAGTAGGTGTGGAGGGGGAGATGAGTGGGGATGTAAATGTGGGGAAGTTTGGAACGGAAAATGAAATCGTCGTGAAGTTGTTCCATTGGTTGTTGTTGATTTGGTCGCTGCAAAAGGTGTGTGAGAGGCGTTTTGTTCATATGTTGTGTTGTGTGGCTTTGTGGTTTCTTGCGTGACGACACTCTCTTGCTGCTTTTGTTGTAGATTTGGTGAGGAAGGGGGAGTAACAATGGAGCTGGTAGAAATTTAGTTGAAGCCCATTCACTTTTTATGTTTTATGATTTTTTTACTAATAATTTCTTTAAAATATTGACCTTTTTTTAAATTGAGTTTATAACATTATCAATAATAATTTTTTATTATACTTATATATTTTTTAAATAATTTTTTCAGTTAAAATACTGAAGTTAGCAAAATTAAATTTTTAATTAAAAAGTATTATTAATGAATTTGCATTATAATTTTTTAACATAATTTATTTATTATTTTTAAATTGATATTTCAAAATATCCATTAATTCATTCTATTTTTTAGATTTATTACACACTTCTTTATTATTTTTATTGTTTTATATATTGTATCTATTTTCTAATATATTCTAATTTATTGTTATACTTTTATATTTTATCTATATGCACGTGTCTATATTCTAATTTGCATTCCCCGTGATCTATTTAATTAAATTGATTATATTTTAGGTAATATTTTTAATGATTTTTAATATTTTATAAAAATATATTAAATAAAAATTAAGGTATTTAACATATTAAAAACATAAAACTTTGTATTGCTATATAATAAATATTACATTTGATCATAAATATTAAATATTTTAAACTATTTTAAAATAATTAAAAAATATAGTTAACTTCGTTAACGGTGTTAAATTTATCAATAGATTGAATATTTTTATACAATTAACTTTAAAATTACTATAACTAATTGACTTTTTCTTTTTCTATTAAATTAATTAATTTCCCTTTATTAAGGATATTTTTACATATAAAAGTAAGTAATAACAAAATTAACTTATAATGGGTCTTTTAAAAAATGACGAATTCTTCAAAAGAAATCTTACGTTTGGAATCAGAAGTAGTAAAAATCTATTTTTGTCAAATAACAATAATAAGATTTTATTTAGTTTTTTAATTTATTAATTTTTTTAATAATTTCATACTTTTAAGATATTAAAAATATTTTTTATCTAAATTTTCTTATAAAACATTGAAAAAATTAATAGGTCGATCCTATAAAAGAATAACATCATTTTTATTAATTAAAATTCAGATTATGGAACATTTAATATACTTTATTAAAGTCATATATAGGAAATTAATTTAATTAAATATTTAACAAAAAATTTCCATAAAATAGACCAAAATAAATTTTTAGCAATTTTATCCATAAAATATGAGTATAATTTTAATATATTATTGATGAAATTTATTAATATTATTAATCAAATACAAATCATATTTTATTTTCTACTAAATTATTTTAAAATTGTATTTTAGGAAAATCAAGTACGTTAAAATATTTTTCCACTAAATATTACTCCTACCTAAAGATATTATTTAATGTTTCAAGTTGAATTAATTAAAATATTATTTGGACACTACTTTGGAGTTAATGGTACTAATAGACGACACAGATCACCTACCACCGTCGTTGCTTTGGTATGTAGCGCTTCATCTTCTACTGCGGTTCACCGCTTACCGTTTTATGCAAATAATAATCAAGACTTAAATATAAAAGTACTTTTCTGCATTTATTTGTGATTTTGTTTTTAGTTTTTATAATTTTTTTATATTTTTAACTTTAAATATGTCATATTTTTTATTTTTTTTCCTTCTCTTCAATGGACGGATGACAAACAGAACAAACGGAACTTTAATGTTTTTATTTTTAATCTTTACATTTATATGCATTTTTGTTTTTAGTACGTTCTTATCAATTTACGTTTGCCTCTTTTTTCTCCGTATATATTGCTCTAATGCATCAGAAAAGCATATGCTGTTGTTGTACACACGAAATTTGGTTAGAAGTTTTTGGATATAACCTCTCTATAGAGAATTTGGTGCTGAAATTCTGCAGCCCCATCTAACGATTCAAATGGAAATCTTCGTGGCAAATCTCTGTCAGCTCTGTATCAGAATATGCACAAGATAGATGATAGCTCAACATGCAATTATAACACCAGAACTTATAATGGTAATTTGATATTGCTTCTTCACCTTTAAATAATGCACCTCGTTTTGTGTTTTTCTCTTACGGACACTTAAGCGAAAACTTACTCAATTTAAAGAATATTTAGTGCTTAACTCATTCAATACATGATATGCTATTATTGGCTTCCCCAATGCTCAAACTAAAAGCTTCTGTTTCACATATACAGTAAAAATGGTCGCTGAGAAAATTGAATGTGTAAACATTGTTCAATACAGGGTATTGAGTCCTAATAAATGGTACTTGCTGTATCGATACAGGGATGGAGGCAACTCGCTGATCTAATCGATGCAAGGAATCACGTTCTAAAATTTTGGATTTCTTAAATTACTTTTACTTCGACACTACTAATTATAATTTTTTACTTTTTTACTTTACATATTTTTTCATTTTAAAAAATAAATCATATATTACTTATGTCCACATTCACAAAAAATTATAAGTAACTAACCATTCTCGTATCTAGACTAATTTAATGAATAAATACCTATTTATAACTAATATTTTTTATGAATATCAATCGATTGAGTCTGTTCAATTGTCATTCTAATATATTTACATGTGGGCCGAAGGCCTGAATGTATATTACCTGAATTTGGGCCTACACTAATGTGCAAAGCCTCAGAGTTGTTTCTTCTTTGTGGATCTGTAGCGTTGAATACACAAAAAACGAAGAACCACATTTCGACCAAAAAAATTGTTTTTTTATTTTAATATGCATCATGATATTTTTAACTAAAACAAACGGATCTCAACCTAAATACACGCATTGAAGATTTGTTTGGATAAAAAGAAATGAACGAAATTAAAGAGAATAATTAAAATGAAAATAGTTAGTGACTACTGTGACTTGATTCAGAGAAATTCTAACAACGGTTTTTTTTTTTCTAACAATTTCTTCGGGCTTGGATAGAATTTCATGATAGCTCAACTAATACATAGTAAACCGTTGCATAATTAAAACACGTAGTATACCTAAGTTATATCCAATAGGACTAATATACAGGAGCGTTTGCTAATCAACGTAGAGTGTCAAAATTATAAACGAGTGTTCTTTAATTTTTTCTAAATAAAGAAAAAAACAACAATACATTTTTTTAACACAAATTATTACCGAGTAATTTTTATTTACGTCCCACAAAATAACTTGGGTTTATTTTTTTAGTTAGTAAAACATATAACATTCACTAACAATAACATCTATTGAAAAATGTGTTAAAAACTACTTTTTTCGATATTTTTTATAAGAAACAAATGATTAAATCATTAGAATTAAGAAAAGTAATTAAGTATATTATGCTTTTTATAAATATAAATTTTATTTTAAAAATATCTATGATATTAAATAATATAGTTAATAATTTGTATATTCAATAATACTAATAAAAGAAAGATATAAAAAAAATTTAACAATTAATACATCTTGAATCTATCATTTATTTTTTATAATAAAGATTAAGAAAATATTCTATTTTATTTCTTATAAAAATAATCGAAAGAAGTAAATTGTTATTAAAATTTAATTAAAATGCATAAATAATATGTTAAAATTGTTAAATTTTATAATAATTAAGTTAAAATTTATATTGATAATATATTTCAATCATCCAACAACGCAATTTTTTTTATAATTATAATATATAAAACTTAAATTATTATTATTCTTACTCAATAGCCTAATGAAATTTGGTCAATTAATATTTAACTTTTTCAAATTTAAGAGCATGATATAAAATTATTTTTTATAATAACAATAAAGTGAAAAAATTTCACTATTATATACTTAACAACATAATTATTTTATTTTTTTATTTTGATATCTTCTCCCTCTATTTTTATTTCACTCGATGATTTTATACATAATAAACTTTTTTTTTCTTCCTCTTTTTTCACGTTGTACCTTTTTACGTATATTAGTTAACATATTGTTTAGGATAAGGAAAATTTTCTAAGTTAAAAATCATCTTGAGGGAAACTACATTTCAACAAGTTTTGAGGGTCAAGAAAGAGTCAAAAAATAGGCCTAAACATAAGGGAATATTGAAAGATTATCTAAGACCTTTAGTTTTATTAAAAGGAACACATTTCAAACTATTTTAGGAGATTTTTGTCACATTGTTGGTTTTTTTCTAAGCTGGACAAGAAAATATTTTAAGTCAACATGATTAAAAGCTTTTTTGAAGAGTTTTTGACAAAGACCCAAGTCCCTGATACTCAAAACTGCTTGAAAAGTACGACTGACAATAAAATATTCTAAGTCCACAAAACTAAAGGCTTTTTCGAGGAGTTTCCAAGTCACTGACACCCAAAACTGCTCGAAAAACAGGACTGACAAGAAAATATTCTAAGTCCACAAAAACTGATGGCTTTTTGAGACGTTTTGAGGAGTTTCCAAGTCCCTGACACCCAAAACTGCTCGAAAAACAATAAGTGATCAGAAAATATTCTAAGTCCACAAACCTGGTTGAGCTCCAAAGTCCCTCCAGAATTGCTCGAAAAACAAGAAGTGATCAGAAAATATTCTAAGTCCACAAACTTGGTTGAGCTCCAGATTTCTTCTAGAATTACTCGAAAAACAGGAAGTGGTCAGAAAATATTCTAAGTCCACAAACATGGCTGAGCTCCAATCCCTCCAGAATTACTCGAAAAATAGAAATGAGCAAAGAAAATATTCTAAGTCCACAAGACCAAGACAAGCTCTCAAAACTCCAAAAATTACTCAAGAAACAGAAATGAGCAAAGAAAATATTCTAAATCCATGAGATCAAGACAAGCTCTGAAAGCCCTAGAATTAGTCGAAAAGGGAAGGTAAGAATAAATTATTCTAAGGCCATAAACTAAATGAGCTTCCTAAGACCCTCCCAGAATAACTCGAAAGACAGAAAAATTAACTTGAAAGGTTAAGTGTAAAAGCAGTTATTAGCAGTTACCAACAATGGACAAATGTTCAACTATGTAAAGAAAAGATCGTGGGTGATAACGGTTACCAGCAGTTACCAATAGCACGATCACAAGCAATCGTGGATAATGGACGTAACAATTGAAGGCAGTTACTAAGAAGTGTCCGTAAAAGGATGAGGACGGTGGTGATCTTCCTACCTATAAATACCCCAAAGCGCCATTCTACAAGGGACGACTTTTTGCACCGTGATACCGCACCTAAATTCTCTGAAACGCTGAAACCCTGCACCGTGCCAGACACCAACTACAAGGAGACCCACGGTGGCCGCTGTTCGCCGCTGTGAGGAGTCATACGTTTACATTCACGCACCTTTACATTCTCGCATTTACCTTTCTGCATTTTAATTCCAGCTTGTTGCTTATTTCGTTTCTGCAATTTATTTCATATTTAACACTTTTTCTGTAAAGAACTTCTACGTTGTGATTCCGTTTTATGTATTTCATATTAACTATTCTTACTTAATTTGCGACGTCTATTTTACTGTTACGTTAATAACACACTTAAAAGAATCCAAAAAAGACTTAATCCAGTCTCAGATTATTTTTGAATTATTTATTTACAAAACTGTCATTTTCACCGAAAACACATATTTACAACTTTTTCTTTGTTTTTATAAAAATGGTTAGAGTATATACCCTCGAGGTTGTCATCTTTCATATTGAAATGAAAACATTAAAAGAACCCAACGAGCTCAGGCCCGCCGCCGGAAAGATAACCGTGTCCTGTTGACAGTTAAGTTTTATCGTATGATGCTAAATTATCGATTTCGTGCTGACAATGATTACAGCACATTATTTAATTTTATATATCGATTTTTCCTCTGTATTAATTTTAACACGGTATTTCGTGTATATAAACGGGTCCCACTTCGAGACCCAGTGACCAAATCAGGATTTTACACGCAGAATCTGAAATAACACAGTAATAAAACAAATTAATATAGAAAAGTATAAAAAACTGTGACACGTGTAAAGAAAAAGGCAATATTTGCATTATTTTTTGAATGATTCTAAGTTCATTTGTACTGTCATGCCTACAATCTTCTTATTATTAAATATACTTTATATTTTTAAAATGATAAATAGATACACCTTTTCATTTAATGTTTGCTTTATGAAGTATTAAAAGAGTTATTAAGCGATACATTAAATATATCATAGTTAAATCATTAAAGCTCATTGGAGGGAATTGGCTGCTGATCATTGTGGCAACCGAAGCATAACTGGGTCTAAATAGAAATGTAAATCTGTCAAACTTTTGACTTTACAAATGCAAATTATTAGACCAAGTTTTCAAACCCCAGCTTAGCTTGTTGCTAACGCGGTAATCTTTTTGTGCACGAAATGTTAATTAAGCACCCATTTCCTTCCCCTATAAGATTGTCACTTGTCAGATTAATTCACTATGTATCCTTAATTCAATCATTTAAGTTCAAACGCCAATTCATTATCCACTTGCTATAAATAATCTTTCATTCACTTGCTTCCTCTTCCTACGATATCAAACATTATAAGAACTTTTTGTGACATGGGAACGCACGAGAACAAGCAGAGAAAGTCTTTGTTAAGCCGCCTCAGAAGGGCGGTGCAGAAGGTGAGGCTCTTATTAAGCTCCACGATCAGCCACACGTGGCATGCTGCAAAAATTCTCCGCCGCGCTTCTCTGAGCAAACGCTACCTTAGTTTCAATGATCGACCCGGCTTGATGATATGTTCAGAGGAAACGGATTCGGAGGGTTCGGTTTCTTCTCTTCAGAGAACAAAGAGTTATCCTTCAGATGATGATATTGATAGAAGAGCTGAGATGTTCATAACTAATTTCAGACGGCAGCTTCAGATGGAGAGGCAAATCTCGCTGCAGCTACGTTATGGCAAGGAACATAGTTCTGAATTGGTATCTCCATGATGTTGAGTTTTAATTTTTGAGTTCGCGGGTCTGTTTGATAATGGAGGACTTTGTGTTTTTTGGGAAAGGATCTCCATTTTTTATCAAGTCAACGCGAGGTGATGGTTGGTTTTCTGTGAAGTTCCAAAGCTCCTTGCAATTTGCATTGATCGCCAAGAGAAAAATGTACAAAAAATTGTGATTTTTTCTGTGGCGGGGGGGGGGGGTGATTTGAAGTCTCTGTTCCTATTTTGTTTTTCCATTTGTAAAGTTTTAAATTTTTGGATTGTTTTAATCTTTTGTGATGATTTGCTGCGATTAGAAGAGCGTGGGAGCATTTGATGTTTTTTTATTGTTGTTCTCTTAGCTCTCTCATGTATTCGTTTCCTTCCAATTGATCTTGCATAATAAACATATTAAATTATATCAATGTATGCTTCTCTGCCAAGTTTTTCACATATACAGAAACTGAGGTTGAGAGAGATAATGCTTGTTTGTGCATATAATTGAAGGGCAACCTGAACTTTGTGTGTGACTAGCCTACGTCACTTGTTCCTTTGATTATTCTAATAACATAAGTTCACCTATCTTGAAAAGAATAGTTATAAATAGTGTTATTCTGTATGTTATACAGTATAGTTTAAACTTTAAGGATAAAATACCAAGTGCATTGGAGGACTTTCAACGATGTCATTAGCAAATATTATACAGAACGTCAGTGTTGGAAAAATGATCAACGCGAGTCTCACCATGATTACATAGATTATAGGGAACAAAAGCTTCTTCCGGTGCGTATTATGATGAGAAATCTAAAGTTAAAAAGGCACGAATATTCTGTCTAGGAAAATATCGATATATGTGTAACAGTGATACGAGATGTGGGAGTGCTCTATTCCACGAATCTCAACGAGTTTATTGAAATTAAAATTTTTTGGTGGAACAAAGACTTATCACTGTGGCCTTGATTTAATCAAAATACAAAAAACTAGAACAAGCGTAGCCACATCTACAATTACAAAGGATCAACAAACTTCCATAAGTACATTGAACTTCTGTTACATGTGTGATGAAAGAACACCCGAACCATGATCATTAACTTATCAATCCAACGCTAGATACTTGTTCTTTAGAGGTTCTGACATCATGTCATGACATGAATCATCGCTTGTAATAGGTCAAGAATAAAGCATAATTTTTATAAGATGTTGTGCTGGATATATGAGACACTAAGAAACTTTTGGAACAAACAAGATTCATCACTGTCTTGAAAAGCAGTGTAGTTCTTTGCTTGTGTTGAGTACTGTCGACAGATTTGATTGTGTTTGTAGCTTATGCTTGGAAAACCCTGACCTGCTTTACCTTATTCCTTTCTATTGTACATGTTTCCACATAGGGTTGCTCTAAGTATGTTAAACTCTGAAAATACTTGGAAAAAACCAAAGTCAAAGAAAGAAAATGAAAGGAGGCTGCCATTATTTTATTCTGTTATTTGTTGTCCGGGATGTTCTTCTTTCTTTCTTTTGGGCATACGAGAGGATTTAGACAGAACAGAGATCTCCTGTCAATGGGTTATGAACAAATTATATAAGTAAACTTCAATACCATATTCAATTTAACACTTTAAAGCTGTTAGGTTGTGGGGAATTGTCACTTATATAAGTCGTTCATTCTCTATTTTTAGGCAATATATAACATGTTCACTCATAATTGACCTTACCAACGTGCCGAAGTCCAAAGCAAAATAATCCTTGGAGAATCAAATCCTAAAGCATAAACAAAGACAACCAAGGGGGGACATGGTCATACACAATATGATCTTCCTCTTGCATGCTCCCGATGTTAGCAAGAGCACAAGCACAAACATTGAGTTTCCTATATATATGAGCAATATTCACCTCGCAATCAGAATTGATCAGCACTGATTTGCACTTACCATCCAGAATTGAAGTAAAACATTGAACTACTGCCAAGGAAACGGGGATGTTTTATTCTCTCTGTTTTTATCCCTTAAATTATATTGTATTTTAATTTTGGTCCTTGTCTTTGATTTTAGTTCTTAAAATTTTTATTTGTCCTTCGTACTAAGTAGTAGAAACTAAAACCAATAATTTTAAAATATACAAAGACTAAAAAACAAAATGAAATTTTATAAGGACAAAAATTAAAATATGGAAAATATATTTAATCCTTTTGACTTAAATATGGTTTTATACCCTGTAATCACCTATGGTATCAATTGATTCATTGTCGGCTGCAATTTGAATGCCTAAGGAACTTTTTAGATGAGATGTTGTCAGGGATCAAAGCTGGGATGAAGAAATTGTTGAACATTCTGACCAGACCAAAAGACTTACAAAGATTAAATTTCACTTACTTTTCAACATTTCTTGAGATGATCTCCCTATCCCTTTACTCTTACTACCGCTGGATGCCTGCAAAAATTTGGTAGAAAAAGAACAATCCTCTAGTGTTGACAAAAGCACTTCTAAAGCAAACGTGTTATGCATTTCTTATTTATTCTAAAAGGAACCTGTCCTATGCCTAATCAGTTACACGGTTCTTCCTGCTTTTGGTCGATCAGGCGGGGTAACGTATCCACCACTGTCAGAAAAAGATTTCGTTTATTAAGGCAGAAAAATTGATCTTTCATGAATGTTATTGTAAGTTAGCACAAGGGGAACCAGACTTAAAGCCGGTACTGGTAGAAAACTATTGTAGTTTATTATATTTTAACTGAGGACGTTAAAAAATTATTTTTTGGTCAATGGGGTTACTTGCTTCATAGTCAAGTATGGCGTGAATGATGCTCATGCCTCCCTTGTTCATGCAAGTATGCCTAATTACGAAAAGTTGACCAAAGCACTTTACCAAGCAGCCACACTCAACATATGCATGCGGCCAACATTCAGGCTCAACTCCACCATCTCAATAGCTACTTTCTCACGCCAACGTTCAATTAACTAACTAAACCCTTGTAGAATAAAGTTGCTCGATACTAGGCACATATTAGGGATATTTATTGAAAGACCAAAAAGTCCCTAATCTTGAAGAGCTAATCAAGTTATCATCACATTCTCCCAAGATCTAATTAACTAACACATGATCGTTTTCAAATATAAGAAAAAAAGTTCAATAATTTATATTGATAAACAAATACTAATTTATAAGAAGATACTGTAGAAACTAGAAAGAATTTATTGTGAATCACACTCCTCTTACAAGAGGAGAAGTCAAAAGGGAAAAAGAAATCCCAGTAGCACGAAAATGAACAACAACGCGTTACCTCTAAGAAACTTAGAAATTTATTAGCATCATCACTCGGATCTTCAACCCTCCCTACATAAAAACTACAGTTTCCATAGTTTGTTTTAAGGACCCTCAACACAATTATGGCGAAATCCACAAAGCAAAATCGAGGGCATTTCGTGCTCTCTTGTTTCATATTCATCTTCTTCCTCTGCGTGTTGGCTTCAATAAACGAGGTTCGATTCGAGGGCTTATTGAAGTTCGGTCGATGTGCTCTCTCAAACGAATCTCTGCCCATAAACTCTTCCTCTTCCAACGAAGAAGACCTTCGTATTCTCATCTCCGTTCTCACTCTCCCCGACCAATACCTACGACGACACTTCCTGCGACTCGTCTACGGCACACAAACCTTAGAGGGTGCAAAAGTGGACGTGAAGTTCGTGTTCTGTAACCTCACAAAAGAAGAACAAAAAGTTATGGTGGCGTTGGAGATCATGAGGTTCAACGACATCATGATCCTCAACTGCACAGAGAACATGAACAAGGGGAAAACCTCAACGTTCTTCTCGAGCTTGCCCCAGATTTTCAACGAAACGAACGGTCCTTACCCTCCTTACCACTACGTGATGAAAGCAGATGATGACACGTATGTGAGACTAAACAGTTTGGTGAGGTCATTGAAACCGTTGCCGAGGGAGGATTTATATTATGGTTTCGTGATACCGTGTGGAAGCATGGACCCCTTTAAACACTACATGTCTGGGATGGGGTTTGTGGTATCATGGGACATTGTAGAGTGGATTCATGGTTCGGATATTCCTAAGAAACACGTTGTGGGGCCAGAGGATAAGGTGTTTGGAGATTGGATGCGATGGGCTCGGCGTGGAAAGAATAGGTATAATGCCAAGTGGTCTATGTATAATTATCCTGATCCACGCTCGGTTTGTAGCCACGATCTTTGGCCAGATACTATTGCGGTTCATTTGTTGAAGAATCAAGAGAAGTGGATTCGGACTCTTAGCTATTTCAACCACACTGATTCTTTGAAGCCATCCAAGTTGTACCATATAGCTTAGCTATTAGGTGATCTTAACGTTCTCTTTTCAGTTTCACCATTTTGTTTATTTTATTTTATTTTTTAATATGTGATGATGATAATAAAAATAATACCATGTGATATTTCATTTTGGGGGTCTTAGTAATTTGTTGGGGAGGAGAGAAGAGAGCACTCGATTTTGTAGTTTTTATATGCAATTTTGAAGCGTACCTGATCTATAATTGTTGTGGAACAAGAGGGGTGATAGTGAATTTGAGATTTCAAAGATTAGGGACCTCCAAAAGAAGTGAATTACTTCAAATGGGGAAACAGAGTCAGTGAATGCTGGGCAGAGGAAACAGGCCAGAGCAGAGCATGCAAACACTATGGGAATCCCATTATATAGTATTGTGGGAGAACAAAAGAGATCTGTGGGCATTTTCTACTAACTTGAAGTAACATGTTAAGAATTTGTACTGTTCACTTGGGCAGAATTCAGAAATCCTCTTCTTCATCTTTGGTACATGTCTTCCTGTGCTTTCTTTTTTGTCTCTTATTTTGAAAGGCAAAATGCCTTCTTGTTTGCTTCTGCTCGTTAATATTATTGCTCCAGTTCAATACTCTTTCCAAGGCCCAGTGATAAGGAAGCTTTTGGGTTGGACTGCTATACGGATCGTACGGTCCAAAAATAAATGAAACTTAATAAGGGTCAAGCCTGCATGTTTATTGGTCTACTCAGTTGGATCATCTTTGTGCCCAAAAATAATATCAAAGTTGTAATTTTCAATGATAGTATTTTGATTATTTATAGTGTATAATGTCTCTAATCTTTTGATTAAAAGGTTATATGAAGGAAGCATGCTTCAAATATAAATATACCACACTAATAATAAAAATAATCAAAATTTTAACTTTGATTGTTTTATCAAAACAAGCATTTAAAGAGAGGCTTTGATCATTAAATTAATTTAATAATTTTATATTTACAAATTATGCATCTGATAATTAAACAATGTACTCACCATTATGAATAAGATGATGATGAAATTAATGTTAAGAAAAAAATGAAGACAAACTTATTAATGGATTAAAATTAAGGATATATTTAGGTAAGTAACTTAATTAAATGCTTATTTATTCACTATATATTATGTAAGAAGTTATTTATAAATTAAAAACATTATTTTAATAAATTATATAAAAAAATATTTATTTTATTTAAATTATAAATTATTTTATTGGTGATGAGAGAGAAGAGTGTCCACTACCCAGGTTAGACGGGCAATTATGGATCGGGCGAGAGAACCAGGCTGGGCAGCATTCAGGGCAGACCGCACCATAATAGAGCTAACGAAAATGGTCTAATAAATATGAGAATGGAGCCATTCTTTTTCCTTATGAAACGAGTGCGTCACTAACTAGACCGCGAAATCAATGGCACGAAAGGTATTCAAATTAGAAACAGTGTCAATTAAGTAAATTGGGTATAGGGTCTTAACTATCCGACCAATGCGATTCATAGTTTTGATATATCTTTTTAACGAAACGGGTCATTCGTCCGCGGATAGGCCACGTCACAGTTTAAGTCAGGCCCGGTTGCGAGTTGAGACCCGGGCCATTGCTTTTTCTTGCGCAGCCCACAGAGAGAGAGAGAGAGAGAGAGAGAGAGACAACGACCCATACGCTCCCACTCCTTCCTTTGGCGGCGGCGTCGTTTTCTCTTCGTTCATTCACCCTCTGTAAGGTTTCTGCATCTTCATGTTGTAACCCGTTGCCCTTTCTACTACTTTTGAAGATTTATTCCACTTTTCTTTTTCTCTCCGATTAATTGTTATTTGGCTCTTGATTGTGGTTGTTTGTGCTGGGAAGAGTTATTGTTTCGTTTGGGTATTTTGTCGAGCATCTGGCGCGTACGAGATCAGAAGATGCGATTTGATTTAGTTTTATAATATAGTGTACCGACAGGAGTAGTGGAGAGTAATGAGAAGGTGTTGCACTTTATTTTGAGAGGGGTTGGCGGAGTCCTGTATTTTGGTTTTATTTATCTTTTTGGACTTGTGCGTGAGAATAACGCACTTGTTCAGCTCGAATTCACAATTAGTTGTGTGTCAAGTTCGTCTGAAGCTAACCCAATCGTTTGTGTTGATGTGAATATTTAAGATTAATTTTCAAATTGACTGTATCAATAAGGTCTGATTTGTGTAAGTTAACTTTGTGAGCTTGAAATCATGATATTGAAAATTACGCTACGGTTGGGATAGCTTGAAGGAACATAAATGCCTTTCCTGTTGAGTAGAATAATTAGTAAAATTACTATGCATTACTGTGACTAATAAATTCCAGAGGAAACTTTATTGTCCTCACGATTCTCTAGGGGTTGCTCGGAACCTCACTTTATCTTTTCCTGGAACAATTTACTGATTATATATATGGGTTACACCTGTATGAACCTGCTTACATTACTTGCATAAATGCTCATAGTTCTTCCACCACTTCAGTGTCGTTGAGGCTTACTAGCTGAATAATTTTATTACTAATCTTTTATTACAATAGAAAATATTGCATTTGAACGTGTTCACCCTTCAACGCATGGTACTGTTATGATCTTTGTTATTCTTCTTTGTTCTAGTCCTGTTTTGTATTTATCAGTCCCCCCCCTTCTCTCCCCAAAGAATTTGACAATAAAAATATGAAATAATAATTGTGTTACTGCAGGGTTTGGTGCATTTCATTCTGACTCATTATGGGCAATGGTCCAGCGCCATTTTCTGAGATTGGCAAAAGGGCAAAAGGTAAATCTCCGTTTAGAATAATAACATAATCATTTTTGTGTGTGATTGCCCAAAGATTTTTTTAAATGTAGTCCAGCACAATCATAGACACATGAATAACATCCCATTGCCAGTTTCTGGGTGCAAATATGTTCCCTCATTGGAATATGGAATAACACATTGATTTGTGCATTAAAATTCATTACTCATTCACCCATTGCTTACACATGCATCAAATATGCTGGACATGATACAGTAAATGTCTGCAACAACTTTTGTGATTGCCTTCATGTATTTTCAACGGGTAAAAAGGGGTAGAGGGGGACAAGAAAAACTTTAGAAAAGGTTATTAAAGAGAACTTTTGATTAATAAAATTACTTTAAATTTGGTTTTTGACCAAGGTCAATGGCATCATGTGATCTATGTAACCAATCTCACCTAGTAGAATAAGGCTTGGTTATTGTTGTGGTTGTTGTTGTTACATTTTATTGCGTGCCTGATTTTCTTATCACTGTCCACTTTTAATATACATAACAATTGAGACTTCTCAACTATTCCAATTCCCAAATATCATGAACAAGTTCAATAGACATTCTCAATTTAGATCATGGGCTTCTCGGTGACCTGCATTGTACACCAGTCTGTTTTACGAAAACTATGTTAGCCAACAAATTGTCTCTAAACCTTACCTTCTTTCAAAATCCCTTTCAGCTCATCACAGGGACATTTAACTTGTTGGATTCTTTATATTTCCTATCAAGTTACATATAATCTGTTTTGTTAAATATACCAGTGACGTTAAAATCTGAATGATCTTTTTTGTATGCAGACCTCTTGTACAAGGATTACAACTTTGATCACAAGTTTAGCCTGTCAATTCCAAATGCCACTGGATTGGTAAAATGAGTGCAACCTTTAGTCTGTCCTTCTGTCAAATATTCCTGATCTCACTTTCTATTTTCAATTTGGCAGGGCCTTGTAGCTACAGGATTGAAAAAGGATCAAATTTTTGTTGGTGACATAAATACACTTTACAAGACTGGAAATACTACAGTGGATGTTAAAGTTGATACATACTCTAATGTAAGAAATAGAGGTCTTCTTTTTATCAAATATGCTTCATTTTATATGTAGATAGTGTTGCTACTACTGCCACTCTTAATCTGTTGGTGAGTGATGGTAGCAAAAGTTCAAACTTTTTAAGACTGGTTTAGTTATGTATGTTGAGTAAACCTAAATTGGTAGTAAGTAGGATGATTCCTTGAAAATTTTCCATCTTATAAGAAAAATAATATTTTATCTGATTTCCTCTTCAGGTATCTACAAAAGTGACTGTGAATGATATCTTTCATAGCACAAAAGCAGCTTTGAGCTTTAATATACCCGATCACAAGTCAGGAAAGGTGAATATATTCCAGCTTTCCCAGTGTGAGACAATGTTAATACATGCTTCATAAGACTGAATTCAAGTAATGCAGTGTTTTCATTTGTTCCTTAAGATACTTTAAAGGTTACCTTTAATTCTTTATTGAAGAGGATTTTGTAAATATAATGACCCTGTTAGAGTGTAACTCATCCTGGCCAAGGAATTGATAATAAAGTTTTCAGCTAAGTAACTTAAGATAGCAAAATGGATTGTGTTCCTTATTATCTCAAGCTATGTTGAAAATCATGGGTTGGCTTATTATGAATGCTAGTTGATTCACTTGATTGAGATTGGTTGCTAGTATATAATCAGAAGTCACTAGTTGATAAGCTAATGCAGCAAATCATAAAGTTTTAAAAAGGAATGTATGCTATTTTTTGTGAGTGGGAGATGTGGTAGAGAGATCGTCTCTTTTTCATAGTAATACTTATCGGTAATGATTTGGAATTGTAACAAGGATAAACTGGTTTTATTTGGGCAGTAGCTTAACAAGTCCATGACACAGCCTCTCTAGTCATGGGGTTGTGGCTGCTTATATTTCGCAGTTTGACCCTTGCTGACCCCTCAATGGTGGGAGCTTCCTGCGCTAGGCCATCCTATTTTTTTTAATGCCCAGTAATATGCATCCAATGGATTTACTTTTGGCATTCTTACCATATATCTGATTGTGCAATATTATATCAGCTGGATGTGCAGTACCTTCATCCTCATGCCGCCATTGATTCTAGTATTGGCTTGAATCCATCCCCTCTATTGGAGCTTTCAGCAGCAATTGGCAGCAAAGATCTTTGTATGGGTGCTGAAGTTGGATTTAATACAACTTCTGCTTCATTCACAAAATATAATGCTGGGGTTGCCTTCAATAAACCAGATTTCTCTGCAGCACTTATGCTGTAAGTGATGTTGGTACCATATTTTCCTGTTTCAGTTTTATGTCCTAATATCTTGTTATTATTCATGTTCAATAACCAATAACCTGTGTTTTTTTAAATGTTTTCAAACTAGAAGCTGAGAAGACCTATCTGAAAGGATAGATAAAATTGTGAATCTTATAAAACATTTCAAGAACTTGATAGTTTTTGGACAACTAAAGCTGTGTGTCCAAGATATGAACTGAACTAATTGCTAGTAGACTGAATTCAATGATGCGAGTGCTATTAATATAATTTTGAATTTTATTTAAATTAAATAAATCCAGCATTGATTGAAGAAACTAAAACTCATGCAAATTACTGGTATTTAAAATCACTAGTATATCTCCTAATTTTTGTAATGAGGTGGACAATTGTATGATTTGCTTGAAAATTTCTATGAAACTTGGGATGTTTCAATTGTAAAGTCTATGATATGGGGAACGGATACCGGCAGTTAACATCTTTGAAGATATTCGTGAAATAACTACATTTATGTTTTATTTCTTGTAATTTTTTTTATTCGTTTTCACTTGAGAGATAAGCTATTTCTGGAAAATATATGATATATAATATAACTGTAGCTGCATACATTTTAGAGTATATCACATAATCAGCGACCAATTAAAAAATGAGTCTGTTTTGGAAACTCCAGACACTAGGATATAGGAGGGTTATCCAAACGTATATTTGTGGAAAGTACTGTTTTCTTTCCATTTTTTTAGGCCTTTTTGCTTACTGTATGTGAAAGATTTGTTTTCATCTACACAAGTTACTGGATTCAAGAAATGTGTTAATGTGCTTTGATAGGGTATGTAGCTTTTACATAACAATATCATTGACTCTGTGTGCAGGGCTGATAAAGGACAGATCCTGAAAGCTTCTTACATTCATTACGTTGATCGCCCAGATGGATTTACGGTTGCGGCTGAAATATCTCACAAGTTTTCCACCCTTGAAAACAGATTTACCATTGGGAGCTCACAGTCAATAGATCCACGGACAGTTTTGAAGACACGATTCAGTGATGATGGCAAAGCTGCCTTCCAATGCCAACGAGCATGGAGGCCAAATTCCCTCATAACCCTGTCTGCCGAATATGATTCCACGAAGATCTTTAGTTCGTCCACGAAGTTCGGTCTTGCTCTTACTCTCAGGCCTTAGCACTGTCTGCCTATTAAATCTTATTTGATGACTTCAAAGTTACCATTCCATCATTTTAAATTGTTTACAAAACCCTTGGTGGGTTGTTTTAAGCCCTATCATCATAAGGCAAACCAAAGGAATCAGTAATATTTGTGAAATCTTCTAAAGCGGCACGGAAAGAGGACCCAGTTTTGATATGCTTACATAATGGCTAGAGTTTTTGTAGCTGATTTATAATACTGCCATTCAACATCTAGCATATGACTTTGGATTTGATATAGTGACTCATGGTCGGGTGGATTGTGGATGCCCGATATCTATGTTCATCTTTTTCACGCAATATCTTCCCATGACTCTTATTTCATGGTTCTTTTTCTCCAGTTCCTCGTCTACCCTGTGGTTGGGTAATAATGCACCAGAAGTGTTCGGAGATACTTGGTTTATCGGGAATAGTTGAACAATTGCAAGTTAGATAATATTTTTATGTTACTGTTATGTAGTTTGAATAGAATAAGAGGAAGTGATATTTTTCATGGGGCAAATGTTAATGTTAATTTATTTAGTAATTACATTTTTTTTATTAACCTTACCTATAAAAATGAACAGTATGGAGAAATTGGATTGGATGTCTAAAATTTAAGGAAATTAAACGAGATGAAGACGCTATAACAACATATTTCAATTAAATAATTAAGATTATTCAATTTCAAGGTAGATACAATGCTTGCATACATTAGATTCTAACCAACTACACTGGTGATAATAAAAATAATATGAATTTAGCAATGTTTTTCAGAACATTGAATAGAGAAATAAAAGCAAAAAAAAAAAAAAAAACAACTGAGAAAATTAGTATATAGTGTTGAAAATGTAAAAATTGATTTAATAATTAATTTTTAAATAAATAAAAACATATACTAAAGTATGTTTTTATTTTAATTTTAAAAGACTGAATGTTTTAAACATTATTTTTTTTTTTTTCATCCATCAAATATAAAAGATAATCTCATCTCACCTAATAAATTATTAAAAAACTAAACAAATACTGTAACATTCAATTTTAAAACGACTAAACTTTAAACAAGATAAATGTAAAAAAGGTAACTAGTACTTCCCGCAACAAATCCAAATGTAGAACAAACACAAACGAAAAAACGATGTATTTTTAAATAATTATGACGTCAAATAAATTTTAGCGACAAACTTGCTTGGCATACAGATAAACGATGTATTTTTGTCAACATTTCAACGCATTAAATGCGAATAAATTAACCTAAATAAGTCTGAAATGCATAATTACAGTCTAAAAAATAGAAAAAGAAAAAAGAGAGAAAAATGACGAATAGAATTAAATTAACTCGGAAGCTAGCTAAAATGAGGAAAGGGCAAAGACAAGGAGCAAGACAATAGCATAACGTGAAGAGGGAGTGAGAGTTTTTGTTAGCTGTTGTGTGGATCTTGGGTGTGAAAATGTCACACAGCGATACAATACCCCTTCACCCATCTTCCCAATCCGACATCGACGAGATCGAAAACCTCATCAACGCGAGCGTCCAATCAGCACCGCCCACAGTCCCTCCGGCAAGACCCCCCAGTCCCCCACGCGCCTCCATTCCCGTCTCCGTCTCTTCCACTCCTTCCCCCTTCATTCCCTCCAACCTCCCTCCCCTCCCCAAATCTTCCTCCGCCGTCCCTCCCCCACCTCCTCCGCCCCGACCCGACATCGCCTCCTCCGGATTCGGACCCGCCCCTAATACCCTCACCGAACCCGTATGGGACACCGTGAAACGCGATCTCTCTCGAATTGTGAGCAATCTGAAGCTTGTTGTGTTCCCTAACCCTTACCGTGAGGATCCCGGTAAGGCCCTTAGGGATTGGGATCTCTGGGGTCCCTTCTTCTTCATCGTGTTTCTCGGCCTCACCCTCTCTTGGTCTGCCTCTGTCAAAAAGGTATGCATCCATCCATTTCTTTACTTATAGATCGTAAATCGTGCTTTCTTGATCTGCATTTCTCAGCTGATGCAATAACTGTTATGTTAGTTGATCACGTCTCTCAGCTGATTTACTGTTAGGTTTTGACTCAGGAATATTTGTGATTAGCTAGTTTAGTTGAATGTAATTCACTTGGGAGGGATATTGTGCCTGATCTTCAGCGTTATTGATTGTGAATTTGTGCAACAATTAGTTGGTTTTTCATTAATTGCTATTTTTTCCTGCGATTGTCTTCAATTTGTGGTTTGGCAATTGGTTCTTCACATACTGTCAACACTTGCTATATTTTGATTATCTTTGTGTGTTTTTATACCATAGGGATTGGAAGTTTGGAACACGTCAGTTTTTATAATAGAGAAGTAAAAGCCTTGTTTTATTTTTTATTGTCTTCATAAATTCTGATTTTTTTTTTTAGATTGCATTTGTTTGCCAGAAATGTGACAGTGTTCATATTATTTATCTGAATTTTAGAGTTTTTCTTATATGATTTTTTGAGATTTGTATTTGTAATTCTGAAAGATTTATTGTCTTTTGTAAACTTTTTCCTCCCTTTAAATTGCTTCAGCCTTACAAACTTATCTGACCTATGCATTTTGCCATCTCTTTGCAAAGATCAAATTGTGATCAATTCATATGTCATTATCTGGATGTGCATGCCATTTCTTTTTCTATATTGCCATAAACAATCAACTGCAACCACTCAAAGGGAGGGGTGCTGTTTGAATTTCCCTGAAGAGCTGAGGGACTTGTAGCTTTGATGGGATTTCTAGTGAGTAAATAATGTGGAATCCTTCAGTATATGACTGAAGTGTCAGTGGACTTAACTATTATTACTAAAGGGCATCCAACTATTAGGGTAGTTCTGTGAGTTTCAGTATCACGGCACGGCAAAATGTTGATTTGATTTACATAGTCACATGAACTGAAATGCAGTACGTTTTCGTATTGGTTTGTTTTGATTTGTGCTGCAAATCACTCAGAGCAGCGTTCCAGACTCCCTCTCTCACTATGCCAATGTGGTTGAACAAAACCCATTTCAACTGGCTCCCGTGGCCATGGCTGTGAGCCTCTCAAAGGTCCACTGCATCCCCCTTTGTCTCTCTTGCCGTTGCCCCTCTCAGATCCACATCATGTTGGAGGTGATATAATGGAAATGGAAAGCTTTTATTCCATTCTTATTCTCGACCATAGAAAAAGCAAGAAGGCACGCTGATCAATAACTTACTGGGGGAACGTAAAAGATAAGGCAGCATGGGTAAATGAAGAAAAAAGTTGAAAAATCTGTTTAACAGATTATTATTATTCATGGATATATATATCAAGAGTGTACCAATTTGTATTTTGAAATGTACTGTAAACACAAATAGCGAAGTAACTAGGTTTTCCTCTCATGTATCACATATTTTATATAATAACATAGCCGTACTGCAGAAACTGCATATTAGATAACTACGTATAGGACTCTTTTGGGGAGTTTGTTTTGGTCCTTTTTTCAAGATTCTTTACCAGTTGTTTCTTACATTAATTATGTTCTTACAAAAACACACTTAATAGAGACAAAATAATTATTTAGGTAGAAAAAGAGTATATTTTGAAAAAAAAAATCAAATTATGGATAAATTTAATGTCATTAATGAAGTTAACTACATTTCTTAATTCTTGTGAAGTAATTAAAAGTGTCTTATATTTAGGATAAGAGGTAATTTACTGTACATATTGTCTTAAATTTCAGTTGGGAAACTATGAATTTACTGAGGGGGATGATGTAGTGATTAGTCCATGCAGCTAGAAGTTGTAAATAACTTTGCCAATTGTTGCTCTTATATTGCCATTGTATTATTGAATAATCATTTAGAGGACATACACCACTTTAAAACTTTAACTGTTGTCTGGTTCAGTTAGTATCAGGGGTTCAAATTTCTGAGTTCACTCCTTTAGCCCTTTGTATACTATATTCTACTCATTTTGTAAGCTGTCGACCTTTTTTGTACTCTGCATTAGGGTGTGTCTTGACACAGTGACAAGGTTGTTCCCTTATGACCTAGAATTTTGTGGTTCCAATCTTGAAAACAACCTCTCTACTTGCAGGTGTAAGGTTGTATACATCTGCCCTCCCCAAACCCCACTAAGTTGAAGCCCCATGCACTAGGCCTTTTTGTAGTTTGCATGATGTGCTGTATAATTACAAAATGAATTTGATCAATTTTAGTCATATTTGTTCTAAGTTCTAACATCTTTTTATCTGATTGTTTCTCAGTCTGAGGTTTTTGCTGTTGCATTTGCTTTACTTGCTGCTGGCGCTGTAATTTTGACATTGAATGTACTGCTTCTGGTAATAGCCTCTCTTTCTCTTTTTTATAATCATATTTTTGTGTCAACTTTAGTTTTGCCTCAATGTTGTCCAATTGGGAGAGAAAAATGGTGGGGGTCCTGGCCCAACCACTCCCGAAATTATACTTTGATGAATGAGGGAAAATACATGACTCTGTTTATCACTTCAAAATTTCAGGGCGGACACATTATTTTCTTTCAGAGTCTGAGTCTGCTGGGTTATTGCCTGTTCCCTCTGGACGTTGGTGCATTAATTTGTATGTTGAAGGACAATGTCATAGTGAAAGTGGTTGTGGTGTGTGTGACATTGGCTTGGAGCTCTTGGGCAGCATATCCTTTCATGAGTTCTGCAGTCAACCCTAGGAGAAAAGCTCTTGCGCTCTACCCAGTTTTTCTCATGTATGTATCTGTTGGTTTTCTCATCATTGCCATTGACTAAATGCATCAATGCTTGTGATTTCTTTTTTCCGATAACCACTTGGAATCTGCTTCTGAATAGGAATTTTTGTTTGATGATACCTTTTTTTTCAATTCTTTTCTGCCTTTCTTTTGTGCCGGCCCCGCTTTTTTTTGGTTTAAAATTTGGCTAGATATATTTGGAGACAGACAGACAGTTGTATAATATACGTGGAAAGTATATGATGGGATCAAACATGCTGCCAGCCATCTCGTTTAAGTATTGTTTTCCCGTCCTGTGTTATATGTTATTTTAATATGTGAATGTAAACCGATAGGATTGAAGGACCCAAACAAATAGATTATTTTATATTTTGGCTACATGCTGGCAACTTTGCAGAGTATGTTACTCTTATAAACATACCACCTCACATTTTAATGGTTTTCATTTGATCATCTGTTTTTCACACTTATTCTTTGATTCTACCACTGAGAAAAGTGTGTGAGATGTAACCCATTAATGGATGCGGAGGAAGGTTTTTCCAACTTAGTGGATTCTGTTACTTCCGTGGGTTTCAATTTAATATTTCTTTTGCATGGGCCGCATGACTGCAAATTCTATCTTTTAACGTTTGCAAACTGGACGGGTGGCTGAACTATGTGCTGAAGAAAAGTGTATATCAAATTTAATTAAATGTTGCCTGATAGTCTACACAATTGTTTTTATATGACAAGTGCACAACCTGTGTCGATCAGCTGCATTTGGTATTCTACCGAAGATGGTAGCTAAGTTTTAGTAGTATAAAACGGTGTGCGATTTTTTCTACTATCGTACAGAAATTTTTGTTAAGATTAAGATTATGATATATTTAAAATTAAATCAAGGGTGAATAAATCTTTACTTGTACACTGTATAGATTGATAGATAAACTCTTTCTCCTCATAAAACTAACGGAGTCGTTGATAGGATGTTGAGGTAGAGAAAACAAAGGAAAAAAAGTAAATGATGGCTTGCCTTTTTTATAGGATTTTTTTGGGTGAAATTTTATAAGACAATTTATGTGCAGTATTTTAGGTGAAACTAAAATTTTAATTTATTAAATCATAAATAAAGGTCAACGTTAAAAATAGACAGTAATTATTAAGGTGAAACTTTAATATTGATTAAATAACAACCAAAATGAAACTTATGATACTACATTTGAAGTTTGATTTTATAGGATGGATAAAGATTTTTAAAAAGTCTATCAGCTATAGTTTTTTAATCAATTTTAAAATTAAGTATAAGAACGAACACACTTTTACTTATTTTAAAGTTAAACTCATTGTTTAAGAATTCTTTTTTCGTAAAATTAGTTGATCTAGAATGAATGACGGCATCCTCCATTAATAAAACATTGATCTTATCCAAATTACTCCAGGGTGCAGCTCTTTGGTGACAACTGCGCGATTCAATTATTAATTAACCCAAAAGAATCCACGTGAGATACTGGGACAAATAGCATCACATACATCTATCTCAAGTAACTGTGCTAAGTTTGTGTGTATTAAAATAATTGCGTAAATAATGTTACTATATTAACAATGACTTGGCAACTCGCAATCCCAAAGTAAATAGGTGAGTCCGTTTATTAGGCCAATCATGAGTAGTTTTGGTGCTTCGCCTACACACTGTGAGCCAACAGTTTGTTACATGGTTCGTGTTGCTTCTCCCTTGACTTAGCAATGGTTGCTTTGAAATTAAAACCCCTTCCAAAGCAATTCGTTAGTCACGTCCAATCCGACAATAATCATATACATGTTGGAATCTCGTAACCGAAAAAGCTCATAAAAAACTTCAATAATTAGGATTAGTAGGTTGCGATTGAGACTTCAGAGCATTCATTGTTTCCCTATACATAGATTGGTGGCGGCGTTTGTGTAGACTAGTTGCCCCATCCTTTTAACAGTTACTAATATTCACTCATTTCACTTTTGATTGCATTGCAACTTACAAAAAAGTGCGAGGGACACCAAATCGTTGCATATAGCTATAGCCAGCAAATTTCCTTTCGAAGGAGTTTTCATCTTTGTCGTATATTTGATGTATGAATAAATTTAAGATATGATAATGAGTTAATGCTTAGACACTAATGGACGTAAATAAGGTACGGACCCCGCGTGCTTTCTTTCCGCACCAACTAGTTTGAATGTAATACGAGGGATCAAATCAAATTAATAGGATCGCCATCAATTCGTCTTATTCTTCTCCATTAATAGTTGTTCCAATTTTTAGCCTCATCTACTATTCATGGTCGTGGATAGAAATTGAACACCGCATTAATCTAATTTCTCCTATATAGTTCGTATGTAGGGTCAAATAATACATATGCAGTTGGCATGTTGTATAGATTCTTCTTACGGTATCATCATTTCATTAGCTTAACCTACCTAATTAGCTATGCACATTTTGATAAGACCGAATTTCAACGGATCCTTAGGGAAGAAAAACCACTGAGGTCGCTTTGAATCACAAAAGGTTAAAGCCCCAGAGATACGTACATTTATCAAAAGGTTACATGCCGTTCCATACTAACTAAAATCCTCATTTATTTTTCTAGTATAACAAGGGATTGCGTAGTCCTAGCTCAAACTTTTCATCAACACACTCTATATTTTCAAATCTTCCCCATGATTACTTGTTTTCTATACAAGTTTAACAATTTTACGCAAATGTAGAAGGAAATAACCAAATTCACTAAATGTGATGTCGTGCACTCAAATAATCAAGCTATATTTTTCATTCTTCTGCCTTCGTCGTTTATAAAAAACTAAATCTGAATATTAAATCTTTGATTATTCAGAAGATAAAAAAGAACGGGTCAATTTCATGAGTGAGAGTGACAATCAATTGAATTTTCATAAAGGAGTTCCTTTCTTTCTATTTTTTGGCTAGTTTCTAAAGTCAAAATGAGCAAGTGATTCATCGCCATTCAATAAGATTACTTTTGGACGATGTTAGTGGAAAGAAAATAAATAGAGCATCTCTGAAGTAAGACAATGGAAGGGCTCACAACTTCTCCGCGACTATTCTTCAACAGAGAAAAATAAAATAAAAGAAAGAAACAGAGAGTAAATTATTCTTGTAATCTTATCTTTTCTTATTATTCGTCAATGAAAGGCAATAACTAATGAAAAGCAAGAAACTGAAAGTTTCTATGTTTTGTAGAAAAAGGATCCTTCGTATTCCCTTTTACTATTATTGGATAACTATTTAGCTTAATTTTTTTTGGTTAAAAAAATTTAAAATTGATAAATTCTGTGATATTTTAAAAAAATTTCACGATATCAGATATGAAAAATTCTAATCTATAATATTTAGATACGTATTTAAATAATAAATATATTTAATAATAAATTATTATATTTACATCAAAATTAAATAAATTAAAATTTTAAAATAAAATAATAATATTATATTAATATATTTTTTTATTCTTAATTTTATTATTATTAATATTTATTTATTATATTAATATATTATGTTATAATTTTTTTATTTATAATAAATAAAAATTATATTCTATTTAAAATTAAAAATATTTACACACGTATTTAAATAATAAATTTATTTAATAAAAAATTATCATATTTATTACATTTAAATAAGCTCTTAGGTCTTTAAACATAAACAAAATACAATCAAAATTAAAATTTTAAAAAAATAATATTAATATATTAATATATTTTGCATATTTTTAATTTTGTTATTATTAATATTTAATTATTATATTAATATATTATATTATAATTATTTTATTTATAATAAATAAAAAAATTTAAATATAAATTATATTTTATTTAAAATTAAAATTTTATAAAAATAATAAAATAATATGAATAATAAATTTTAAATAAATTATATGTAATAATATAATTTTTAATTTATCACATGTCACTTTTTTATTAGTATAAATTTTTTGGATACATTATTTATAAAAAAAAAAAATTAAGTACCACGACACACTTTTAAAATTTGTATTAAAAAAAGAAGAAGAAAATAACAAATATCTAAAAGAAAGAGAAAGGGGTAAATTACACGATGAACATGCCTCTGGACTAAACCAGGATTGCCAATAATGTACGGCAACTTAAATAATTATCTTTTTAATTACCTAAATTTTATTATAGGTTTCATTTATTTTATAAATTTATTTTTTAAAACAACTAAAAATAATTTCAAATATGCATTGTTCTCCGATTCTTTTCTGTCTATTCCTCCTTGACTTTACATTTTTTTAATAATATTGTTTTTTTAAATTTTCCTTTGAAGTAAAATATAAAAAAAATCTAACTGAAATTTTTTAATAAATTAATAAATAAAATATTAAAAATTATGCAACAGGAAAGAAATAATTTACGATGAAGTCTTCCGAAGAAAAAAAATGAAAACAATAATTAAAACATTTTAATTATTTTGACTAAATAACAAATATTCTTCATAAAAATTAAAATAATTTAAGCACAAAACAAAAGTTAGAAAAATTTTATGTTAATTGATTTAAATCTTTAAATTTCGTTTAGGATGGAACCACATAAAAATAATTCTTAATTTTAAAAGTTAATTTATTTTCTTTCTTCCCATTTAACTAAACAAATAAAAATGCTTCATATATGTTTTTTTTTCTTTTTAATAACACATAGCATAAGTTACCAAAGCTTAATCAAATCATTTATTGTTATATAATGAACAATTTCTAATCTTTCATTGTTTATACAATTAACATCAATATTCTATTATATGTTTGAAAACAAAAGAATGCATATGATTTATATATGTAGTTAAAGTTATATATATTATAAAAATAAAATATATAATTTAATTTTCTCTAATTTAAAATAATTATTAGAATATATTTGGTATGAAATAAAGTAGAAAGTTATGCATTAATCAAAAGAACTGTTTGATTTAGAGTAGAATGAACAAAATGTACGGCGCACAGAACTGATGAGACAGAGGCACTCATGACTGCGTCACTGTGGTCTCTGCTCTGTAACCATCTTCTGCTTAACGTGATGTTGAATTGGTACGGCGATGCTAAGACTCAGCAATGGCCAATGGCAGATGCAGATTGCAGATCGCAGATTGCAGAAGCAGACCCAGAGAGAGTTTGCTTTACGTAATGGTCTTCAACCTTTTAACTTTACTTGCAGGACTGCACCAGATGCGTTCTGTAGCTCCTCCATCTTCATGTTTCGCAATCTCTGATCATGCAAATGCAAAGATCGATTGATGGGTCAGAGCCTAAACCCCAAAATGATTCTCCACTTTTTTCATTATTCAACCAATTAGCAATGTTAACTATCAGATTCAGACTCGTCACTTCTCTTCTGTCCATAATGATCAAAATAAAGTAGACTAGTGATTCTTGATTGATTCTTAATTGTACGTTTAGATGAGTTTTCGAAAATGTTTATCAATTTTTTAAAAATAAAAAGCAACCTTAACTTTTTGAGTTTGTAATTTTTCAAATAGTATTTTAACTATGTACCTTTTTTTTTAACATATCTTCGATTAATTATATATATATTGAATGTTGAACTTTTATACATTAAATTAGAATATACTGGTCTCTGTGAATAACAATATTTAATGTAACGAATGTTTTAAACAGTGACAGACATGTTTAACATTTTATTTAAAATTTTTGAAATATAGATTCTGATGAATTAATTACACATGTTTTGTTGGTTTCAAAAACTTGTCTCTTTTGATATAGATTTTTTCCGAAATGGATTAATGTATGCAGTGGCCTTGCAATTTTTAATTTTATCCATATTTAAAATACAAGTACGGTGAATGAATAATTAGTTATTACTCCATCCATTTTTATCTACAATGTCAGAAAATATTTCTTATTTCATCTGTATTTTGTTCTAAAACATAAAGTAGGCATTTTTTCCATCTCATGTCATTTTTTAAATGAAAAGACCATAGTATTGAACTCCAAAAGTAGGTATTAATATCCTTTTTATTTTAAATTTGTAGCATCAATTCTCCCCCTTTTTAATAAAAACATTAGTTTTACTAAATATGTGTGGTTTAAATTAATATATGCTCATATTTCAACTGCGTTTAATAAATAAAAATTAATTATACTGCACTTTAAAATAAATAAACAGTTTGAAAATTTAGTTTCTATAAGATGAAAGTTTCAGTTTATTTATCACTAATTTGCACATGAAGGTAATAGCAAAATGTTGATTTGCGCTGTTGGAAGATAAAATAACACGCTTGGCATCTTCAACGATTAAATATTAATTCTATTAAAATAATGCTACCAAACCAAAATGAAAAAAAAAACATTAGAAGTTTATTTGTTTGCAAAATATTTTGTATATTTTTAAATAATATATATAATAAAAAGTGCAATTTTAATTATTTTTAAATATTTAAAAGAAAATTTTATCAATATTAAATTTATTTAATTTTAAAGCAAGAGAGTACCAAGTCAAATACCATGTAGCGAGAGTCACTGTTTTCTATATCGATCATTGGCCACAGAGCTAGATGACTAGATTCCGATAATACAAATGGTATAATTTACTAAATCATTGAACGGATTTCTGTGTTTCACGAAGACCATTGTGGATTTTTGCACGTTTTTGGATAAGCGTATAAAGTAAGAAAATAGACAAGTACAACAAGTTTATGCAGTGTGAGTGAGTTTCAACAACTGCACTCGATTGTTCTTCCAATCCCATGAGATAAAAAACAAAGTAATGGAATGATCAAACGCACGATTCCTTTTCTCAATTTCTCTAAAGAAATCATATATTTTTTTACACATCCTCTTTATAATATTTTTTACAGCTCAATTTTTTTTATCATTATATTTCTCTTCTTTGGATATCTTTTCCCTAAGTCCTAATTGTTTGGGGAAAAACATCTCATTCCAAGGACATAGGCCACCTGATTATGCTTTTATGCAATGCTTTGAGCCTGTCGCAGCCGACTTAGTTATTTTGATTTCCAAATGGGGTTTGTATGGTGAAAATTTCTCAGGTGTATCTTAAGTACGTACGGACTTTTCTATTCTGTACTTTTTAATGGGTTTAATTTTAATATACTATTAATATATAACGTTTTTATATTATCACTCAATTGAAAAGTATCATTTTTTTACAATATTAATTAAATATTATATATATAATAAACATGTTTTCTTATGTAATTGAAAAAAGCATTTTATTAACAAAATTTTTATAATTAATAAGAGTGTAAGAAATTAATCATTAATATATTTAAAAATATTTTTAAAAAAAGACTATAATTAGACATAATTAGGGACTGATTACTTGTTTTGAAAGAAAAAAAGGCGAAAAGAGTGGTTTGGTGTTTTGCATAAGGTTGGCAGTTTGGACAGAACATGAAATGGACACTTGTAATAACAAGAGATTAAAATAAACACCATTTTTATGCTCCCGAAATGGCCTCGAATCCAGCCACGGAATCCCTCCACGTTGATCCTCTCAATTAACTACTTTCCTCAAGTCACAACCAACCACATTAATTTGTAGCGACCAAAATCAGAAAGAAAAGAATAATAAAATGAGGAAGAGGGAAGAGGGTAGTGGGGTCAGATTACCTTCCAAATTCCAATTTAGCGCGGCAATGATAACATTTGTATACTAATACATCAAAACTAACTCATAAATAGATGAAGCGGTTGAATGAAATGAAATGTAATTGCAGTGTGCACCCCGTTTCCACTGAGAGTGACATAATTAAAGTGTAAGCCCCGGCGCATTTGCTAAAGAACCTCATTATGTCCCAAATCTAATGGTACATGATTTTCTCGGTTCTACTAATAATTAATTCCTGCAAAAACCCACATGCACATATGACATATCCCTATCAGCATCAGCCATCAGGTACGTAAGAGTAAGTTTTGAAATAATAATAATAATACTCTTTTTATGGTTTCTAATTATGTGAATATTTTTAACCCATAGTCGCTATAGACCAGCTGTAAATCGTTTCCTTTCCAACTTAGTTGCTTGTCCAATTCCAAAGATCTTGAAAGGAGGTGGTCTGATAGCATTTCAGAATCCTGGTCAGGCAAAAATATTTCCACATTAGTGCAAAGGAAAAAGGAAAAAGGAAAAAGAATCGTTTGTAAAGCTGTGTAGCGTAAACACACTCGCTCAATCAAGTCCAGCTTTGAATTAGGCCCCATCTTGATTTCTTCATAACCCAAAACTCCAAAACCTTTTTGTTTGTTTCATCCTCCCTCTCTGTTTCTCCTTGTACTTATATCCCTCTTCCCTTGGCCCACACCCACTCTCTCACATATCAAACCCTTCCCTTTATTCCCCTTCAAAACCCCCCCTTCCCTCTCTATAAATACACCCAACATCAGTTTCATTAAATTACAGAACTTCCCACTCTCATCCCCCCCCCCCCCTCTCTCTCTCTCTCAAGCCAAAACCATTTTGCACTTTCTTTCTTTAGAAACATTATTAACAAAAAATGAAAGAATATTGGACCTCGTTGGCGTCACTTCTGGGTGTGTTTGCTTTCTGTCAAACCATCCTCCAAACAGTGTTCCCACCGGAACTTCGTTTCGCCTCCGTTAAGCTCTTTAACCGGATCTTCCACTGCTTCTCCTCTTACTGCTACTTCGACATAACGGAGATCGACGGCGTCAACACCAACGAGCTCTATAACGCTGTGCAACTCTACCTTAGCTCCTCCGTCTCCATCACCGGCAACCGGCTAAGCCTAACACGCGCTGTGAACTCCAGCGGCTTCACCTTCGGCCTCGCCAACAATGACAGCATCGTGGACACGTTCAACGGCGTCAATGTGCTGTGGGAACACGTGGTGACGCAGAGACAAGCCCAAACGTTCTCGTGGCGGCCGCTCCCCGACGAGAAGCGTGGGTTCACGCTCCGGATAAAGAAAAAGGACAAGTCTCTGATTCTGAGCTCTTACTTAGATTACATAATGGAGAAAGCGAGCGACATTCGAAGGAAGAATCAGGATCGTCTTTTGTACACGAATTCGAGAGGTGGGTCGTTGGACTCAAGGGGTCACCCTTGGGAATCAGTGCCGTTTAAGCACCCTAGCACGTTTGATACATTGGCTATGGACCCTCAGAAGAAGGAGGAGATCATGGATGATTTGCAGGACTTCGCTAATGGCCAAGCTTTTTACCATAAAACTGGAAGGGCTTGGAAGAGGGGTTACCTTCTTTATGGTCCTCCAGGAACTGGTAAATCTAGCATGATTGCTGCTATGGCTAATTACCTTGGCTATGATATCTATGATTTGGAGTTAACTGAGGTGCATAACAACTCTGAACTCAGAAAGCTTCTCATGAAAACAAGCTCCAAATCCATTATTGTCATTGAGGATATTGATTGTTCTATTAACCTCAATAACAGAAAAACCAACAACACCGGTTCTGGTTCTTCGAGGGGATACAATGATTCGGAAATACGAGGGGGTGGGTGTGGTTCTGCTTGTGGTGAGGATGGTGGGAACTCGATTACGCTCTCTGGGTTGTTGAATTTCACGGATGGGTTGTGGTCTTGTTGTGGGAGTGAGAGGATTTTCGTCTTCACTACCAACCACATTGAGAAGCTTGACCCGGCTCTGTTGCGGTGTGGGAGAATGGATATGCACATTTTCATGAGTTATTGTTCGTTTCCAGCGTTGAAGATTCTGCTTAAGAACTATTTGGGGTGTGGAGAGGGTGAGTTGGAGGATTCAGTTTTGAAGGAGTTGGAAGCGGTTGTTGACGTGGCGCGTATGACTCCGGCTGATATAAGCGAGGTTCTGATCAAGAACCGGCGAAAGAAAGAGAAAGCGGTGGGTGAATTGTTGGAAACGTTGAAGCTGAGGGCAGAGATGAATGAGAAAAGTGGGGTTCTGAGGGCGAAGAATGGAGTTGAGGAAGAAGAGGAAGAGCAAGAGAAAAGGGCTCTGGATAGTGAGAGTCCTAAACAAGAATCTGAGATCGAGGACAATTGTAAGGAGGGACAGGAAGAAGAGAAGATGAAGTGATATATAGTAATAATAACGATGGTAATAATGTTGTTGTTGAAGATTCGTTCAAAGGAGGAGGCTGTTACTGAACTGAAGAAGAACAAGAAGAATACACTACACAGTGTAATCTGAAGGGTACCTTACTTGAAGATGAACAAAAATTTTTATGACTTGTGAGATATGAGGAGGGGAAACAGGGGAAGAAACAAGGGTCTAAAATTTAAAACATGTCACATACTTGTGTCTTTTTAGCTTTGAATAATGGAGTCCTTTATTATTAGATGTGTAGGGAAAGTTTATTTTGCACCCACCATGATTTGCTCATTTTTAAAGATTTGTTTGCATTGGACATGTTTTTGGTTGCTCTGGTTAGGCCTTTACACCCTGACATAGTTGGGGAGCCAGCTGGGATGTTGGTGAACACCTGGGTGCACATGGCATGGGAAAGGTTACTAATTTGATGGGACGTGTAGGGAATATAGGTAATAAGTAGGATACCACTGTTTACCTAACGTTTTCATTCAATTATACAATTAAGGTCAAGGTGTGCCATTTGGGTTGGGGCTTCAAACTTGCCTTGTTAACAAGTCTCATATCACTATTACGCCTTCTTAGTTTCGCGTTCTCTGATTTAACGTGCGACAAGTAATTTTTATAAATTGGTTGTGTTAAAATTGATTTTATGGTAGTTATAACCTGTTTGGATAAAAAAATAGAATGAATGTTTTGTGCGGGGGGGTAATGTCTTGCCTACCGAAAACTAGGATGAATAATAGTGTGAACTTCGAAGACAGTTTCAGGGTAGCTCTCTCTTCTCGTTTGTGGGAAAAAAAACTTGATCATATTGATGAATTTTTGTGTGTGTGCAAAACAAAGTACGTGTAACGTGTTCAATATCACAGCAGAAAAATTGCCCCCTTTTTCTCGCCTGAACTTACCCTTTAAAATTATAAGGATTGAGATGAGATCGTAAATGTTGTCGGTGCGTTTTTTTTTAGGACAAACTCTAATTACATCTCTTGATATTCGTTCAAATTGTGTGTAATATTTTTCTATATTTGACAATTGACACCTCATTAATTATTTAAGACTTGTTTGATATATAAAATAAGAGAATATAATAAGATAAATTTTTTTTATTTTTATGTTTGTTTAGTGGATAGGTTCTGATATTTTTTTAAAAATAAATTATCTTATTATCATTTTTAATATAAATTTTATCAGTTAGAATGTTTGGAAATTAAAAATAGGAAAAATAATATAATATATGTAATTCATTATTTTAACCAATAAAAACTTGTTTTGTTTTTATCTTATTTTTATTTAACTCTTATATTGTATTTTTTTAAAATTTTATTATATCTATCAAATAGACTCATTAGTAAAAAACATGTAACATTATATATCTTCGTTAACATTTGTTGGCTATTGAACATGTGACTTTTATTTGTTTTCTTTTTAAGAATATCCTTAAATGCATATTTAAATGTGGACATTAAAAGTATAAACAAATGAGATCTTCCAGGTCTTATGACATTTTTGTCCTATGTGGACGAGAAACATGAAAACTGTTGTTCGGAGTTTCAATCATACGCTTAACAAATTTTTCATCTCAAATACCACTGCCTTAAAAGTAATATTATTTGGACTCAATTTTGGGTTAATATCAATTGTCTTTTTCACTCTCTTAGTAATTATTTTTCTCTTTCCACCCAAATAACACCCTAAGAAAAAAAAAATCTAATTTTTCTTCACTGTTTCAGACGCTTCAGTTGCACAGAGTCTGAGGAATACAATTGGAACTCGTAAAACATGCAAAATAATTATATCTTTTCCATTTAACAAATACAATCACGTAACACCTTTATCTGTCAAACTAAGTAACAACATACTCTATTGGCTGAACTCGTGATTTTTTATTTTATTTTTTCGAAAATATTCATAAATGCATCACTTTAAATGTGAACATTATAAGCTAACAAAAAAATGGGATGAACATGTTTAGTAACTATGCTTTTTAACATCATACGCATATACTTTAACAAGATATTTTTTCTTTTAATTCTTGCATTTAAAATTCTAGTATACTGCTCTCATTAGGTACATTTAAACATGCGCTAAATCTCAACTTTGCTCTTGTGATTAGCACCCAACTCACCTTCTCGTCACTGCATACAAAATAAACAGTCTCTTATGCACACAATTTTAGGCTAACTTTAATTGTCACTTTCACCCTCTTAATTAGTATTGGTCTATCTCTTTCAACTCTAATCAATGCCCAGTAAAAAAAAAACCACATTTTTTCTTCTTTGTTTTATTTTAGATGTTTATATCATATAAAGTGCGAGGGATACGATTGAAACTAGTAAACAATGTTGAGTGTTTACAGTTTTTCCACTTAACAATTATAGTCATTAACGCTGTTAGTTCAGAGTGGTTAGTGTAAGTGTCACATGTCCAGAAATATCGAATGCTTTTTTAACAAATAAAAGAAATGTGGTTATCATTTGTATCCTTTTTGTTAATAAGAGTAATGCTATTAATATATTGGGATTTTATATTTTCTATAAAAGAGAAAGATGGAAACAGAAGAAAATAAAATAAATAACATAATAGAAAGAGGAGGATTAAATAGTTAAAAACCTTTTTAAACGAATTCAACAAATGCTCTGTATTCAATATAATTTGTTTAAATAAGAAAATAAAGATAAATTTGAAAATAAAGAAAAGGGTAATGATATAGAACTATTTCCTCACCTTTTGTGTTTAGATTTTCTTAGTAAGTTGCAGTTTTCTAATAAAAAAATAATAGAACTTTATTATATGAACAACATATACGATTTTATAGTAATACGAATACGTCGTGTACTGTCTGATTGATGGAAGGTACGTGAAACTAATCTATTTTTTTCAATTAAAGTTGGGTTTATGTGTCAGTGTCTGATTGGATTGAGACCGTTAACCTTTTATTAACGTTTGGAAATGTTAAAATGACTGTGCGAATGGATAGGAATAGAGGGGGTGTTTTGGGAACCAAGGGGCAGAGTTAATCGGTGGAAAACAAGTGAGGAAGACCCAGATTTTGTGTTCGAAAAAGGAGGGTTGAGGCACAAAAGCAACTAGAAAGTCTTCTCATACAATGAGAAAAAGTTGACAAAATGTGGTTGTGGATTTTGATATCGAGTTGTAAAGGCTATCAGGTTGTCAAGCTAATAGTAGTGCTGTGTACTTTTAAGAAAAAGGGAATGTACCAAAAATTAAAGGTTAAAGAGCAAAATTTGGCTTAAGGGTAGTGCCGACAAGTCACAAGCAACACCCTTTATAATTATTATTACATGAAATGAAGCCCGACCCAATTATCCAAAATAAGGCACTTAATTTATTTCTGCTCCAACGTTTTTTAAGGCTTAAAATAAATTTTAGGATTAAGTCATTTTAAATTAATACACATATTTTATTAAGATTGTTATATTTTATCTCAAATTTAATATTTAAGTTTTATATATTAAATTTATGAAAAGAATAAAATCATTAGTGGAATTGGTGTGATTTTTTTATGCTAAAAACATCTTTAAAGTTATAGAAAAAAATTTAAAATAATTGTCTAAATAAAAACATATTTTATTTACGTTGTTTGCATAAATAATTGTTTTTATTTAGACAATACAAATTTGAATGCTTTGATTTATTTTTCTATGGACATTAACTTTGCTCATAACGTGTAAAATGCTTCCAATGGATTTTCAGAGTCTGACTCTCTTTTCCTCTTCGTTTAATTATCTAATTCTTACCTTTTTGAACCTTTATTATAGCACGTGCTGCCATTTTCTCCCTCTGTTCGAGTGCTTAATGTAATTGGACTTTCTACGTTGGCTTTTTACCTTTGTTGGGTAGGTGGAGGGTGGAGCACTTGAACACGAGTATTCAGATTATTAAAAGGTATTTTCTGTTTTTTATGAATAGTTCTCATTTAAATAAATAAATTTAAAATACTTAAATTTACGTTCTAACCATGGTATTTATAAAAAAATGTTTATATACAGTTAGTTGAAATAAATAAGAAAAATATAAGTAATTCGGGTTAAAAAAACAAATTAAAAAAGATAATCTATTCTTTAAATGACTCATACAAAAATTATTTACTTCCTAATATGAATTATTGTTAGGACACTGAGTCCCTTATCTTTACAAAACTTTAGAATAAACCTATAATGCTTTCCAAATTTTTTTCGCTTGTGTTGATGTGATTGATCTAACCGGTAAAATTAAGAAGCCCTTAAAAACCTACATCGCATCATAAACGGTGCTAAGAATCATACTTTTAAAGCAATGAAAGTGTACTGTTTAAATTGATTGTTTTATTTTAAACATTTTAACATCTATTGATAGAAAAATAATTTTTAAACTTTAAGACAAGGATAAAATAATTTAAAAATATCCTTTACAAAAATAGTATACTTTAGTTTGTTTTAAAAATAAAATAAAACTTCTGGGAAAACTTCAATTTTCATGGGTTCAAGTAAAAGAATAAATAAATAAATTATTTAATATTTTATTAACATAACTTATTTTAAAAATTACACAAAAAATATTATTTTTAAAGTACTTATTATGTTATTTGTAAATTTGAGAAACGTTGTAACTCTTTAAATTAACAATTATAATTCTTTAAATATATTAAAGATTAGAAAGTCTTTATATTTTTTAAAAAATAAATTACTAAATTTATTATCTATTAATATAAAATTAATAATAATAATTATTTTACATGTCACCGTATATTTATAAAAAAACAGAAATTATTTATTTTTAATATGGGAAAATCGGGAAAGGAACTTTTCTTAATGCCAGCAGCCTTGCAGGAAAGACACCTTTCTAGCCATTGTTATAGTCTAAGGTGTACGTGGCGGCGAATTTTCTTCAACCAAACAACTTATTATATTCGTTACTTCGTGGGGAAGAATAAATTGACTGATTAAATTTAAGATAAATTCTTTTATGTATTTTAATGTTATTTTATAATTAAAAATAAAGAATTATTTTAGTAATCTGTAATAAATTGTTGGCGTTAAAAAATAATTTTAACTGAAAAATAGTATAAAAAAACACTTAAAACTCATTCGTAATTGTTAATACTATCACATTCGTATTCAACTTTCAAAGAGGAAGAAACTCATTTGTCCTAGATTCATTGTGAAAGATTAACCTCTTATTGATAGGAAAAACATTGACAATTATGCGTGTTATTTCTAGAGCCTGAAATTTCCCCGAAATTGAATAGAACTAATTGGAAATATTGAGTGGAAGTGAGTAATTGGTTTGAAGACAAAGTGCTTCATAAAACAGGAATAACACGTGCAACACTTTGACGGTGAAGAAAACACGTCGACAGAGATGTACAAGTAAAACACATATAGAGGCTGCACAATACTTTTGCTGTGAATGGGAGCATGGTAGTGAAGCAACGTTACACACAAGGACGATGCGCTGCGCTAACAAGTCCTTTTTGCTTTTACTCTCTCTTTCTCAGCGTCTGTGTGTCACTTTCTTGCTTGGAGATCAATGCAAAGATTTTTATTCTAATGGTTCCCCATTGAGGCATATAAGATGACCCACCAAAACCAAATAGAATGGATGTGATGTGATTTTGGCTTTTTTGCTAACCCAACAAAATTGTCCTACCATTTTGCCGTACCTTTCTTCCCTTCAATACAAAAAGTTGGAATAATTTCAACGGAGCCAACTTAATTTACTTACAACATTGTTACTTTTGGATACATTTAAGATTTTAGCCGGATCTTGGACCAAATAATGCACCTCCTGATTTTTTAAATGCTCGTATAATGTTGAATAATTTTATTATTCCGTGAGGGCCCTTATTCTTCATCTAACTTGTTTTTGTTTTTACCGGTATATATGCTATTTTTTTCACTTTTATTTTCCTATATATTAATATACATTTTTTATGTTATTAATTAATTAAAAAATAATATAAATATAACTTATAAAAACTCACGATTAGACATTAGTGCAGTACATTTTAGTTCAAATATTTATTTTCATTTAGCGTAGAGAAATTGTAGCCACTAACTCTTTGCAGAAAACCAAAGTGACAATAATCAAATTACTTGATTCGATCAAAGTCTAGAGAATAAGAACAAATGAAGGTCCCCCTTACTCCCTTGTTTTACTATCACACAGTGTAAGGGTGGAAGTTGTTTTTATATTGCAGCCGTTGGATGGATTTATGATTTATCGCTTTCGTTCTGAGTACAAAGAATCAGATACCCATAATTTTGGGAACCATGCATGGATTGAACGGTGAACATTTTGTCTAATGATAAAAGGTATAAATGAAATTTTGAATGGAAAAAAGATACGGAAAATGAACGATTGTTGGCATTTACAAATAATGGAAAGTTGTCAAAGAAAGGATTCTTCAGCAAAAGGACTGAATTGTTTTAACGTGTAATGTGGTTTACCAGATCACTTCTGAAAACGAATTAAAGTGTTTGCGGTTCCTTTTAAACTTAATTTTAGACAAAACATCATTTTATCTTATTATAAAAGTATACACCAATTCAAATTGGGTTCGTTTACATATTTCAAATATCATTTTGAATATTTTTTTAGTGTGTTTATTCAATGTTTTAAAATTATTTTAAAGATTTTTTACTGCATTTGTTTTAGTTTTTCTTAATTTATAATTTCAAACAAAAATCTCATTATTTTGAATTTTTTTTAAATACTTAAAATAAAAGCTAAATCATAAATATTCTCTGAAACAAAGATAATCTTTATAAACAAATAAGCAATTTTATTTGTTTTTCTAAAATTTCTAAAACATGAATATTAAAAGCTTAAACAAATAGCCCATCCGATTAGAAGTAGTTTAAATTAGGTTGAAATTGAATGATTTTTTTTTCAAATATTTGTTTAGTTAAAAGAAGGTAATCAATGTTATTTTTATTATCTCTTCAGCACTTTATCAAAACGTGTTTTTATATTAAATGTAACAATGAAAAAAAAAACGAGACACAAGAATAATTTTAAATCAATGCAAAATTAATCAACTTATAAATATATACTAATATTATAAGATGTAAATAAAAGTGTACCAAATAAAGATATTAAAATTTATAAATATACAATTACGAGAGCCCGAGTGAGGTGTAATATATATGTAATTTGTTTATTGTTTAGTCTTTAATTCAATTTTACGATTTACATCATATTGGACCCATGTATAAACATCTATAATCTAATAAACAAAAAAATGTAAATATGATATCCACCACTGATCCAAAGGTGCACTCCTCTGAGTTCAAAAAGGGTCCCAAGAATTGGGAAAAGGGGACCGGACCTATGGATTCAACGATAGAACCTTTGAATGATGGAGGCACAATTTCTTTTATTCTGTGTCCACCTTGACCCGACCAATAAAATGCACAGTAAAACCAGCTTGGCTGCTAAACAAGCATATTCCACAATCCATATGCATGCTGTATTATTTTCCAGGTTCAATCCAGTGTATAGATAAACTTTGAATGATTCCTTTTCAAATTTTTTTAAAATATTATAATTTATTTAAAATCTCCCTTCTAAAATTTCAAAATACGACATTTTTAGTAAAGGAACAATTGCTGAAGTTTTTAACATTATTTTATAAATAATATACGCGTTTGGAAAGAGAAAAAGGACCTACCTAATTTTAAATAAATTAAGCTGATCATGATAAAATGAATTATAAATTAAATCGTTGAACATAATTAACATGGGTACCAGATGTTTTGTATTAAAATGTATGTCAAGATGAAAGAAATAAAATTCAAGTGTTCGTCAAATGAACACTGAAGTGTTTTATATGATCGAATATGTCAATTGATATATCATTAAACTTGTATAATTTATTTTAAAAAAATTATTTGTTAAAAAAGTTTGATCCACCAATACCTAGAAAATGAATATGTTTTTCAAATAATCTATAACGCGGGCCTTTTTTCTCAGTAAAAAAATATTTGATTAGTTTGATATTATTTATTAAATATTGTCAATAAGTGAAAACAGTGTAACTTAAAGCAAGTAAGTTTACTTGTAGAGTTGGGCCGGTTGTATGACACACGTTAAGCTAGTTTAGTTTTACATGAAAAAAAAAAACTAAAAAAAATATCTATTTTTCACAAACACACTTTAAAATGTTTTTTTTTTTAACTTAGTTTTTAACGTCGAATAAAATAGGTGTGTCTCACTAGAAAACATAAGTTAAATATATATTTTTAGCGTCAAAGTTATCAAATAATATAAAATATACTGTCAGTGTTTCGTCATACACACATATTTGATTATAGTTTTTTGGACTTATTTTCAAATACAAAAGACGAAGCAAGATAAAAATACATCTTCACAGAAGTTCTAGAATAAAAATGAACTTTTCTTAACGAAGAGAAAAAAGGTGCAAACTGCTTAGAGTTTTTTCTCTTCTTATTTTAAACATATTTTTACATTATGACTTTTTTCTTTTTGCTCTTCCCATTTATTACATTATATTGATTTAATATTTTCATTGATTTTTGTATGAATATTTTAAAATAAAAATAAAGTAATAATTTTGTAATAAAACAAAACAAAAAGTATTTTCTAAAACTAAACAATTCCTTGATGAGGTGGTTATTTTTATCTTTGACGTAATTATATTTGACTTCTGGTCTTACATTATACACGATGCAAACTAAATAAAAATTTGCAATTTGAGCCATAAACAATTAGTTTTAGTCGATTGAATTAAACAGTAATGAGCCCAAAGAAGGATAAAAAATATGGTGGTTCGGGGTTTTTTGTTATAGTGTGCTATGCAAAGCAAAGCGAAAGAGGAAAAGGTGGGCTAATACACAGGCCCAACATCCCGCGAACACAGAGGAATCAAAGTTTGTTATTAATATGTAAGACCGAAAAAGGTGTTATCAATCTCGGGTTAACTTCTGGTGCAGCGGATCGAAATTAAACTACTGTAATCTCACTGATCAAACCGTCAGAATTGGAAAAGTGGTCTGGAATATGGATGGCATGATAGCCGTTGGATCCAAAAAATTTTTGAAGAAGCGAGGGCAAAGCTCCGAACCAGCTACATGTTGTGCCTCACTGGCACTGGCTCTTTTTTGCCGCTCAAATTCCCCGTTACTCGATTTTCGTTGGTGGCTTCAGTTGAGAGAGGATGACGAAGTGAACTTTGCACTCTTCGCTATAGTAATCGCAATTTCTTTTGGAGCCTATCGTGTTGCGGTGATTTCTTGCTTGGATTCTAAACTTAGTCCGTGCTTGTTTGGTTGCTGAGCACTTGCACCTTTTTGGTACGATTCAACGAATGCATTACGCAAAGATTACTGAAATTCATTTTTTACTTCGCTTCTCGCAGATATTAATACGAATGTGACACGCCGATATTCTTTCCTATTTTGGATTTTTTTGCATCTATTATTTCATGCAATCAGGTTCATATGTGAAATTTCAATGAATTTAAAATATGTAACGGGGAAAACGAAACTATACAAGAATGTTTGGGAATGAAAAATAAGTAGAAAGTGTTAGTGAGTAAGGTCTGGATTTCGTATTTTAGCATGTTAATGATAAATCAGTGGCAGGGACTTATAAGTGCCGATGAGGAACTTCTGCTACCACGAACTATTGCTATTATTTATTATTGACTTGTGATTAGTGTCTGACTTCAAATTGTTGACTGCAGCTGCAGTCATGGATCCTGATGAGGAGTGCTCAATTGTTCTTGAATTATCTGAAAGTGATCCTTTCTTTGACAAAAAGAAGGTAAAAATAAGATAACCGAGTTCTTTAAATTTTGCTCAAGTTTTTGCTTTTTTGTTTTTAATCTTTATTGCTCAATTTTCGTTGTTGCAAAAATTCCTTAATTACTCAAAAAAAGAAAAGAAAAGATGGAAGCCTTCGGTTTGTTGTGATTATAGAAAATATATATTCCTTACAAGAAGTTCTATAATCGTTTCTCATTGAGGAGTTTTTAATATGACAATTTAAGTGCAAAACCAAATTGCAGCAAACTACTCCATATTATTTCACCATACATGTAAAATTTAAAGGCAATATAATTGCGGAATGTTCAAGCTATGCTAGTATCTGCCTCTGGTTTACTGTTTTTGAGTCCTAAGCTATTTCTACTTACTGACTAATCTGCATCATTTTATCAGAAATTACTACAAAGTAAGGGCTTTAGTCCCAAAGAACGGATATATCTCAGGAGCTCCTCAAAACCTGGCTGGATGAATGCTACTGTAGAGTTGTTACTTCAGATTGCACGAATCATACAATTAAATGAGGTTACTTCCTTTCTGTCCTTTGACTAGAGTTAGGGGATTGGGGTAGTCTTGGGATTTCTCACACGTGTAAAATGTTAAAAAGTTCTTATACTTTCATAAACATGTAACCAAGGTATCTTCCTGATCCACTTAACGAGGAAAACTGAAATGCATTGCATATTTTTTTTGGTCTTTTTCTACTCCCCATTTTCACATTTGGGAAGTTAACAAGTCGTGAATTAACTGATTTAATGAGCTGCAGCTGGAACTTTATTTTGCTGAAGATGATGCATGCACGTCTGTGGAGTTTTACAGTCCCAGGAATGAGTTGGAGGCTCTCAATTCTATTATTTTGCTTGCTGACATATCACTTTCTACTTGTACACATCTCCAAACAAAAATGCTACAAGGGTTACGCCAAACAATTCTTGATTTGATTTCTGATTTTGGAGACAAAAACAGTATGAAGGGAGTAATTGAAAAAGACCGCAGTTGTGATCAAGAAGAACGCTTGATAGAATGGGGTGAAAGCAATGGTGTAATGACACAGTTAAAAATAGCTTGTAAGCTTCACTGTATTTTTTTTAGAGGATGATTTTCTTTCCTTTTCACAGGTATTAGGTTTACTTTAATACATATAATACAAATTCACCCCCCCCCCCTTTTAATCTACACAGATATTGAAGGTTCTGGTCGGGGTGCAATAGCAAGAAAAGATCTAAATGTTGGAGACACTGCTTTAGAAATACCTGTGTCCATTATCATTTCTGAAGAGCTTGTGCATGAAACTGATATGGTATGTTTCCTTGTTGAAAAAAATGTGAAAATAGTTTATTTAAACTTCTTTAAGAAACCTAAAATAGACTAAGTGCCATTTGTTGCAAAAAATTATTTAACGAATAAGTTATCTTTGACCTCTACATTCAACATGGTGCCATATTATTTTAGAGTTGAATGTAAGTACCTATTTTATACCTGCACTTCATGTATCTTCTGCTCTGCAAAATTCCCTGTAGAATACTTGTTAGCATGACCATTCTTAATAAATGGGAGCATCCTCTCTTATCTATCTAGTTGATAAGGATATGCACATCCATTGTAGGTGACATTATTCCTTAAAATAAATAGAAAAGGAGAAATGTCATATGTTCACCACTCCATTATGTTCTTAACAACTGATAATTGTCTTTATCCAATTCAGTATGATGTCTTAAAAGAGATTGATGGCATATCACCTGAGACAATATTGCTATTATGGAGTATGAAAGAGAAGTACAACTGTGATTCAAAATTCAAAATTTACTTTGACACACTCCCAGAAAAATTTAATACAGGTAATCTTACCTTACTATGATATGATTTATACAAATTCATAGATATAAATTTTGTACAGATCCACTAAATTGCAAATCATTATGATGCACAACCTTTATGCCTAAAAACAAATACAGGTGCTCTCCTTGGGTTTTGATTGTGATGACAATGTTGTTTACATACACGAACAGGTAAAAGCACCATTGAATATGATAGTATCAGAAGATTGAGTGGATAGCCTCACTTCATGCCATACCAAATTGTTGAACTATAATATTAAATTTGCCAAACCAATCCCTAGAGGATTTTTTAAGCCCATAAAGGGATTTGTGGAGATGACAAACAAGTGCAAAAGACTCCCATTGAGCAATAAATCTCAGAGTTTGCTCTGTATAAACACTTTCAGCATTATCATCATCAAGAAAATTGTTCTTGATATGTGGTTGATGAAAAGGCTAGTGACAAAATGCAACTATAACCAAGATCATGTGAATATAAATTTCCTAAATGAAAAGTCATTTTTACCTCAAATGAGGTGTCTCCATCATAAGCCTTAGGACAATGAAGTTGACCATTTGAACCAACCTTAACTATAAAGATTCATTGACAAACAAAAATAAATTTCCTAAAAGGGAGAGGAATGAGGTATAAAAAACTACTAGTTTGAAGTGCACACATTTCCTCAATCATAGCTTGTCTCTACCGAAGATGAGATAAAAGTATCACATGCAGTTTTAGGAATTGATATGACGGACAAGGAAGAAAGAAAAATCAAAATGTGAATAAAATGAAATGATAACTCAAATTAACGTAGTGAGGATAAGAGATGCTAGTAAATTTTATACCTTTTCTGTGAGCAAAGAGGTATAGCTAGAAGTGGTGGAGGAGCTGGCATTGAAAAAGAGTCTGTCTGTAGTGGCTTTAGTAGGAGTACTAGACTTGAAGGTTGTTAATTTCGATTGACTTGGAAGTGATGAACATGAATGGATACTATTCAAGCATTAAGCATCAATGATGGGTTTAACATGGCAAAGACTAGAGGAATAGAAATAAGATTGCAAAATTGGACCTTGGGAGTGGAGGAAGGAAACCTAAAAAAAAGCGTTGACTCAAAGAAGGTAAAAGTAATCAAGACTACATATTGCAAAGAAGAATTGCGATTTTACCCTTTTGTACTTAATATAACCAAGAAAGATGTACTTGAGAGGATATGCTTGAAGGTTTGTCAAGAAGACCGATATATTTTATGTGAAGTTTTTTTCATATAGGGATATTATTCATATTAAATTGCTTGCTTCATGGTTAAGGAGACTTGTTATGACTGCAAGGCCTTTTCCTATTTCCTTAAACATGGTGATTTTTTTTTTCAGAAAATCAATGCAGTTTTATTTGATAGTTTTTTCAATCATGCATTAATGGATTATTACTCAAAAAATAAAAAATAAAAACTCGATGCACTAGAAGGATGTTACATATTGCATTAGATGATATTGTGTATATTAATAAGTTGGTCATTCTTCTAGAGATCTGATTGTTTGGCATGTTCTTTGAGTATTTATTATTCTTACATAAGTTACATTGGAAACATAGTTATTATAGGCTTTGATCGTAAATGACCTTGATGAACAATTCCTTAATTTCTTTTTTGTGTTTTTGAACTCTATTGTGGTGTTTTGTGAAATCTATATTGAATTTTCTTGGAACCACTGAGTGGGCTGAATGATAAGTTCAAAAGGAAGGCTGTAACCAGATCCCTAACCTAATTACATGGGCTTAGGTAAATAGAGATGTAACATTAATATATATGGCATATTTGTGGGAAAATAGTTGTCCAGTATGAGTTTTATGTTTTCTTTCCCATGTTTTTCCAAATAGCTTTGTTATTTTATCTTGCAGCATTGAGTTTTAGCATCGAAGCAATTACAATGTTAGATGGAACCTTGCTGTTGGAAGAGATAATGCAAGCACGACAGGTAATCTCAGTTGTTGCTAGGATCTGACCTTCTTTAAGTCTTTATTGATCAGCTTGCTTTTTGATTGAAGGTTTTATTCTCCTTTGAGGTGTAGTAAAAGTGTTGATAATCAATTAATAGTTTATTCAGGATTGAAGTTATTGATCATGTTAATGTTAAAGGGTAATGTGTACCTTGTCCTGCTAAGGATTATTTTAAAATTCAAAAAAATGAGCCAGAATTGGAAATTACCCAGAAAATATAGTTTGTTTAAATGAGGGATCATTTGAAGGGATTGCACCGCCACTTGACTCTTATTGCTGGTATTATATCCCATCACATGCAATAATCTCCTTTGATGGCTTTGTTTGTAATTTTCCTCTTCTTTTTTCGCTTTTCTGGGTGAAGAAAGGGTATTAAAGCTTAAAATTGTATTAATCCACATGCTGATCTAAACTGATGCATTTAAGATTTGTACCAATACAGCTGCTTGCCAAATGGGATACTCATTTCAATTCCTTTGTGTTATGTGGACTGGACATTAAAACGGTTTTCATATATACTATTGAATAGGCAGGTGAAAAGAGGTAGAAACATCCAAATATATATGCATGGGTTTACACAACTTTGCTGAACATGAAGATCTAAAGCACAATTTTCTGTTGCCGTCTGCCTTGAGACCTGATGACTCATGGCATACTAATGCAACTGATTTTGGTTTTTGATGTAAGAAGTATGCAGTATAAAGAATACGGGAAACTTACACTCTTCTCTATACTTAAATTACATTTCCCTCTATTTTGAAAAAGGAAAATCCTTCTTGGTAGAAGATGAAGATGAAATGAGATGAACATGTTATATCAACCACCCACATGATTTCGACCATTTCTCACTTTTTATTTCATTTTTTAGTTTGTAACTTAACCAAGAAAATAAAACCACCTAGGATTTGTCATTTATTTGTGCAATAACTTACATACCAATAAGCACTACTGTCTGAAAATTTATACTTTCCAACCCTAAGAGATGAAAACATGTTACACTAGTCCATTTTAATATAAATGAATCTTTTAACGGTAGTGATGAACTATGGATAAAAGATTCGTTTATATTTAAAGGGTAGTGCTTCCATGGACATTTTCCTCTCTGTGACTCTTTGTCATCGGTAGATGATTTTGATAGATTTGAAACTTTATAAAGATGAAACGAAATTTTAAACATACTATTATCACCTTTGGTGCTCCATCCTAAATCTTCATTTCATCTTCTAAAATTTCAAAAATTGAAAGTAAAGAACCAAACCAGCCACCATTGACGCCAATAATCTGAGCGAAAAATAGTTCTTAGGAGCCTTGTTCACGTCAAACTTGGTTTAGTGTGACATATAGTAATCTCTCAGGTGATGAGAGTGTAATTTTTCAAAATAGAGGATTGGTTATTGTCATTTGAGGGAATGTAACTTACTGTAAAGAATTAGACACTCCTATCCATTTTTCTCTTCTTTGGGTACATGTTTAATACTGGTGAACTGCTCTTTTATTTGTTCACTACATAGAGCTGAAAATTGCCCACATGTGAAGAATGACAATTTTCTTTGTTCTTTCTTTGTCAGCACCTGCATGCTCAATATGATGAGTTGTTCCCTGTTCTGTGCAATGATTTTCCTGATATATTTCCACCAGAGCTGTACACATGGGAGAAATTTTTATGGGCTTGTGAACTCTGGTACTCTAATAGCATGAAGATAATGTATTCTGATGGAAAGCTGAGAACGTGTTTGATACCTATTGCTGGTTTTCTTAATCATTCCGTATGTAAATTCTCTCTCCTCATGTTTTCTCCCCTTGCCCCCTTTCCTTTTGAATATTTAGATTAAAGTTTATGATCTTCTAACATTTTTCATTGATCACTGAATTCAATGAGGAAACTAAAGGTAATGGAATTTGAAAATAAAAGGATCTGATGAATTACCTTATTAAGAATAGCGCATACTTCTGGAGCAGGTCTGGCATTCTTGTAGATTTTAGATTATTACTGCAAGTTGATGATACCCATTATTACTGCATTTCTTTTAATGCAGCTTCATTTCTTTTAAATTTTAGAAAATCAAGTTGATTACCCCTGAATTAGCAGTTAGTGATATCAGCCATGATTTTTCACAATTATTTACTTTAAGAAATACCCAGATTTTGCGTAGCAACATTTGCGACCTATAAATCTTATTTCTCTTATTTCTTTTTTGGTTCCTTCTAACAGCTGTGCCCACATGTTATGCACTATGGCAAAGTGGATCCTGCGACAACTTCACTAAAATTTTGTCTATCAAGGCCATGCAGATCTGGAGAAGAATGCTGCTTAAGCTACGGGAACTTCTCCAGCTCTCATTTAATCACCTTTTATGGTTTCTTACCACAAGGAGACAACCTGTATGATGTCATTCCGTTAGGTAACATTACCGCTCCATTCCCTCGCCTCCACACGCATCACGTGTGACGCCCCTTCCAGGATTTAATGCGCCTTTTGTTTTAAGTTCGCTGAGCTAGTGCTGTCTGTCATATTGATATTCTACCTAATTGTAATTTGCAGACATTGATGGTTCTGATGTTGATTCTATTGTGGATATGCCCGTCTCCAACTGGACGACTCACATGGTGCGTGGTACTTGGCTCTCCAAGAATCACAGCCCATTCTCCTATGGCCTTCCCTCTCCATTATTGGACCATCTTCGGAAATCTCGAAGTCCCACGCTGCAGACGAAGACTTTTGTACTGTTCTTTCTCCTTCCGATCTTATCTTATTGCAAACTCAATTTTACAAAAAAGTTTATTATGCAATGAATAGTTTGACCATACTGCAGAAAAGAAAACATTAAATTCCCCTTTACTCCTCACTCCAAATCATTTCAGGCAAATTTCCTATAATATAGCTTAAAAATATTGTAGATCGTCAGATTTTATCCTTTCACGTTTTAATGTATAAAATATTGCTTTTACAGTTGCAAGGAAACTTGGAAAATGAGCTGGAAATTCTTGAAAATCTCAAATATATCTTTGATGACATTGTGGACAATATGGGCGACATCGATTTCGATAACAGGTAATAGCCTCAATCAGATAATTGCAGAAAGAAATCATGTAGTTTCTTCTGATGACTGCACTTTTTGTCCTCTTTAGAGAAAACTGCAGTTGGGATGAAAAATTGGGTATGGATTTTAAAAATCTACAAAGACGAATTGCCGGTTCTGTTTCATCTTCGTGTCACACTGGTATGGACATGCTGAAGAGTGAACTGTGCAAGTGCATGGCTGAGGACATCCGAGGCTAATTGAGCATGTTGAAACGTTGTGCCTCTAAATCACGAAGACGTTGATTTGGAAGCTGTAGTGTAAATATAGACAAAAATCCATGAAGCTTTCTGTCATTCGCTATGCGGCCGAACTTGGTTGCCCCACTCTGACACGGACAGCTCAGAAAGTCTTTTCTAGGTGAAATGGAATTTTGAATTTTTTATGATTCCAGCTTTTTTCAGGGAGAAAAAGCACTTGTTGGCCGTGGCACTATTGGCGCCACGTGTTCTTTGTGCAAATGCAAAGCCTACCATCTAAAATGCTTAAGAGGAAGATTCGCCTAAATAAAGCAACGCGCACTTGCATTGCCTTTAAAATATGCGCACTTGCATTGCATGCATATTTTGTATAAATTTATTTCAAATTGATTTTATTAGCGTTTTTTTAGTTTAGCTTAATTTAAATTTTATTTATTTATTTCTTCGTTTTTAAAGGAAAAAAATATTTCTTTAGATTTAACATAAACTAAACATGCTTTTATGGGGTCAAATAATATTAAGTGTTTAATTAAGTAAAATGATACTTTTAATATGTTTTATTCTATCAATTTAATTGTTAAATTAAGTAATGTTATTATGATGATAATGTATATCAAATTTTACATAATTTAAACATAGAAGTATTGTAATAAAACAATTTACTTTTACTTTAAATAATACTCTCTGATTTTTTTATAAGGAACAGATAGAGTGTTTTTTTTTTATCTTAATTATAAGAAATATAAGATACATTTTAGATGTATTAATTGTTAATTTTTTTATATTTTTCTTTTATTATTCTTATTAAGCATATAAATTATTAATTACACTATTTAATATTATGAGTATTTTAAGAATAAAATTTATATTTATAAAAAACATAACTGATTTAATTATTTATTTTAGTTCTTATAATTTAATTTTTTATTTTTTAATAAAAAAAAATATTGGAGGGAATATAACATATGTTAAAATAAAGTGAGATGACAATGTATTAAACAATTTTAAAAATTAATTTAAATTTATAAAATTGATTTATTTTATGAGAACGCTAAGTTTAATAGTTAGATTGATATAATACTATCAATTATGTTATTTTATTAAATTTGACATTCGATAATGTATGGTCTTGTCCATTTATTAATATTTTGAAACAATATTTATTACATTACATTAAATTATTAAAGTGATAAGAAAATATATTAGATATAAGCATAGGATAATATAAAATATTTTATACTAACAGTGTGTTAATATGAATCTGGTGTGTATTAGTTAAATTATAATTATTAGCTTGACCAATGTTAGAGTAAACTTCTGTACCCTATATGGATAAGAGTTTGAAAATGAATCCTAGTCACACTTCATGTACTAACTTCCTATTTTGTTTTTGTTTTTTAGTAGTCTGAAACAATATTTTATTTTATACATACAAACTGTGTTCAATCTTGTCTCGTAGAAAAGAATTTATTTACCATCTGTGACATAATGATATTATCATTCTTGGTGAATCACAAAGCCAAGTGACTAAATGAAGGAGTATTTTCATATCATAGATTTATAAAATGACCAAAACTCCTCCCTCGTCTTAACTCCTTTCCAAGACAGTAAACACCATGTTAAGAAGCTTCCCTTGAGGTAGTGCCAACTATAGAAAGTGTACATTGAGCGAGGACCCTCAAATGTTCTTTACGGGTAAGTGAAGCAGAATGGTACATAAGAAGAAACAGCAATAGAGCACGAGAGACCTTGAGGTGTAGGTTTGATAGCTGAAATTTTTGGCAATTGCATCAAGTATAAATGAGTGTTGTTTCTACTAAGGTCGTGCTTTAACTGCCAACTCATAAAATATTACTATTTGGACTTCACTTTGAAATGAAGTAGTGTGTGTAAATAAGAAAGAACGAAAAGAACAACAATCACGTAAGAAAGTCGTAGTACAATAAACAATTCTCAAAAATCAACAATATTGAGCTGAAACAATGAAACAACAATTGTTAGATTGGAATTTAACAATAATGAAGCAAAATCCCAGTCCTCCTTTCAGACAATCCTATTCAATCTTAATGTTCATACTTCTAATTAAAGATGGAGTCAATTGATACAGGTTTACTTCAATTTATTGATAGTTTACCTTTCTGCTAAATTAAGAAACTTAATTTCTTATCTTTTCTCAATTTAAAACAAACATTATATGTAAAAATTCATAAGATTACACAATTATTATTTTTAATTTTTAGGATATCAAATAACTATGACAATTGACTCTAAGTTCTAGCTTATTAACTAATTTTTTAAATTTTCATCTAAGTTTTATTCGTATAAAAGTCACGAAATAAAAAAAATTAAAACAATATAAAAACGCTATAAGATTTCTATATTCTTTATGCACTTTACGACAAAAATCACTTTCTGATTAAATAAAATGCCTATCGAGGTACCTCTAACCTACCGTTAACAAAACCCTTTCTTCAGCAAGTCAGGATATTGCTAGCGTGCCCGTTAGAATTTGCGTTTTTTTTATAAATATAATTATCACCTTAAAAATAATCAATAAGCATTCTTAATTTATTTTTTAAAACAAAATTTTAAAGTTTATTTATATTTATAATAAATATGTCCATACATATACACACAGCTTATTTTCACTTATTTCTTCTCCGAAATAATTTTTTTAAGAAAATACTAGGAACATATTTTTTTATTGACTTAATTTAAAAAGGAATCAAAGCACTTATCTTATAAATGGTTTTTTTTAAAGCTTTCCTTCATAAAATAGGTCGATTAGAATAAATATATTAAAAAATGTTTATTAGCATTTCTCAAATTTTTTACTTGCTTCATTTGGTTTATAACTTTTATTGTTTTAATTTAATGTTGATTATAATATATTTTTCCAAATGAAAGATAAAATTTTTGTTAACCAATGATTTTATTAAATATTGGTTAAAACTATATTTTTTATTAAAATCATATTGAAATTATGAAGATGAATGCTTTGTTATGTTTCGGGCCACCGAAGAAACTGATATGAAGAAAAAAAGGAAGGTTGGTAAGTGACGTCTGATTAGGATCCATTTTAGGTACAAACTCTATTCAGTCTTTATAGAAAGGAATAAAAAACAAGAGTTTCTCCATCAGTAGTGACATAATGACATTATTGTACCACCCGAAATCACGAGCCCAAATTACCAATGGAAATAGTATTTTTCATGTCAAAGATTTAGAAAACAAAATAACTAAAACTTTCATGTGTTTTGAAAAAATATACAATAATATATATATATATTAAAAGCTACTAAATATTACAATTTTTAATAAAATATATTATTTATTAAAATTTTAATGTGTGTCTATAGTCATGCAATTAAAATTGTAAAACAAATTAATTTTTTATTTTTTAGATAATAAATATTTATCAATATTTTTAATTTAAGTATAAAAATAAAATTTTTAAAAAATTATTAATTTTTATATTATTTATTTTAAGATTTACATTACTCATACAATTAAAATATTCATTTATTATATATAAATAAATAATTTAATTATTTAATACTATAAATGTTTTTAGAATATATAACTATTTTTTATTTATCTTGTTGAATTAAATATTTATTTATTAAAAAATATAATTAAAATAAGGGGGCCCAAGAAAAGAATAGGAATGCTTTAGTAAACCAACGAGGCAACAGCCATTAACACACTGCCTTATTGTCCTTTTCTTTCTCCAACCGCCGACGCCTCTCTCCTCCACCTTGTCCATCTTCTTCCCCAATCCTCTGCGGACGCACATAATGGTCCCCCAATATTCCATCCAATAAAAAGAATACACGTCTTACTTCAACACGTGGGAGATAATTTTTGGGGGCACCCGTGAAGCTTCGTAGATCTCTCAACACCTGATCATAACCAACCCAAAAAAGAGAACTGGTTGCACACAGAGCCTCGAAAACCAAAAAAAAAAAAAAAGGAGCAAACGTGGAAGATGAAAAAGAGAGAAGGGTCGCTTGAACGTCTCTCTCTCTCTCCGAAGGTTTCTTTCTCTCTCTTCACCCTTTGCTGAGTGTTCCCATAACTCAGAAGAGAAGAGAGAGAAAGAAGCCGCGATCACCATTTTTACCTACCCAACTGCTTCTTGTTGTGGTCACTATAGACGTAGCTTTTCGTGCGAGGGTTTCCTTCCCTCTTGGAAGGATTAAAGTTCCTTTCTTTTTGCCTTTTTCTGTTTTCTGCTTTAATCGTTTGATTTTGGGGTGTAGTTTATTCGAGATGTTGGTAGCTAATAGCTTTGATCTATGGCGAAAGGATGCTTTTTTCTCTGCGGCGGAGGAGGTGCAGGAATCAGCTGATATGTACGTCCGCTTATTCCTCTCTTATGAACCCTTTTTGGTTTTTTGCTTTTTTTTTTTAATTTTGGTTGTTTCTGATTGATTTAATTACAAGATTCGATGGATTAGGTGTTAAATTATGCTTCTTGGTGATTTAGGTGACGATGGGTATGTGTTGATTGTTATGGTTCTGTGAACTACTTTTGGTTTTGCTGTTTGGGTTTTCTTTCGATGTGTTGAATTTATTGATGATCGTCGTGTCTTTAGTTGCTCCTAGTTCTTCTTTGTTGTTTACTCAAGTAGAGTTTTGTGATCATTGAGGGTTGTCCAATTCGGGTTGAACTTTGAGTTTACTCACTTGTTGAGGGGGGAAAACACTTTTTCTTTTTAATTTGTGGTAGATTTTTGCCTTGGCGCTTGCAAATGGAGTTTTTGGTAGTTGAAGGGAATGTAATAGAGACCAAGGAGGAATAAAAAGTAAGAAAACCTGAAATATTTTTTCCCTTTTCTCAGAAGTTGGATAAATTGCTCAGGTAACATTTCATTGATTTCTTACGAAGATTAGTCATGTTACTTGAGTACTTGTGCATTTAAATGAAATGATATCTGCAGTAGAATTTTATCTTATAATGAAGCTATCTGAATGATCTGTTCTCGACCATATCCTTTGATGAGTTGTTCCTGATTTAGGAGGGAGCTTGGTCATTTCTTCAATGCACTATAAGTATAATGGAGTATGTTATTTCTGTCTTACATAAATTTCACATCTCTTTTTATGCAGAATGGAATCTGCGTACAGGGCATGGTTGAGAGAGAAGAGAGAAAGGTCAGATTCTAACAAATTAAATGAACTATGCAGGGAGCTGCAAACTGCTTTAGGTACTGCAAAATGGCAGGTGTGTCTACATACTCTTTGTTACTTAATTTTGAATTCCTCTTCCTTCGAACCCGCTATTGAATATATATTTGTACCAAATATCTTAAGTTTTCTCTGATAAGTCAAATCTCCCCCTTTGTTTTTTATTTAATGCCTTGAGATTGAATATTCCTTTTCAGGTTTACTTTTTTTTCTTTATTTTGTGTTTTGAACAAAGTGGAATAAGGCTATTGTTGTTGTTGTTGTTGTTTGTGTTTTGAACATACTGAAATAGTTGGAAGAATTTGAGAAAGCTGTCAGGCTAAGCTACCGGCATCATGGTGATGACAATACAACCACTAGGCATAGGCAATTTATTACTGCCATTGAAAGCCAAATTTCCCAAGTTGAAGCAGCACTGAGGGAATCTTATATTGAGGAAGGTAAGCAACCCCTTCGGTGGGTAAATCTGGATGAAGAAGAGCGAGATGATCTAGCTGCATTTCTGTCTGGAACTTGTCAGACCACACAAAATAATAATGATGAATGCATGGAGGTTACTGCTTTGATGAAAAGCTCACTTCACGATAAACAAGTCAACAAAGAAGATAAAAATGTAGATGTAAATGGTTTCCGCAACTGGGATATCTCTACCAATGAAAAGTCCTCTAAAGATGTCATCAATAAGGATACAGATTATGTGGTAGAAATAAAAGCAGATGCTGGTTCTAGAAATAGTGATGATGTAATTTCTCAAACAGATAGAACAACTAGTACAAGGAAAACATGGAGTCCACCTAATTACGGTGCTTTAAAAATTGTAATTGCTGATGAAGATGAGCAGAGAAATAAATTTACACGGACTGTTGATGCTACTCCTAAAGAGAAAGGATTCAAACCTCACTTCTGGAAACAAAAATGTGAAGAATATCCTCAGGCCATGCGAGCAGTTCATATGTGCAATCAGGTTAGATGAATAGATGAAAAAGAAGTATGGAAATTTTTCTTCTGTTTTGCTTTGCTTACAGTTAATTTCTTGTACTCTGCAGTATTTCGGCCACATTGGTATATGCCAGAGGCAGTATCAAAGTCCCCTGCACTTGCGATATGGTCGTTCTGTTCAAGTTACACTTGCTCTTATGGTGACCATTTTTCTCATTGGTAAGCTTTCAATTTCCTGCTCCTGAGGATTCTCAACTGCTGGGAATTCCACCTAACCTATTTTGTCTCTAATTGGGTTGTGATTTGTGAGTTACATATTCCTTAGAAAATCTTGAAATTTGTTAGTTATCATCATCTTTGATGTGATGATTAATAAAACACACACTCACACTCATAATTTAAATAGTCAAACAATTATAATTTGTTAAAAGTTAGTTGGGAATAAGATTATTATTTATCTGTATGTCTCTTTAATTTATTGGGGAAAAAAGAAATGGATATTCAGATGTCTTTATGGCTAGACTTACTACATATCAATAATTCATTGCTAATTAGCTATCTTTCTCCTTCAGAAATCTGGTGAGGCATCCTCTTTTGTGAGAATATTTTAAGCACAATACCCAAATTACCAAATGGTTTAAAGATCTTGTTGACTATGCCAAAACAATTTGCAATGCATTAGATCCCTTCTATATTCTTCTGTGCTGTTGATCATGTTTTAATTCTAGATTAATGTCACCTTCTGCTAAACATTTGGCTGCTTAGTTTCTGTATTGAGCATTGCTTATTATGGAATTTTTTTTCCATTCTCCGCAGTTCCCTTTGTTCTTTATTCAACTTGAGTTAACTGGCTGCTTCTCTCAAACAGTTCAAGAGGTATTTCTACAACCTTAGGGCCTACGTTTTTATATTCTATAATGATTAAAATAATAAAACCTGAATATGGTGCTAGTATGTTTCGGGTGTAAGTTAACAGCAAGATATTTCCTTCTTCCTTAAAACATGGGTTGGAACAATGACAAGTTGCATTTCCTTTTTCCTAAGATGGTTTATTGCAGACTGTTTGGTTTTCTTGCAAGATAGTTTATTCATGGTTAGATGTGTCCACAAGCAACCCATGTAATCCAATAACTTTTGTTTCTTTCAGTTTTCGAAACATAGGATTTTTCATTCAAGTCAAATTTTGACCTCTACAAGATGATGAATGAGGAAATAATTTATATCTGCTTTCATTGTTTGTGTTTGAACGTTGAAGATTATCGAGATTTGATCATTTATGTTTTCTCAATCGAGATTTATTTTGAAATAATTTTTTCCAGACATTGACTTGTATTTGAAGGAATTAAATTTATCTGCCATTTTGATGGTTTTGATAACATTATTTAGAATTGATCAAGCATATGAAATATTATTTTAATAAAAAAAATTACTTTCAATTACTTAAAATTAATATTTAATAATATTTTAACTGTGGGGTGGCATTATATAAATCAATATTTGTCTTATGCAGGGCTTTAATTGTTTTTATGGATGACAAGGAAGCCACTGGCCATATGCGACTGTATTTGAATTGGTGGATAAGTCAACTAAAGGGGACAGTTGAGACAATCAGTGTCACCTATTTTGTCATTGTTGAGATTAAGATGAATTTACGCTCTGTGGATGCTGATAAGGACAATCAACCTCCAACAGTCATAGCTGTCTATTTTAGTTTCCTGGGCCTGTTAATTGTACATACATTCATCTAATATTTAATGCCACTTCCGCTTTGTTTGGTCTCAAGATACTCCTGTCTAAATACAACCTTCAATCCAATGTTAAATATGACCAGGTTGAATGTACATCTATCATAATAAATTTCATAAAAAACGCGTTTAGTAACATGTAAATACTTTTTTTAAAAATTTATATGGAGTGATATATGTGTATTTTTTTTTATTTCCGAGGGCTAAAAGACAATTACTGCGACTTTTATACCAAAATTGCGTTTTGTATGTTACGATAATTCATCGTCAGAGACACGGACTATTTTTTTGGTTACACGGTATTGATTTGTTATTGTTGAATTACGTAAAGAGTTATGGATAGTGGAATTGGGAACAGTGAAGATCATGAACAAGAAATATGTCCACTCAGAGACAAAGGAAACATCGTTGATAGAGCACTAGCACATGTAAAACAGGTACTTGTTTAATATACGAAAGACTTAAAAGTGAAGCCCAGGAAACAAATCGGGGTTGATATTTCACTCTTAAAAAAGTGATAATTCAAGCTTGGTTATGTTGAAGTTATAAGCTGCATCTCAACACCAAAATTATCTTCTTTATTGGATTCTCATATGCAAAAATACCTTTGACACGAATAATGTGATGTCATATCAATTTTGTTAAAAGAAAATAATAATATTTTACATAATCGATATAACATTAAATAATTGTGGAAAATCAGACACAATCAAGATCAGTAGATTCAAAGAAAACTCACCAATAACACCATTTTCACTAAGCTGAGCCTAACCATTTATGGGCCCAGTATTTGGTGGCCCAAGATTATTTGTAAAACAAAGGAACAGAGAAGGTTGGAAATATGAAGAGGAAAAGAGAAAGGGGGCAATAGCAATAGGAATAGCATGGGTGCCAGATTCTTGTAGCGTCCAATCAGTCCTTACCACACTGATCTGAGTCTCTGTTTGGGTTTCTGTCTGAATTGTGTGTGCTTACACCGATTGCAATGTTCAATTCCCAATACCCAATTCCCAATTTTCAAATCTCAGAATTTCCTATCTGAGATCTGAACCCAAATCAGACACACAAATAACACCACCACCTTCAATTTTTGATCGCAAGCTCCAACCCTTTCCTATCCTAACGCCATCCCAATCTCCGATGTCTTGTTTAGCGCTTTCTTTGCAACCGGCGAATGGATCCGACATCCTCCTCCAAACTCGCGAGTGGTTCCCTCCCTCACGCGCCCTCGGGGCACTCTCCGCCTTCCGCCAGACTCGACGCGCCTTCGCCGCCAACAAAAACTCCGTCCCCGACGACGCCTACGCCGCTGAATCCATCGGCGACGATCCCCTCGCCGCCTCCAGTGGCCAGGTCATCGTCGGCGTTGAGAGCCGCTACCGCATCGTCTACCGTCTAGTCAACGGCATCTACGTCCTCGGCATCACCGTCGCCGATTACGACAACTCCGTCAACGTCTTCGAGTGCATCCACATCGTCAACCAGGCCGTCAGCGTCGTTGTCACGGCGTGCCGCGGCGTAGACGTCACACCGGAGAAGCTCAGCCGTAAATATGCAGAGATTTACATGGCACTCGACATCGTTCTCCGCGGCGTCAGCAACATCCGCCTCGCCGCCATGCTCGCCACCATGCACGGTGAGAGCATCGCCAAGATGGTGCATTCCGCCCTCGACACCGAGAACAAGATCCGTGGTGCTGATAACTGGTCCTCCGTCGAAGTGCATTCCGTTGAGCACCAGGCCGGCATCGACGCCTTCGCCAATGCGCGGTTCGAGTTGCCACCGGAGACGCTCGAGGCTGGAGATGAGGTCGCCGCAAGCCTCGCCCCCACGGCGGCGGAGCAGCAGGAGGAGCAGCAGCAGAATGAGGAAGAGTCTCAAGCGGAGAAGGACCCTTTTGCAGCGAGTGATGCAATTAACAAGCCTCAAGAGCTTGTGGAAGGGTTCAAGAAGACGAGGGATCCTTCTGCTACAGATTTGACGACAGCATTGGAGGGGCTTGATGTAACTACATTGCCGCCCCCTGAGGCTACCCAATCCACGCATATAAATGTGGAGGGATTTGAAGGTAACTATGGTGGAGTTGAGTTTGGGAATGAGCAAACTTCTATTGGAGAAGCTTTTGAAGGTTTCAATGATGCATGGGGCGGTGGACTTGATCCTTCTGAGTTTGTGGGTCCAACCAAGGCTCCTAAACCGCAAGGGCTTGGTGGAGTTGAATTGTTGCAGACCGGGCCTGATGCTGTTCCTAAAGCAGCCACGGCTGAGAGTGGTGCAGGAACACCACTTGAGAACTTGTTGGTCAAGAAAACTGAGATGAAGGGTCCTGAGATGTATATCTCGGAGGAGATTAGTGCTGAGTTCAGGGAGTCGTTGCTTGCGAGGGTGGGATTAATGGGTGTTGTTTACCTACGAACTTTGCCACCCAAAACTGCTGGTGATAAGGAAACTGAATTTTCATTCCGAGTTGAGGGAACCAGTGCCGTTAAACGATTTGCTATGCAAAGTTCTCGGGTTAGTAGCCTTGGTAATGGGATGTTTCATGTGAGGACTGCAGCATCCGAAGAGCCTATACCGATTATGAAGTATAGCTTGCTTCCTAGGTTGACGCCTTTGCCTTTAAGGGTTCGGCTCATAAAACGACATACTGGGAGTTTGCTTTCTGTGATGATACAATATGCTTCAAATCCTGATTTGCTTGCTCCCTTAAATGATGTTATATTCATTCTGAAACTGCCCGTCGACCCAACACTATTGACGGTTTCCCCAAAAGCTGTGTTGAATAGGTCTGAAAGAGAAATTAAATGGCATGTGCCTGAGATTCCTTTAAAGGGGTCTCCCGGCAGGTTGAGAGTAAGGATGCCTGTAGATTCTAATGAAGATGATGAAGAAATTGAGGTGGTTGGTTATGTGAAATTTTCTGAACAAGTAACTCAAGCATTGTCTGGAGTTTCTCTACGGCCTGCTACGGAGGGTAAGACAGATTTCTATGAGGTTAGTCACAGATTTGAGAGTGGAGTTTACATGTGCAATTGATTTTGTAATCATAGATGATTATTAGGGGATGTACTTTTTCATTGTGTTCATGAGATTGTATGGTTTGGTTGTGTTTATAGCATTTTTGGATATTGATCATGTATCGTGGACTCTGGAATTATCTGAAAATCCTTGTTTCTCTTTGTTTTGGCTATAGATTTACATCAATGAATTGTATTTGGTCTTCACAATATATTATTTACCATATAAAAAGTACTTAATAATACTTCTGAAGATATTAACAATAAATAGGAAGTATAGATCCTTGAAAGGCTAGGGTAAAGTACTCTTGTACTTGACGGGTTTACCCTGTGCTGCATTTTTATCATCCTTTGAATGGGCATTCATGACGCATATATGTCAGACACAAGTTATTGCTTTAATATTTAGATTAGTTCAGAAAAAGTTTCAGAAACTTTCTATTCTATATATCACTTTAAATGAACACTAGGCAAGGGTTTTGCTTTCGGTGAATTGTGTAATATACTAGGATAGTGCCAAGCAAGGCATATTAAATTTTTAAAGAACTCCTCTAAAGTGAAATTGTCTAATATAAAGCGAGCAAAGAAATATTTGCCTTGAATATTAGTGGATTAAGATCATTGTATATTTTAAATTTAAATCATGGGTAAATATGCCCTATTAAAGGAGTCTTACCCGTTAAATTTGTTTGATATGATAATGTGAAATAGAGGTAATTTTAAAATTTACTGCAAGTTTTCAATATTACTCACCCATGTCATTTTAAACTCGATAGAGATCATTAGGTCCTCTAGTCATGATGAGAAATGATAAATAACAATAAAGTGCTGCGGACAACGTAATATAGTGCTCTCTAATCTTTCTTTATTGCCGATATCACGCGACGCTTCATAGATGGTAGAAGTTGAAATACCTCTGACTGCAGAAATTTTGTGTCAAGGACTGCCCTAATGGAACAGGGTTGCTTCTCTGTTGTAGTGTTATATATGTGTGTGTGTGTGTGTGGTGGCTAGAATTACATTTTATTTTAGAACTTGTGCATGTTTTCTTGACTCTTGGTGTTTGAAAATGTCCACCTGAGTTGAAACAAACCATTTTCCTAAGTCTATTTAAACAATGCCTTAATTGTAAGGTGCCTAAGCTCAACCTGTTATATCTTCTTCAGAGGAAGTTTCTCTACTATGCCCCACATTGTTTGATGATGCATCTTTGCTCGTAGAATGATGTTTTCAAAATAGTGTTTTATCAATATACTTTCTGTAGGTCCATTATATTAGAAGGAATGGAGATGAAGCTATTGTGATCTGATAAAATGATAAATATTTGAATGTGAATTAACGAAGTTCAATGGAACAATGAATGTCATCTACTGGTGTTGTCACAAACTTTTCAGTTCATTCCACAGTTGCATAGAATAATTCTGCTCACGCATACTTGGCATAGACAGCACATTTGTACAGATTTTACCTTTTGATCATAGTTGATTACACATTTTTTGTTTTCAATCTATATGTTGATTATTATGGTTCTGCTGACGATGTGCTCAGTGCTGACTTGCACCTAGCATTTTGAAGTATCACCTATAGCTTTTCAAGAAGCATCCACAATGATAGAAAGAAGGTATTCTCAATTGTTATCTTAGATATACAAATACATGAAAATGTAGAAGCAAAAAAGTATGATAGAAAGAAGGTATTCTTAATTGTTATCTTAGACAATACCAATGATAATGCATCAAAGGGAAACCGTAGGAATTGAAAACAAGTAAATAAGGGAAAATTATGTTCAGCACCCGTAAAACTACCCAAAAGTTTAAGAGTTGTTCAGAACTACACATGATGGTCAAGCTGCAAGTCGATTGGTTTCATTTCATTACGCATTAGAAAACAAGGAGAGGAATGTAAATCTATTGGGGTAGAGTGTATGAAGATGCCTTGGACGTTATCTCAATCAGCTTAAAAGGGGGTTTGGCCATAATAGCAACTGCTTCTTAACTATTGAATACTTTGGGGCAAATTGTACTAGGCTAGGGTGTTATAGTTGGAGAGGTTATGGAATATACTTCATTGCTCGCCGACCTACGTTCAAATTTTGAGTAACCAAGAGTAATATAAAATAACTTTTTACGTGTGGCTATTCAATAACACGAAAATGGCTCAAATAAAAAAAATAATGCTTCATGTTTACTCTGAGCAAGTAATGTATATTTATCATTGAATTTTTGTATATTAATATCACAATGTAATTTAAATGAAACCAAAATTGAACAAATTCTCCCAGACGACCACCTACTTAGCAACTATCAAGGAAATCATATTCCCTTCAATGCCTAACATCATAGTATACGAGGGGAGGAAACCCATACGTGAAGTGCACTTAATTAAGTTAACTGTATGTTTAGATTAGATTATTTTCAGCAAAATAGTCACTTTTTTTTTTCAAAAAAAAAAAATCTTACAAAGTTGTTAAAATGAGCAATTGTTTATCAAATAAACTCATCCAAACATATACTAAGCCACATGCTTCCATCACCCTTGGTTCGTATCTCGCTTCTGCCCTAGAGTCTAGAACAGTACACCCATTCTGAAAATTATCAGTTAAATTAGAATGGCGTTTAAGTCAAATATCTTTTTTTTTTTAAGGAAATACGTTATACATCGTATTATCTTACCGTATATCATTGCTAAATGCAAACTTATATCATTCGTGATTAAAATATATTTTTACTCTTATATTTTTATGAGATTTAATTTTTGATTTTCAAAAAAAAAAGTTTTTGTTTTTACAAATTCAATACTTTTGATCCTTAGTAATGATTGACTTATTAAAAGGTTGTCACGAATTAATTTTTATGTTCAATCATATCATTAGAAACCAAAAACGTCGAATGTAGGAAAATTAGGAATTAAAACTAAAAGAATTAAAGAAATAAAATAAAATATTTACAAAAATATCAAGATAAAAAATATATTTTATTTTCTTTTATTAGCTTTTAGGAGTATACCTCAAAATCAATCTTAAAACTAACTCAAGCTTGTATAAGTTAAAGCAATGTACTCGAGCAAATATGTAATTCTTCCTTTAAAAAAAAACTTGTGATATATAACTTCTAATTTAAACATAAATGTCACCTGAATTTCTTAAATAGTCATAACACCATAGCTTTTAACTTAATTACTTACGCATGATATATATGAATTACTTTAATCACTTACTTTATAAAATATTATTCACTTATTTATGCAAAAAAAATAGTTAAAATAAAGTTTTATAAAATTAAAGAAATACTGAGATAACCATTGCTTATAAATTAAAAGATTAAAGTAAAAGTTTACTCTATGTAGACTACGTTTTAAATTTCACATCTTGGAAGAAAGTTGTATCAATTCTTCTAAGATTGATTAACTTCAATTTATTTCAAACGATAAGTCGACTAGAGTACCTCAAAAGGAAAGAAAAAAAAAACAGCTGACTAATGTAATAGAACATAAAATATATTACAGAAGAATATTGATGTTGCCACCTCATGGACGTTATCTGCTAAAAATGCAGTGCAGAATTAGATGGAAGATAGAGAACATTCTTTTGCTGTTCTGTCCATTAAGAAAGCAATCAATGTGCATTCCTTTCATTGTAGACACTATAATATTGGTCGTATTATAATAAAGCATTGGTGTTCATTGATGAGAATCATTACATCTGAAGTCGAAACAGTCCCGAAGGTTATGATAATCTAGCTTTTATCATGTTCATTGTTCAAGAAGCCAATGCTCAATGAACTCGCGGTTAATATGAATAGTATAAGCGCATGAACATAATTGGAAAAGCATTTGGCATTCACTTAATCTTAGCTTATTGCTTACTTCAGGGGCAATGCTCTCTTTACTCTTTTAGCAAAAAAGTGTAGTCCCCTAACTATGATCGAAATTGTATACAGAATCTAATTATGCAGATGACTTGTTACCGACCTTTTCTTATCCAACATAAACCTTTTATATATATATACACACACCAAAAGAATTACAGCAATACAATTTTTTTAACGCATTAATTGTTATTGAATAAAAATTATCTAAATTTCACTCTTTCTTACTCTACGTTTAATATTTCTCTTTCATATTTACATAATTTTAAATAAAGTTAAAAAGAATATGATAGATAATGTGCTATTAACATCACTCATTTGTACTGTTGTACCAATAGGATTGACCTCTTTAGTCATTCATTTTAACTTTCAATTTTAACAATAAATATAAATGCATAAAATCATAAATGTCTGATTATTGATTGTAAAAAATAAAGTTAACTATAATAAAATGAAATTACGGATACTTTTTAGTCTGTAATTATAATTATTTTCAGCTATTTCAAATATGAAATCCTTTATTACTTTTTTAATCTTAACAATTAAAAATAACGATTTGACAAACACGCAATACCTGTCATCATAAAAGTAGTGATTATATGTTTCTCAGTTAACCCAAAGGGGATGGGAGCCAAGTTTGTCTTTTCACTCGAACTTGCCCAAAGATGATTACTCTACTTTGCTCTATTTCAAGAGAGAGAGAGAGAGAGAGAGAGAGAGAGAAAATGTTTTGGTGTCATTGTAATTTTAGTACATCATTCGATTTCAAATAACTGATATTTAAAATTTTGTATAAAAATTAAATAAACTATTAAATATTCTCAATTTTAACGAAATAATTTTATTTTAGAAAAATATACATACATTTATACTCAATCAATGCTCTCTCACTTTATTTGATAAAAATATCAGAAAACAATAATAAAGTCAAAAAATAATTTTTATTTTCTTAAGTTATGAATAATACATGTAATATAAGTAGCATTCAGCGTATCATTTTTAATTATGCGCACACGAGCTATTTTTTGCTAAAATGACATATATACTATAAAATGTCATTAAGTATGTTGATTACTGGAAGCTCTGTGAATGATAATTTTGTGATTACTGAATTCACCATCAACAACTTTTACTCTATCGTTCTGTTCGGATAAATGGAATTATTGAAGATTAAAATTAGGACTAATTTGTGACAAAAATATATAATGTTCATCAGGTTGGCTACTTTCTCATTATGGGACTCACAGAAACTACAATACTGGGGCCCCTGTATTTATTTCCCCTTATCTGCTCTCACCATTTTCAGCACAGAAAAGAGAGTTTTTTTTCTTTTAAACAGATAAGAGAGCTTAATTCAACGTCTATTTTATCCTTTATATCTCTTTCGTTAATTATTAATTAGTATATTTTTATATAAAGATAAAATAGTGCATAAAATAAGTTTAATTTTTTTACTCGTTAAAATAAGTAAAAGGAATTTTGTTTTATTTTTTATCCATCTAAACAATATTTTTATTTTTTTCATTATTTTTAACAATATATATATATATATAAACTTTGTCGTATTTGTATCTTTCAAAACTACAAAACAAGCTTAGATCCTCAATTTCAATACAATTTCTTTTTTTATTCATTTGTGTTTTATTAATATTTATTAAATTAATTTTAAATGCATTTGTGAAATACAATATGTGTAAACGAAAATATTCAACGTTGCTAAGGTATTATTTTGAATAAAAAATAAAAAAGTTGTCATATTAAAAATATAAATTTTATTTTAAAATATTTAATATAATAATACATGGATTCTGGTTGCGCGAGCAAGGAATGCTCAATGTGCGTCCAATAAATGGTTCTCGATGAGTTGGGGAGGAGAGAGAAAAAATCACAGGTAGAACGAGGAAAGACGATACATAGCACCTTTCCGAATTCCCATTGAGTTCTTCGTTGTATTAAAAAATTTACTTTTAAAAGCTTCGTTAATAATGCATTAATCGCAATGAAATTGAGGTCTTCTTTGTATAAAAATAGGCTAGCTAATAATTAAATTTTTTGTTAATTTTAACTATAGTTTAATATTTAAAAATAATATTTTATATTTTTAATAATAATCTGTGAATAACTAAAAAGGAGTGGAAGCTAAACTATCTTTGAGCAGAGACTAAGGCATACGTGGGCTTATTGGTTTGGGTGACACAATCTAGCACTTGAGTAATGGTAGGGCCGTTAGCATCGTTATTTGCACACGCAACTCATACTCCATTTAAAGCATCTTTCACCAACTTCACTTAGCCATTCCCATCATTAGGGGTAAAAATAACTCAAAGGTCAAAAACGACAATTAATTATTCAAAATCTCACCGTTTTCTTTTTCAAGACCTTAATGCATTAGTCAGTTTTCATTATTTACATGAGAACGACTCATGAGTAGAGTTAGTAATTTGATATTCCTAATAACAAATGTTAATGCATACATATGAGAAAGATCCAAAATATTTTGTAGAAAAATAAAAAGAGCTAATATTTGGATTGGAGGCATACAATACAAGCAGGAGCAGCCACTCTTTGTGTCACTGTCGGGTTTCTCGTGATTGTCATTCACTCCTATAATTAATAGCCACCACCTAACAAACAAAAGTAACTTAGAAATAAAAAAGAAAAATAGTAAAATAAATAAACAAATCCTCTCGTTCACCTTGAGGGACTATGATCCCTCATGGATAGCAACTGTACACAATGTACCCTTCTACGTGAAGTCAATATTATATTTTCCTCTCGCTCAAGCAACATTTCAATGACAAAAATACCCAAGCCATGCACCCTACCTTTACCCAAATCACAAGGGCAATCTCGTCAACATAACGACAACTCTCACCACCTCCACGTCACGTGACTTCAAATCTACGACGCTTGCGGCAAAGCAAACGACGTCGTTACGGCCACGCTGCTGTGATCCTTGCAACTCAGCGCCTTCAGTATCCTCCACGACACCTTGCCGGAGCTCCGATTCACGACCATCTTCCCGCCAGAATCCGTCCCCGGGAACAAGGTGGTCGACGGATTCCGGCGAACCTGCCGGTTCTTCATGTCGCTGAGCTCCATCTCCGGCGGAACTTTCATCGTCCCAAACATCAGAGAGTACCAGCGCGGCTTCATTGCCTTCTTTGCCGCAGCCTCCGACGACGCCCCAACGCTCCTTGACGAAGAATTCCGATCAACTTCCGGCGCCGAAGGCTCTCGCAACCTGCTATAATCCAAAGACTTGCTGTTCCTCATCATGACGCGGCGAGAACTGGTGCACGTGCTGACACTGTTTGATCGAGTCACGGAAGAGAGGGACTCGGATCTCCGGCGGCGCGTGGATGATTTGCTTTCTTCGACGATGAGATTTTTCAAAGGTTGTTCGACTTTGAAGGGAACGAGTTTGCCGCAGAAAATGATGTCGTCGGCGGGGCACATATCGGAGCTGCTGCTGCTGCTGAAGCCGTTGAAAATCTCGCTGCCATCTGGTCGAAGAATTTTCTTAAACGAAGTGTCGTCTAAGCTAGGAGTTCTTGAATTGCGGTTAAGAGGAAGGTCACATAGCGAGAGTGCCTCTTCTTCGTCGTCTTCTTGGGATTCCATGTAATTGGAGTCTTTTATTATATGGGCTTGCTCTTCTTCCATTGTTGAAGGGAAAATGCGAAAAGGGATTAACTATAGGAATTGTTTATTAAAGAGGGAGGAGGAGAAGTTGTTGTATATATATGTGTGTGAGTGTGTGTTTTGATGTGATGAAATTGAGTGTGTTAAAAACAAAGAAGGGTGTGGGGGAATTATTAGTGTGTGTCATAGTTCTTTTTTGGTTTGGAGTATATGTAACGATATTTGCATTTGGAATTTTATTCTCTAGGTGGGGTGTTCTGTGGTTAATTTTGGCTATGGCTTCTAGAAAATGATAGGGATAGGTATCTAGAAAGCCCAAAAAAGAGAAAGATCAATAGAGGGATGAGAATAGTGCGTTGTCCATTTCAGCGAAAGAAGAGTCCATCGTGTGCATACAATAATTCCAAAGGGGCACGTATTCTTGTGGCTATGGTAAGAGTGAGGGCTACAACTACAGGTATTTAGTGCTTGGTTTTACTCGTTGCTTTGTTCATTTGGACATTGCCACGGAAGAGAAGAGGCCCACGTACACGTACTTCAAGCCCTTTTTACAAATGTAAACACAAGTATTGCTCATTTGTCATTACTCTTGTTCATTACCAACCAATTCTTTGCAAACTCCGCATGCTTGTGTAAATAACACTAAACACAGTTTTCTGCCCAATTAACATCAAAGCGGTGGATTAATTTTTATCTTTCTCCTCTAAGAATTGCTTCTTCTTTCTATTACTTGAAACTTTTTTATTTCTGATTTAATTTTTACATAGAAAAAACTCTTTACCTCATGTTTTATCATAGACAAATTATTTAAATATAAATTTGTTTAAGTTTCTCCATAAAATAAATAACCAATCCCGTAACAAATGTGGCATCGTATAGCCCGCCCTCGTGGACCTCTCTAAATTAGTAAACGGAAAAACAACAAAGTAATAATTGAAACAACGCTATCTCTATCGACCAAACAAATGTATTTTCTGCATAGGTTATTCATATAAAAAAATTATAACTTATATAACATTTTTTTTATTTATCTTCCCCTGTTAGAATAATTATTTTGTCTTTTTTTCTACCTATTCTTCTTTTATTAATAAAAAAATTTGTCTAAAAATTTTACATTCATAGAATTTCTCTTTTTCATGTTATCCGAAAAAATATTAGTCCCTGAATAAATCAATTTAATACTCATGACATAAAGAAAAAATTATAATTATGTTATTAGTACAATTTTTTTATAACATTTTTTTACGTTTTTTACACATCAAATTAAGTATTTTATCTTATAGCTTTCTCCTTTATCTGTACCCTTTTGTATAAACTAATTTCACAATAATTTTTCAAAAAGTTAAATGCCTCCAAATTTGTGGCAAACAAATCAATAAATGTGGTATCACATCCATGCTTAGGTATGCGATAAATACAAAGAAGTGAATATATATATATTCTGCATTGCAAGCGTAAGTATTAATACATTATTAAAATCAATATATAAATTTTATTGATACAATGTAACTAAATAAAAAATTTATATTTATATTTAAACTAATTAAAATTTATAAAAAATTCTATTTTATATAATATGTTCAAATTATATTAAATTCAAAAAATGTCTATATTTAAAAACTCCAAATAAAATCAAATATTAAATACAACATAAGTAAATGATAATAAGTTTTTAAAACATTCTTATTTAAAAATTAAATTTTAATTTGATAAAATTGTCACATTGATAAAAATAGGTTCGCATGTTTGGTATAACATACTTTCAATTCGATAAAAGAAATGTATAAATTTAATAAAAAAATATTAGTAACACACTCTTTAATATTATTTTAATTATTTTTTAAAAATTATATAAATTTTTATTCATAAATTAATATTTCACTCATAGTTTATAATTTTAATAGGTTAAAATCAATAATTAATAGTATATTTTAAAAAATACAATACTAAAGTTACTTAGTTTGATAATAATTGGTATGGTACACAAGAGCTGTACTCGTTCATATATAAAACATTCATAATTTTATATTTAAGAAACAGTCTTAATAATCGAAAAATTGAAAATAAAAGTTATCAATTACATTAATAAAATTGCAAAATAATACAAAAATTCATTCTTATCTCGCTAAAAAAAAGTGAGCTACATGGAACACATTCACGCCACTTTCTAATAAAAACTTTTCCCTTTTTACTGATTCACATTTGCTTGTGCTTAAAAAACGATTACATTCTATCGCGGTACTTAGGATCCAACGCAAGACATTGCTCCATGAAAAAATCACATCCAAATTGTTGAGCTAATTTACTTACTGTAACATTGGCTGTTTGATTTTTCAGGAAATAATACAATATAACGTTTCCGAAATTAAATTAACTTTCTAGTTGAGCAATATGTTTACCCTAATCTACATCTACCAAATACGTTCACCAGAACATTTCCGCAGTGCAAAATACGAGCAGTACAAAAACCATTTTTCATATCACAATAAAAATATTAACTGATACTTTATTTGCTGCAAAGATTCAATTAAACTATAAAAGTACTCAGTCCTCACTCGAACAATTATTACCACTTATCGTTTTGAATTAAAGCATTGAACAGTTATATTCCTTTCAACATAAGTGCTGCGCCCATAAAACGCTGTTAAATTATAATTCAGAACCAGCCAAATAACGAGAAATCAAAAATTCACAATGGACTTCACGGGCTGTCAAGTTAATCGAATTAACTGATTAAAAATTCGGAGCCACAACTACAAATAACCAAACAAGAACCATTGTGAAATCTAAAGCTAAAGCTCAAGAACCATTGCACAATATCAACATAGAAATAGATACTATAAGAAACCCTAATTCACATCGCAATGCAAAGATCCCCAATTCTTTAACCGCCGAAACCATAAAGAGTCCTCCCCTGCCTCTTGAGGGCATAGACAACGTCCATGGCAGTAACAGTTTTGCGACGAGCGTGCTCAGTGTAGGTAACAGCGTCGCGAATCACGTTCTCAAGAAAGATCTTGAGGACACCACGGGTTTCTTCGTAAATGAGACCACTGATACGCTTAACGCCACCACGCCTCGCGAGACGACGAATGGCAGGCTTGGTGATTCCCTGGATGTTATCCCTCAGAACCTTACGGTGTCGTTTCGCTCCTCCCTTTCCGAGCCCTTTTCCTCCCTTTCCTCTTCCAGACATGATTGTGGATGTTGTTTGTTTTCTCTGTGATTCACCCTCGAAACGAAACCGAATATGCACGCAAATGACTTTGTTGATAAACGTGGAGAATCTGGAGTTTATATAGGATACGGTAAAACATTTTGGCCGATGGATTGGTATGCTATCCGTGTCACTTGATGCTAGACCGTTGGATTTAAAATGGTTGATTTTTATTGGTCGAAACAGTGTGAAGCGGATTGCGGGTTTTGAAATTTTGGAGGTTGGGTCTAGCGGGTTTTTTTACGTTGGGAATTGTGTCTGCGAGAAAACACATCTTTTAGCACGTGAGAGGGAAATTGTGTATTTATCTCGCAAAAATTTGAACGAAAATACAAAATATAACCGCGTTTAAGCAATTTGGGATTTCTCTTTGTAAAAAAGAAGAGAAGTTGTAACGAACCTAGAAAGCCATGTCACAAAACTTACATATTTAAGCATATAAAATGTTTCAAAATGATGGCAATTAAATTGTTAATTGAACAATTTTTTATTAGTGTAGTTTAAAATGTCTTACAATTTATTTTAAGAATACATTCACCGTATAAAAATTTAAACATCTATTTTTTTGCTTTAGTGTATTATATAATTCCGTGACTGTAGTTTGCATAAAAATATTTCGTCACGCACTGTTAAAAATATTAATTGAGATTGTTAAGAAGAGTTAGTTTTTAAAATGTTAGTTAATGATTATTAAATTAAAATAGTTAGTATCTTTGTGTACATATATTAAATAATAATTGTCTTTGCATTTACCTTTTCATATTTTTATTAACAACACAAAATATATTTTTTTTCAACTCTCCCTCTCTCTTTTACACTACCATGTTTTTTAACACGGCTCAGAGTCGTGGCATCCTCTGTTGGCATTTGTTCGCTAAAATGTTTAGATTTACTTTCTTGTTACTTTATCGGAGTCACTAGGCTTCACATATATTTTGTCTTTTGTAAGAAAATATATTTAAGATGTGATTTGACACTTACATTTAAATTTCATTTTAATATTGGTTCTTGTAGTATTATAGCTTTCTAAAGTTGTTTTGAATTGAAATTTTTATTATTCTTGGGACCATGTACCTTTTTTCAAGCAGAACTACGGGTACATGAGATTTTGATTCAATTCCAGTCACGTAGATTGTTGAATAATTTATTAGCTGTTGAAATTCCTCTTTTGATTTCCATATTTGATAAAATTAGTTGTGATAAATTTAAATAATTCTTGTAGCCTTGTATTCAGATCAATGAACCATGTTATGGTTCTGAACTTGCTCTTTTCAAGTGACGAAGTGTTTATTTATAATGGATTATGCACAAGTGGTTAAGCTTTTATGATGATAATTTTGTCTTCTATTGAATGGTTATGCATCAAAGAAATTTTTATTTAATGGTTAAGCATTTTGTAAGTTATGTTTTTTAAAGTGATTAAGCAACAATTACTTTATTGGTTATATATATTCCAATTTGTTTGTCAATATATTTTTAGCACTATTATATGTATTTTTTTTCTTCATCCACGTTTGTTTTAGATATTGCTTTAGATATTTAATAATATTAGTTAATAGTCATTAAATAGTAATCTTTTCGTATATCAATCAAATAATAATTCCTTTTATATTCATTCACCTTTTATAATCTTCGGTAACAATACAAATTTAGTTTTAACAATTACTTCATCTCCTTTTTCTTTGCACTCCATCATGTTTCCAATGCAATGCATAACATTATTAAAATAATAAAAAAATCCACATATTGGGTGATGATATACTTGTTGATGACAAAAAAAATAAAATTAATCCAAACATTAAAATATTTTGTAAATATTTTCAAAATTATTTCCCCTTTTGAGTGATTAAGGAGACCTAGCTTCAATTTACTACAGTTTATTGCACGATCTTTTAGCAGCATACAGGGCCATTGCACCTTCTGATCTTAAGACACCCTCGCAGAAATCACAAGCTAAACTACCCCATAATCAACAACCGACAGTTCCTTGAAAAGCATTTGGAATAGCAAGACTTGCACAGATTACTTAGAGCATGTTTGTTTTTATTTATTTTTTCTTTTTTTAGTTTTCAAAAAGAAAAAAATTATTTTAAAAATTGGAGTTTCTATGGCCAAAGCACAACGCGAATTGATGAATAGTCGCCAGTAACATTACGCTTCAAAACAGAAAGAAAGTATTGCGTAACAGTAATTTGTCTGCATTAGCTTTTCTCCTTAGCTAAGTGGGCCCGACAGCCCAGTTGGCTACCCAAAAAAAGTCCTGAATTCCATTCCAATTTGCCTTGGACACTAAACCCTAATTCCCGCTTCAAGGTATCGCAGCCTCCACAGCTTCTGGTTTCAGAGATTGCGATCTGCAATGGCGGTGAGTATCTTCCTCTTAATCACTTTCTATGCGTTTAGTACATTATCCCACACACTTTTGCTTCTGTTGCTGCACGCCATTTCTTTGAGGATAAATAAATGAGAAAGTAATTTGAGGAAGAACGCGAGCCAATATTGTGCTGCTTCATTGAATATAGATGATCATGCTGTGGGGTTAAATATGCCTCTTTTGTTTTTGCTCGGTTTTGCAGACTATACCAGTTAATCCCAAGCCTTTCTTGAACAATTTGACTGGGAAGCCTGTTATTGTGAAACTAAAGTGGGGAATGGAGTACAAGGGTATGCACAGTCCTTTATTTTGGGCCAATTTTTCTACTGCTATTTCGCTGTTACAAGTTTATTTGTTAGGTGGTCAAACAAATACTGCAGGGATGTTATTATCATCTTTTATTTTAATTTACAGGTTATCTTGTTTCAGTTGATTCCTACATGAACTTACAGGTGCTTTTCTAAATTCACTCTTTGGTGTTTGCTTGCTCCCGTATAATAATTCTTGCTTTGGGCTATTGACTTTGTTGCTAATTTATTTTTTATTATCTGTGTATATTTCTGTAGCTGGCCAACACTGAAGAGTACATTGAAGGCCAGTTTACTGGAAATTTAGGAGAGATTTTAATCAGGTAACTTGCATGTTAACTATTCTATTTGCTAGTGGTATTCATGTTTTGCTAACTTATATATGTTATTTCTCATTATGGTTTTCTATGTTTTGAAGTTGATTTCAGCATTGGAACTGTGTTTCTCTATAATTTAAAACCTTTTTTTTCCATTCTGCTTTATAACTTGATTTGTGAGCCAGAAGATAATATCATGTGCGGCTTTTGAACTTTGTTTTTCAGTTTAATTGAACTGGGTGATCTCCACATAAATGTTTTATTTTGCCTAAAACTATTTTTTACTTTCCTTTCTAAGCTTCTCACGTGAGAGCGTGAGAGCATGAGAGCGTATTGATCATTCAATCTTGGTCAGGATTGGTTTTACTCAAATCTATTCTTGACTATCCATATATAATCGAGTTTTCAAGATTTCTGTCTCTCACGTCATGCGTCATGCTTTATATTGGTAACCCAAATATTATTGGCAATGCTGATTCTTGTCTCCGCCAACATCCTTGTTCTGCATCTGCATCATATTATAGATAAACTTTTTTTAGTAAAAAGCAGTGAATCTATGGTGTTTTTTGTAATTCTGAACATGATCAAAATGACTGACACTGACACTAGAAAGCGACTATATGCATATCATCCTTTGAAACATATTTTGGATGATTTTTTTTGCTCTTGGTAAGAGTATTTCACCCGGCCACTGTGACCTCCTTTGATGGTGTTAGTTCTTAAATGTAGTAGTCAAGTCTTATTCCATTGTTTGTATTTGTAGATGTAACAATGTTCTCTACCTTCGTGGAGTACCAGAGGATGAAGAAATTGAAGAAGCCGCAGAAGACTAGAATGATAGGTGCTAGTTGTAATTGTTATGACATGAACCGAATTCCATACTGTTTTTGTATCATCACTTAAATAGTCGCCAGTAACATTACATTTCAAAACAGAAAGTATTGCGTAACAGGGATTAAACAACAATTAGCAGTAGCCAAAAATAAAAAAAGCAATACATTCTTAAAATTCAGCAAAATATGATTCTGTATTAACAAAAGATCTGAAACATTGGGCAACACTGTCTAATCCCTAATTATCTAGCCGCCAAAACCGTAAAGGGTCCTACCCTGCCTCTTAAGGGCATAAACAACATCCATGGCAGTAACAGTCTTGCGGCGAGCATGCTCAGTGTAGGTAACTGCATCACGAATCACGTTCTCTAGAAAGATCTTAAGGACACCACGGGTTTCCTCGTAGATGAGACCACTGATTCGCTTCACGCCACCACGCCTCGCAAGACGGCGAATCGCAGGTTTGGTGATTCCCTGAATGTTATCTCTCAGGACCTTACGATGACGCTTGGCTCCTCCTTTACCAAGACCTTTGCCTCCCTTTCCTCTTCCAGACATGGTTGCTTATGGTGTTGCCCTTTATCCTCACAAACAATCTTCTGAGATGAATACTTGTACTCGATGAATGCTGAGAATGGGTCTTGGGGTTTATATAAGATATGAAAACAGATTCTCTGCCGTTTGTTTGGGTACTTATCCGCGTGAACAGGTTATACAAAGATACTGGCCGTTGGATTACAAATGACTGGGTGCACGGGGATTGCCGTGGGTTTAAATTTTCGAGTGGCACTACGCTAGGCGGCAAATATTTTTTGGTAACATTTTGATTTGGAATAAGTCAGCAAGTTGGATTTGTTCACATAAATTATAAAATTTTATTAAATAAAAATACTCCATTAGAAATAATAAATATTTCATTTTATTAAATATAAATAAATTAAATATATAATATAATTAATTAATTAATTATATAAAAATAAATAAGACAGATTCTTTATTACATTGTGTTAACAGTTTTAAAAGATAATATAATTAATATCTTAAAATTTTAATTTATCTGAAAAATATAACTTTGATCTTTTTAAAAAAACATATATAGATTTGTCATTCACTTCATATTTTATAAAAGAAAGCTTAATTTTGTTTTTTCACTGAAGATGCACAATGGTATGAGAGATTAATTTTTATATACATTTAATATTTTTTACATTATCAATCAATTAAAATTATTATAAATATGAATTTAAATTAATTATTGTAAAATCTGATAATTTTTAATAATACAAAAGTTAAATTATAAAATAAAGTAACAAAAAAGTATAGTATTAATATATTTAGATTGGATTAATAATCTCTAAACATATATTAATAAGATTTTTTTGAGATGTAATAAGTTAGAGTATTCTTGTACTCATATTTTATATTTAATAAAATATTGATGTTTAACAATATATATATATATATATATATATATATATATATTAAATTTATTATATGATATATGTAATAAATGTTTATTAATACTTATATGTGTATAAAAATTTGGTGTCATTCTAAACATGTGTAAAAATATTCATTCTTCTAAGGAAATGAAATTGTAAAATAATATGCTTAATCTTCTGAAGTATGTCTGCTCGATAGAGTCAGGTCGAAATAAAATGATAGACTTATATTTTAACTCGGACGGATCAAAATTGTTGCTAGTAGAAAATTAAATTATTCTATTTGATTAAATTTTTACAAGTTCAAATTAAATTTACGCATTTTTAGTGTAATATGTACGTTTATTATCACAATAAATCAATCCAATCAACTGAATAAGTTATATCATCGATTATAATTTAACCCACACTACTGTAATGTAAATATGATTAATAGGACATAAGGTATTTACCTATAATATAATTCATTTTGATGTCAGTTTTTTTTTTTTTTTCACTCTCAACACAATTATTAGTTTATATACGATGTTAATTTCATCAAGTTGTAAAGCTTGTTCTTTGTAAAATTAACAAGATAAACACGTAAAAATAGATAGTTTGAAATTAAAATTAAAATATTAATAATTAAATAAATTTAGTATCAATTTATTAAGCCAGTTATTAAAGTAAATATGTTGCAAATTTTAACTTTTAAAAAAGTTTTAAACTAAAAGACAAGTGACTTGTCAATTATAATAAAATGAAACATTTAGTTATTTTTACAAAAATTAGATTACAAATAACTATTAATTTTTTTCTTAAATGTTTAAGTATGTTTAGTTTAAAATAAAATATAATTCCAAAGGAAAAACATAAAAATAAGAAATTATAAAGCTGTTTTGCTATAAATAAAAGTTAATGATTTTAGTTTTTTCTTGTTAATACCTATATATTTTGTAATTCAGTTATATCAAAGTATTTTCAATCACTTAATGATAATTTAAGAGTGAAAAAATTCGTGAGTTTTTCTTCTTCTTATAATTAGTTATATGTTTTTCAATTTAAATAAATTCAATTGTTTTTAACAAATTTTTAATAATTTAGTAATTTATTATCACTATTGACTAATCATAAAATAATGTTAATAATTTTATTTACGTGTTATCTTAATGATCATATAAACGAGAACAGTGAAAATATTATATTTATAAAACTCAATTAACTGATTAAATATTTAAATGTTAAATTAATACTCATAATTCTTGAACTTAAATGACTTATTATTCTAATTAACTTATTAATGGTACAAATTTTTATCAATTTATTAATTAAGTTTTAATCTTTAATAGTCAATTAAAAAACAACAATAACATCGGCATCGTATAAATAAATGACATATGAAGTGTGTGTTTACTATAGATAGTCTTTATATAAAATCGAAAATATATGACTTAATTACTTCAAAATTAAAATTTTCCATTGTTTGATGCTGCAAGTGTTGAGTACGGAATAAAACACACCATTTATAAAGATGTTACAAATCTACCAGAGGTGTTAAATTCATTCTTTTATGAATTCCACAAATTATTTTACATTTTAAAAAAATTGTCTTTATAATTTTAGCATGTTTTGTCTAAGTTGCGTTGTTGTTTCTTATAATGAAATTAAGAGGTATTTAATTAATTCAAATAATAAAACTGACCAATTTTTCTTTTAGAAGATGGTAGAACAGCAGTTCATCAAAATAAATGTATTTATTTTTTTTAATCATTTTAACATCTTAGTTAAACTTATTGCCACAAAACAAATTAGTTGAATATATGTTTATCTTATTATTGAACCACCAATCCTAATTTATAAAATCGTCATACTAATGTATTTGAAATACATTTTTTCTAAATCAAACTTATAAATAAAATTAATTTCACTGAGAAAGTTTTAAATATTTATGAGAATTTAAATTTTATAAGGAAAAGAGAATAAAACAATATATTTATTTATACTTCTCTGTGTATATCATATATATATCATTTATTTAAGATAATATTGTTTAAGCCGTATATGTCTACCATATAATTAGTGTAAGCAACAAATATCTTTATTTAATATATATGTGTCTATATATATAAATTTTGGAAGGAAAAGGAGAATAAAATAACATGTCTATTTCTATTTCTCTTTATATATCACATATATAATTTATTTAAGACAATATTGTTTGAGTCGTATATATCTACTATATAATTATTATAAATAACAAATATATATATATATATATATATATATATATATGATATTTCAAGTAAAAATAGTTTGTATTTTAAAAAATGAGAGATATTAATAATGATTATTAAATTAAAAAAAAAGTTTAAATTTAATGTTATTATTTCACTATTTACTTTTTTTTTTGTCAATTAATTATTATTTTTTTATCTTTCATAATAACAAATTCTTCTAACTTGAAATGTTCTCGCTCTTTCTATATATATAGAGGTAAAAAAATTTATATTTTTAAAAAATTTTACATCTATTTATTAAAGTAATAAATTATAATTTATTAAATTTAAATTAAATAAAAAACTTAAATTAAGTATAAAATTTTGTAGAGTTACACTAATGCAAAAGATCTTTTTTCATATATATATATATATATTGACAATATTTATTTAAAAATAAAAAATAATATATTAGTACAATTATAAATTACCAAACATGTATTTACTATAACAAAATGCTATATAAATACATTACATACAAAATATTGTCCCCTCTTTTTCTTAAAAAAAGTCCTCTAAAATAAATAGTTGAATATTTATTTATTTTTATCTAACTAAAATTCGAAGTTCGAAATGGCCTTAATATCCTGTTTTGCTTGTTAGACACATCTTTAATACATGGATTTACATCAACTATTAATTTTCAATTATGTATTATATATTACTGGTAAGATTATATTTTTAAGAAAGTGATCTTACATAGATAAGCTCTGACTTTGCATGAACTTTATCATGTATAAATATTACAAAAAATTTAATTATCACATTATAATATATTTACAAAATAAAAAAAGCTACTTAATTTTAACTGAGCGCGTTTTATTCTTATAAAAAATATTATGAAATAGAAGAAATAATTTCTTAACGAACGTTTCAAATCTCTTTGTTAGCAAGATCCAAATTAATGTGAGAAGAAAAAAGGAGGTCGCGTGAAACATTCACAAAATAGGAGGCGTTTCGAATCTGCAGTTGTGGATCGGACAGTGGGCAGGAAGCAGAGTGCTGCATAGGGTCTCAATCCCATTGTTCCGTCGTCGTCGTCGTCATCGTCATCATCATCATCATCATCTCGCAATGGCCAATACCTCTGTTAGAAAGCCAATCACACACGTCGTTTTTGACATGGACGGTCTCTTGCTCGGTCCGTTGGATCTCACGCCACATTGCCACCTCTTCTGTTTTCTCTCTGTCATCTGTTAATATATTTCAAGGTCAATTTTTGTTTACCAATTTCATATATGGACTTGCTTCTCTCGCAGACACTGAGAAGTTCTACACCGAAGTTCAGGAAATTATACTTTCTAGATACAATAAAACCTTTGATTGGAATCTCAAGGCAAAGATGATGGGAAAGAAAGCAATAGAAGCTGCTAGGGTCTTTGTTGAAGAGACTGGAATTAGTGATTCTCTTAGTGCTGAGCAATTTCTAGTAGAAAGAGAGGAGATGCTGCAGAAATTGTTTCCTACTAGTGACTTGATGCCAGGTATGTGGATTAATGGAGATTGGAGACCCATGTCTTATTATCATGAAGATTAAAGAATCGTTTAGCTATTAACTATGGTCATATGAAAATTGGAACTTATATTACTGAAAATTGGAAACTTGAACAGTAGTGCATGACAGAAAAAGGGCACATGAATTTATGTATTTTTCTATTTGTGTTGCCTGCATGTCCTTGGTTTGTTCTAGACAAGCATTCTCGACAAAGGTGGCAACCCAATTATTTAACTGTTACGGATTTATTTTTATTTTTTTGTTAATATAAATTGGAATGAATTACTAACCAGAAGTTTGAAAATTTCAGTTAATCATCCGGTCATTATCATCATCTATTGCCTCTGTATTTGTCCTTAATTGGGTGACATTTGAATGTCTTAATGCCATACAGAAAGTGCCTTTTTTTGTAAACAACTAACGTATGTGTGTTTTATTGGTAGAAGATTTCGTCCCATTGGCTTTATTGATTATAAAAACTTGTTCAAAAATGCAGATTCCACTATTATCTGCTCATTTCCATCTCTGTCTCCCCACATCTGCTACCCCTTCTTCAACTTCTTTTATGGATTTATGACAATATCTCTATTCATCTCAATACTTCACCTTACCATTATCTCACCATCCAATTTTTGGATCTGTTACTTTTGTCTTTCTTGGAGTAATTTTTTATATATTCTCAATAGGTTCTCTTCATTCTTTTCACCCTCCCAGTTTCATTAATTAACTTCTCTTTGTTCAGTCTCTGATTCCTCTCAATTAATCAATTCTAATATCTGCATTGTAACTTCTCATTGTTGGTTGTTACCTTGCAGAGTTGAATCTTTTAACTTGTCATCATTTTTAATATATGCATTTTTTCAATTTTTTGCTGTGGTAAGATTCAATCTAAACATATTTGAAACAATACCTTGGGCATCTTCCTTGATTCTCTTGGTACACATAATGAAAACTTGAATAGATTCATCTCAGTATGGATCTACTAGGGGCGAGAAGAAACTACATTGACACATATGCAGCATAGCGATATATGTGGAACATCAGAACTTGTAACTTCTTTAATATAGTTTTGAACTTTGAATGCATAAAATCTTATTGAACATATTTCTACTATGATTTTCTACCTAGATGCTTCTGTATATAACTAATATTATTGGCATCTTTGAACTCATTTTTGACATAAAATTATCTTTTTCTTGTTTTTAAGTTGCTTCAAATACATTTGTTTTGAAATGCTTGTGCCAATTTAGTTGGTATGCTATTAAAAAACTGCTTGTTCGGTATAGGAGTGTGGAATTCCTTCCCTGTATGTAGTTTTTGTGACATTACATTGTCATATCTCAAAATATTTTTCACAGAAATAAATTTTCCTCATAAGCTGCTCTTTACTTTTTAGTGGAAAATGTACATGTTTGTTCATATAAAAACCTTCCAAAGATTCTAGATTCAATCTTCATGCAAGCCATGGGTTCTCTAAGTGTGTGTTTTTTAATAACTTGAGGGTGTTCAAAGACTTCTGTTATCTAAACTAGTTATTTTGTTGTGAAAGCCTTATCTCTTAGTGTGTGTTTTTAAATACTTTGCAGGTGTTCAAAGACTGCTGTTATCTAAACTAGTTATTTTGTTGTGAAAACCTTATCTCTACCTTTGTTACAGATAATATTTAAAGTATTGGGTTGGGATTAGTACTGAATAGTTTATAGTGTATATAAGTTGGCTTGTCAAGCTCAAAAGACATGGTATATAAATACTTCAATATACAAATTCTGTGTCATATGCACTACTAATATGTTTATTTATCAATGTCCTTCTGTGCTGTTTTTTCATTTATCATAGGTGCTAGTCGTTTAATCAGGCATCTACATGCAAAAGGAGTTCCAATTGGCTTGGCAACTGGGTACACTTCATCGATCTTATGTTTATTCAATTTTATTATTCTATGTCTTTTACCTTTTTCTTTTTCAGAGTTAAACAGAAGAAATTTATTTCCTACCCACTATATATTTTGGAGGATTTGTTATGCAAAGTTGTTGACAATTTCCTGTACAGTTCTCACAGGCGACATTTTGAATTGAAAACTCAAAGACATCGTGAACTCTTTTCTTTGATGCATCATTTTGTTCTTGGGGATGACCCTGAAGTTAAACAAGGCAAACCTTCCCCGGATGTATTTCTTGCAGCAGCCAAGAGATTTGAGGTATAACAATTTTTGTTGTGCACTTGTTGACAAAATTGTCTGCAGATTAAAGGATTACAGATGCCATTTTTTCCCCCTACTTTGAATTTGGGATTGCGTTCATTTTATGAAGTATTGTATTTCCAACTTTGTCAAGTTTGTAATCATACATAGTGGTGTTGTAGTTAATGATGAATTGATGATCAACAGGGTGGATCAGTAGATCCTTGTAAAGTTCTGGTTTTTGAAGATGCTCCCTCAGGAGTTCTTGCAGCTAAGAATGCTGGAATGTAAGTGAATTGAAGCATTTGATGATATTTTTTATTTCCATTTTTCAAAATTTGAATGCAATGAACTCTGGATTCCAAAATGTGCCGGCATTTAGTAGAATGGGTGGGTAATTTAGTGCTAGATCTAATTGTCTGCTTCAGATCCTGCATTATTACTTGCATGGTATATATAGTATACAAAATATCTCCATCAGCTCAGCTTTGTATATCATTGATCTGGAATTGATGAAATCTGTACTCAAAACGATTTCTTCAACCTAACAGTTATGACAGATTGCTTCTGTGAAATGTTTATATGTTCAGTGGGCTCTTTCCATTCTCTCTCCCTCTCTCATATGCGGATACAATAATATGTATACTGCCTGTACTGCCTGTCTGTGGTGTAAAAAGCCGTGACATGTGAATATTAGAAGTTGGGTGACAGATTCCACTGTCTCTGTATGTTCCTGCAATGGCTAAGTTTGGATGTCAACTAATTTTAAGTGGCAGTTGATAATTTTTTTTTTACGAGTCAGATAGTCAGCAAAAGGTCTGTGGAGTCTGATTGCTTGTCGCAGTGTTCATGTTACAAAAATGAAGATTCCCGTATTTTTCTGTCTTAATCTCATATATATATGAACCAACTTCAAAGGTTTGAGATAGCTACTTGCTATAACGCAATTGTTGGAGTTTGGAGATCTTTTACCCCTAAAAAAAATCTATTACACTATTCAATTTACTGGTGAATAGAAAGCCTAGGGATTCTCAGACAACTAATAACTGGAACTAATTCGTGAGTTGGTAGTGGGACGGTTTACTTTCTTCACAATGATGGAAGGGCTACAAGTCTGAATTTGAAAAGAGTAGAGCATTTAGTGAGTTGAAATGGATACACTGATTTCTCCGGTCTTAATGTCAAGGTGGCATTTAGTGTGGTCCCTCATAATACCCAGTGTCTACTTGTTCTTATTGGTTATAACCCATTTCTTACCAATCAGTTGTAGGTTATTTTGATTAAAAATGAGTACATTGTGCAAATGGAATTAGTATTTTCGTGTTCAATTTGTTATTAATCTTTCCTGGTTACTTATCGTACAGGTCTGTTGTTATGGTTCCTGATCCAAGGCTGGACAAATCTTTTCATGATGCAGCAGACACAGTGTTGAACTCACTGTTGGATTTCAACCCTAGCGAGTGGGCTTTACCTCCGTTTGAAGATAATGGTAGCTGAACTTGTGGGTTTCTATTACCGTCATACATTTTTACTGCAGACAGAAAAAGCTGCACATCTTTTGTACAACTAATTGACGAGTAATTAATCCCTTTCTATAGATTGTCAGTCACATCATTTAACCTTTATCTTATTGTTCTTTGGTAATAGTATTATATCGACTTAAGATCTTAGAGAGTCGATATAAGTCCTATATATTTGCGTATTTCTCTGGTGGCAAGAAACGTGATTGTTTTGGTTTATTTAAGCCGAGTACTACTCATTATGGATCACGATCAAAATCAAATTGTTGATAAAATTATTTTGGAATCAGCTAAAACATGGTTGAATTAACCGGTACGTCTAGTTGAATCCGTTAATTGTTAATATTCTTGATGGCTTAATTGGTTTACTTGCAAACTCCTTTTCCTGGAATCGAAAATTTTTTACTTCCAATAAATGCACATAGTAAAGCGTGTGTGAACTAATTTTGACCTCAAATCTTATTTCGTACAGCGTGTTCCGTTTCCTCAACGACAATTCAAACAGGCACTAAAAAGTATTTTTTGCACAATTTATATTAATGGATATAAGTTATCCATATTACTCGGGCAATTGGTTTAACTGGTTGAGAATTTGATTTGATTAAGCTTGAATATAGTTCCTGGTTTGGTTTGGTTGTAACAGGATTTGATTATACTAATTTCAATTTTCAAGTATTCTGGACCCAATGAGCTGCCAAAGTAACTAAGATTTATAGTTTATTTATTATTATTATGGAACATGGAATGTGGGTAACAAGGTCCAGGTAGTTGGGTTATAAAGATGGTTTCGGAGCAGAGGTGGCAAAATAAATTATTCGGTTTGAATTGTGTTGGTCGGGCTTGGATTTTGAGCTTCAGTGAGTCAAATAAATAAATAAAAAAGCTTACTTTTTTTATTCAGACTTTAAATAGAAATTTAAGTCTAACTCAAGTCTGTATTTTATACTTAAAGAGACTAAGTTAGTTCGAACTTTATTAAGAAATAGTTTGGATAAGTCAGGCTAAAAAAAGCTTATAATGAATTCAAGCTTAAAATTTAAAACTTAGATCTTATGCATGTTAGACATAAGATCATTTACAATTAAAAAAATTTTAGAATCGGATGCATGTTATACATTTAATCATACGGTGTATTAAATTTTTTTATCAGCAAGGAAGAAAACATGTGTTTATTAAAATAGAATACCAGAAATACTCAAAAGATATAACAGTATCATGAATTATTCATTCAAAGAACACTAAAAGAAAATCTTGCTTATCAAAAGCACAATAATTAATTTAATTAACAATTTCTTGTAATTAATATCTTCAACGTTTCGCATTTATAATTTAAGGTTAATTATATGTTATAGATAAATTATCTAAATCATTGTTTTTTATGTAGTTGGCTCTGTCTTTGAGTAAGAGAGAGTTCCTGCTGGTTGCTGGGGTCATGAACGTCTTTGGTCATGTTCTTATCCCCTGAGTTTAAAGTTTGTTCCAGCAGTACAGTTCACTTCAATGAACAATTTGATATCTCTTAATTTGTGGCACAAAAAGTTTTGGATTAAATAATTTATTCAATGGAATTTTCACCTCCTTCTTACACCAAGCTTATTAAACTTTATGAAATTACAAAATTATTCTCTTATTTTCTCTTGCTTTAAAATTTAATACAACTCCCCCAATGTTTTTTTTCAAGCTAAACTTATTTTTGTATTTAGATTTTTAAATATTTTTCTTTGATTGATTTAAAATAAAATAAAATAATAATTTTTGTGAAATTTGTTATTTTTTTAAAGAGGTTTGTTATGTTCTTTTTTTCTAAGGGCGTTCTAAGGTTTCTAGTTCTACTTAGAAGGTTTATCCAACTATTTAAGCTAAGCAAGGTGGTGGTTTTATTCTTTCTCATTCATTTTAACTCAGATTTCCCATCCTTCTGTATGTTTTCAGTTTTCACTTTGTCATTATTGACAGTGGTCCTTTACATTTATCTGTGTGTGGTCCATATCGATTTTAATTGAAGGAGGGTTGAAACCCTTTAAATTTGAAGCTAATTTAGAGGCTTCATATTTAAATTGGTGGTTCCATTATTAGTCATCAGAAGTAACCAGTTCCCAAAAGTTAAAGACTGTAAAAAGATGAACAAGATTCTCTAATTAGTATTTATTGTAGCACGCCGCTGTGCGTATGTACCACATGAAGTAGAAAGGAAACATGAGGGGAATATATGTTTATACGAGAAACTATGATTGCACAGATAAAATGGTTAGAGTTTTTCACAAAGCAAGTCCACTTTTTTTTACCCACCCGTTGTAGAGAAAAAAGATAGATACTAAAAAAACTACAAAATAACTTAATAAGTAAGGAATGTACTGTAGATTTTACTTTTATGCAACTAACAACGTTAATGTTTATACCAGTCCAATCGCACACGAACATGATAACTAAGCAATGAAGGAGATTAAAAGAAAAGACTTGTCCTGGCACCCCGAATTAAAATTCATTTCAATAAAGTGTCCCCATCTTAAATGGAGGAGTTTATGATTTGCCTAAGCATGAAAAAACTTCTTGCCTAGGCCAAAGAGAAAAAGTACTTGATTTGTATAACTTTTTAAATTTAATTTCTACATAAAAATTAAAATAATCTCTACTGCTGTTTCATATTACATAACGCCATTGAAGTAAACTTGACATAGTTATTGAATCTTTAATGTAAATTCTGACATATTTTGATTATTCAAATTATATTCATTAATATATGCTTTTAGTCTCTATATATATTTTTATAATTAATCCCTATACATACCTAACCACAATGTGAAGGTAGGGGAAAAATACATTACAGAAAACAAAATAGAATATGAGAGGAATACATGGTGAGTTTCACGATGTAGGTAATTGGAAAAGAAAGGTGTGACTTGGTAGATATCATGGTAGAAAAATGGAAAATATTTGATGTGAAAAATAGAGTCTATGATACAGAAGTGAAAACTGGAAGACAAATTATTGAGAGGATGAACAATCCATTGATGAAGGGTGTTTGGTAGAGAAACGATGGCAACCAACAGCTTAGTACTTGTGGTGGCAACCAGAGCAAAGTGGTTAATGAAAAAAAAAAAAAAAAACTTCGGAAGAGAAGATGAGAAGCCAAAGTAAGATAAATAGATGAGGGCATGATCATGATGCAATTTTTTTAGAATAATAACTTTAAAATGTTTTATAACCTAATTTGGATAAATTTTTAATAAATACTTATAAGCGTCAAATATTAATAAAATAAATTATTTTTTATAAATTAAAATTAACTAATATTTTTATTTAATTTTTAAAAAATTGAAAAGATAAATTATTTTAAAAAAATTATTTTTATATTATTTTTCTTTGATTATAAAAATTTATTTTAAAACTTGCTAAAACTAATCCAAATATAGTCAAACTCAAATGAGTTGAATAAGTGAATATCAAACTTTAACGACTGTTGCAATACTAAAAGTGTTTCCTTGAATATTTTATCAACAATAATTTAACATATTTAAAATTAATAACATTAAAAAAATTATTTTCTAAAAAAAAAGTTAGGCATAAGAAATTGCCTTTGTTGATATATCTTTTACTTAATAAAAATTAAACTATTAATATAAATAAAGTGGCTATATCAATAAGATGATATACATTCTATTAGTATATGATGTATCTAGTAATTTTTTTACTCATAGAATTCACACAGTAACTCCAATATTGTCTTCACTTCCCATATGATTTTTTTTCATTCTCTTTCGCCTCTCTTTTATCTTCCCTCTTTTCCGTTTCAAGAAAATAAAATATTTTATTTTCACTAAACTATTGCATCTTTTTCTTTTTTTATTTATCTTTTTTTAAATATTCAACTTTAAAGGTAAAAAAAAAAAAAATTATCTTCTCTTTTGGTTTGCACATTCTTTAAAAAAATGATATTATTTTTTATTACTTATTTTTTCAATAAATGACTTAATTAAATTTCAAATGTATACAATTATATTTTTACTATAGGGTATATGACTTTTCTATGAATAATATTGAAATGCATAAATGTCAAAGCCTAAATCATCCCTTGAGAGCACTGAAAATAGCAAGGGGAGCACATATAAGAAAGTACCATACAACATTGTTACTTTAATGACATGCACATTAACTGGACCATTATATAAGCTAGCAAACACCACTTATTATTAGACAGGGAAATTGGCTTAATCAGCATCACCCAACGTGTCTTTGTGGGTATCCACGGGGAGGAGCATTTATATTATATTAAGGACATCATCGACTTGTTTGAGTGTCACTTTGACCCGTTTCAATTCATTGGAAATAAATTTGTTTTTGTTTTCGGTTAGTTCTCTCTTGTTGTATATGTATTGTGTCTTCTTTCGAGCAAATAGAAGAAACTACACTAAATTTGCTCCTACTGCTTTAGACTTCAATCAATTCATCAACAGTTTCATATTGTCATGGCTAGCTGCTGTCTAAGGTTGGTCCTGTTGCTTCACCAACTGGCTTCCCTTATAAATAAGTTGAATAATACCAAATGAAAGTATTTTGTTAATCTCAATTCTTAGAGTTGAGTTTAAGCATTCATGAACAAAAATTCTTTATAAAAAAAATACATATTTATTGTATTAAAGTTATAAAAATTATAATAAATACTTTTTTTTAAATAAAACTTACTATTAATTTTTAGTTACTTATCTTCTAAGGATTAAAATTAATAAAAGCAAGAGGGAAACGGTTAAACCATTTTGTTGCCATTAATCCATCGTATTAATTGAGAGCTGAATGCTTGAAAAAAAGATCTCAATCCCAGCCGCCATTTTCCCTGTCAAATTGAGAGTTACTTTATCTTGTCTTATGGTACGCAAATATTTCTAGAAATGAAGAGAGGACGGAAAGAAGTGAATGACAGAAACATATATAGGTTAACTGCATAGCATATAATAGTGTGTTTGGTGGTGCGTTTGCCGCACCTAAAATCACGTTTCAAGCTTGCTGTCAACCGAATTTTGTCATTTGTCATTTGAAAAACTGTATGTAAGGCTCACGTTTCAATTGGAAAATTGTGACTAATGTTCTGATGTAAACAATATGTAACTTTTATGTTGCACTGAGGATTTTATACTAAATTTGACTAAAAGTTTTTTTGTGATAACTGTTTTATAGATATAATTACATTATTATAAACTTGATTTAAACTCAAATCAATTTTATAAAACTATTTCATCCAAATACATGTTAACGCTATTATATATTTAATAGCAGACCGTATCATTTTTTTGGCAAAGATTTTTAGTTTTGATCTATCTGCAACCCAACTCTTGCTTTATTAGCATTTGAAACAATTCCATATATTCAATTTTGTAAATGGTAATGCATGCCTGCAAGAATCGTATTATGAAACCAACAGAGATGCAATAACCACGCACCACTTTGTGAAACAACCAAAATTTTTTTTCTCAATGATAAAAATAAAAAGTAATAATCAAATAAACCACGAATTGCTAACTGGGAAAACGCCCTTTTTTATTCATATCATACCAGCACACAAAGGCTTTACATGTACTTCCAACTGGATTAACTCGTAGCCAGTATTTCTGCTAAAGTTATTGCTCATTCCTGACCATCCCTGAAACACATTTTCCACCCACCTTTTCCAATTTTTTTGATTAGTTTCTACTTTTCCTTCATAATTTGCAGGTGAGGTGATCATCACTTATGCCCCTCTTGTCGTACCTTTCCTTGAGTTCCCCTTGGTTGGAAGTATCCGAATTCTCTTTGCCACACGTACAAAATCCCTAAATAACACAAATACAAAACCATCAAACTAAATTTAGTCACCGCATCTATATACGTGAAACAATTAAAATAAATGTTCATTTTCCGATAATAATGTTTAAATCTATTTCAAATACAAAACATACCCTAAAAGTAACAGTCAAATAATTAGAAAAATATTATTAATATATCTTTATGATAATTTCTGATACATCCTTCGTATAATTTCTAATAATTTATTTTATTTATTAAGAATTAACGAGGTGCTTACTTCCAACTAAGGTCACCAGCTAGAAGAAGATCGTTTTCCATGTCTTCATAGGCAACAAGGTGACCAGGAATGGCATTGGACAGGTCAAGATCATCACTCTCTGCAGCATCATCAGAACCATCCACGAACATTTGGCGAAGGGCTTTGGCGAGACTTTGGTAGCTAGCATGGTTATGGAGACTGATGCGTTGGCAGATGGAACGTCCCTCTAAAACAACTGTCACTGCAGGAACCACAGTGGAGACAAGATCATCATCCTCAAGCCCAGGGAAGCCTAGGAATTTGTTGCTATACTTGGCCATAGTAGCGTTGGTAGAGTTGTTGTTGTTGTTGCTATTACCGTAGAAAGCTAAAGAAGAAGAGTTTGAAGGTGCACCCATGATTTGTCTTCTATCTTGCCATCTCTGTTTCAACAAGTCTTGTCTTTGGGGGTCAAAACTGTTCATTCTATAAGAAACTGATGAGGTTTTGGTTGAGTAGTGATGTGTGTGCAATTCTTATAGTATACTTGTGGAAGAGAAAAGATATACTAGATATATTTGTATTCACACAGCGACAAATGGTTGGGACTTGGGGGTTAATGCAGCATGGGAGGGAGAAAGGAGTTAAGGTCTGAATTTGATAGAAATGGATCAAAAACTGAAAAGGGTTAACTTGAATGGAGTTTGGTAAAAGTTCAGATCATAAAGAGGTAGTGATCAAAACTGAGACCTTGTGGGGTTCCTGGGGCACTATCTTTGATGGTGCATGTATTTGATGAAGTTTTGTTGAAAAATGAAATACATATAGTAGATGTAAGAGAGAGAGAGAGGGAGAGCACAAATGTCGGAAGACGTCAGATAGGTGTCTAGAACCCACCCCAGCCTCGTGGCTTAGTTTTCCTTTTTCAAGACCATTTAATAGAGTCCCCTAACCCTTAATTTCTTCCTGTCAAAATATCTCAGTCACTTTTCATCTCTGTTCCTTAAATTCACTATCCCCACCACCACATTTCTTGCTTTTTCTTCTCCTATAAAACTGTTATATGCACTTTTTTCTCCCTTTTTTTCATTTTTTTAAATCTAAAGTCACGGAGAGAGAGAGAATTAAGTTAGGCAAATGGGTAGGAATCGTAGGGAACGTACGAGATCGAAGAGGGTGGGGATGTTTGCTTGTGAATGCAAAAGATGGTGTTTCCTTAGATAAATAAAAATATATTAGTTTATTTCAATTATAATTTATTGTAAATGGTTTAGAACTATTAAAATACTAGAGCTGCATTTATGTTTATGGTAGGTCTTCTTGTCAAGATCAGTTACAATATAAAATATTGATGGGGATGACCATAAAAATTAATTTAACGCGTCAAGAAAAAGCAAACTTAGCTATGCAGACGAGACTACACTAAAGAAAGGTTAAAACAATCTTGAAAATTGCAGTGTGCATGAGCAATGGAGACGACCGCGCTGCGGTCGCCGAACGGTTTGCTACATTGAGGAACCCAAGTGTTGAGTTTAATTTGCTCCATTACTGAAAGCTTTCTGAAGAGAATTATAATTACTAAATTACAACAATATCTACATCATCGCTTGATTAGCTGAATAATGTCACTGACAATTTGACAATTTCTAAACTTATTTATATATAATTCACGTTTAGTTACAAAATTTGTCGTGTATTAGCTTTAAATAGCAAACAATAATTTATACATATGGCTTTATATGAGTTTAATGGGTCTCCTAAACTTTCCTAGAAAAATCAGTTTGTGTATCAGATGTGCAACGATGTGTATAATTAATTGTAATTTTGTGATTGTGATTGTAATAATTGCATTAGTATCATTATTCTTTAGCGAAGGCCAGTTTTTGCTTAACTGGTTTACAATGTGTGTGCATGGCTTCATGAGAACACAATCACGATTTCAAACTGAAAGTAGGCAGGGCCTAGTTTCAAGGATAAGTTGGATTTTGTTGACCTTAATTACGTTAAACATGAGAGTCCGATTTCATTGACTATATTTATATCACTAATTTATTTAACTTTTGGCAGAACAAGTTGGAGAGTTGCCTTCAAACTTCACTGCTACGCATATAGATAACAAAGTTAGGCACGGTTTTATGGAAATAATTCGGTAACAACAACAATTCACGCGTGAACATTATTTTCTCTATATTTGTTTGAAGTTGCAAATTAGCTCACTAGCTGTCTCATGTAGCATGTCCCAATGCCAATGGAAAAGCCATCAAACACTAATCACCGTATAAAGGAATACAAGACGAGGCTTTGATTGATATTTTCCACACTCGATCGAGTAATTTGGCATTCAAAATTTGTTGCCGGGTTAGTCGGTTAGTTTACGTAGATCACAAGGTCGCCACTTAGTTTGTTGTTAAATAAATAAGAGGCTTCAAATTGAAGCGCACACACAACCAAAAACACGAAGTAGCCCAAGTTTCGATTTGCAGGTGACAATTGGCTTTATCAAAAACGCAAGCAACCTCTTGTGCTGTAACTTGGGATCATAAATTCTTCGCTTTGGGATTCGATGTTATGCGGGGTTTGTGTCATTTGTCTCTGCAGAGACACTACATTATATTAGGGTTGTGTGAGACCCAAGTGTTCATACACAATCCATATCATATTGTAATGGGAATACGGTTTGCAAAAGCTCCTTTTATATTGCAATTGTACAAAATACCTAGGATTAATAAATGATGTTCTTTATTTTAAGGTGGTATTTTGGTATACGAATTTATTGCATGATTTGATCATGTGAATAGCATACTAAATGTGCACTCAGCACAGAATAAAACAACAAAAACTCTAGCATAAATTGAGATAGATAATCTTGATCTAAAGAGACCAAGTTGGAATACAATTTCCTGTAAATATTTGAAAAAAATGTAATAATAATTAAAAATAAAATAAGTTTTTTTATAAATTAACAATTTATAGACACTTATTTCTTTTAATTTTTTTTTATCTACCTTCTTCAAAAGTTAATTTTATATATAGAAAGAATAATTTATTGTACTTATTTTCTTTCATAAGTGTTTGTTGATAAATTTATCAAAACTAAACTATAATCTCCCCAAATTTTTACCAGATAACATTGTCTAATTGATTTAATTAGCTTCATTTTTTGTGAGGACAGAGGTGATATTGTTCACCGCTATTTTTGTTAATATTAATTTTTAGAATTAATTATAAGTATTTGAATGTGATATATTTTTTCAAGAAATTATCATTCTAAAAATATAATAAATATGTTAGTTTTTGACAAAATTTATTATTTTTAGTTGCTTAAAACCTACTTTATATGCTTTCCTTCTTAATATTACGATGTTGCAATGTAACTTTATGTGCTGTTCTTTTTTAATGTCAATTGATAGAATTCAAGTTAACTAACAAATAAGAAAAAGCTAGCTGACTACTTATTTTACACGGTGTGTGTTTTTGTTCAACCAAATTCTATGTTTGGTTTTATATTGGAATAGAGTATGTGTACAGTAGACGTCTGGTCTAATAAGAAAAAAAAATCTTCCATGTTCTCTATTTTATAACACTTGAAATTGCTTTTTAATGGGCAACAAAAATAGTTTCGGCCAGTATCTGAGTTAAAGATTTGAAGCATAATTTTTTGTTCGTGGAAAAAACTTAAATTTAATGCTTAATCATAATTAAATAAAAAAATTTTAATCTTGAACTTGGTTCATTAGATTGTTATGACTTTTCTTTTTGGACAAGTTTGAATAAATCATGTAAATTTTGAATATAGAAGTAGTGAACTTCTTTGAAAAAAAAGATGATGACTATTTTATTTAAATTTTATTTCTTGAAAATTAAAATCAGTTAAATATTATACATATAAGATGATAATAACCAAAATTATAAACGGCATTGGACTGGAGACCAATTGGGCCTCGTAGAATAACAGTAAAATTCACAACTGATTCAGGAATTGCCTTTTGTTTTTGTTCTTTTGGGCTTTAAAGACTCCGCGTGTTATTTCGGCCCATACTTTGTCTGCATTAGCTTTTCTCCTTAGCTAAGTGGGCCCGACAGCCCAGTTGGCTACCCAAAAAAAGTCCTGAATTCCATTCCAATTTGCCTTGGACACTAAACCCTAATTCCCGCTTCAAGGTATCGCAGCCTCCACAGCTTCTGGTTTCAGAGATTGCGATCTGCAATGGCGGTGAGTATCTTCCTCTTAATCACTTTCTATGCGTTTAGTACATTATCCCACACACTTTTGCCTCTTTTGTTTTTGCTCGGTTTTGCAGACTATACCAGTTAATCCCAAGCCTTTCTTGAACAATTTGACTGGGAAGCCTGTTATTGTGAAACTAAAGTGGGGAATGGAGTACAAGGGTAGGCACAGTCCTTTATTTTGGGCCAATTTTTCTACTGCTATTTCGCTGTTACAAGTTTATTTGTTAGGTGGTCAAACAAATACTGCAGGGATGTTATTATCATCTTTTATTTTGATTTACAGGTTATCTTGTTTCAGTTGATTCCTACATGAACTTGCAGGTGCTTTTCTAAATTCACTCTTTGGTGTTTGCTTGCTCCCGTATAATAATTCTTGCTTTGGGCTGTTGACTTTGTCGCTAATTTATTTTTTATTATCTGTGTATATTTCTGTAGCTGGCCAACACTGAAGAGTACATTGAAGGCCAGTTTACTGGAAATTTAGGAGAGATTTTAATCAGGTAACTTGCATGTTAACTATTCTATTTGCTAGTGGTATTCATGTTTTGCTAACTTATATATGTTATTTCTCATTATGGTTTTCTATGTTTTGAAGTTGATTTCAGCATTGGAACTGTGTTTCTCTATAATTTAAAACCTTTTTTTTCCATTCTGCTTTATAACTTGATTTGTGAGCCAGAAGATAATATCATGTGCGGCTTTTGAACTTTGTTTTTCTGTTTAATTGAACTGGGTGATCTCCACATAAATGTTTTATTTTGCCTAAAACTATTTTTACTTTCCTTTCTAAGCTTCTCACGTGAGAGCGTATTGATCATTCAATCTTGGTCAGGATTGGTTTTACTCAAATCTATTCTTGACTATCCATTTATAATTGAGTGTTCAAGATTTCTGTCTCGCACGTCATGCTTCATATTGTTAACCCAGATATTATTGGCAATGCTGATTCTTGTCTCCGCCGACATCCTTGTTCTGCATCTGCATCATATTCTAAATAAACTTTTTTTAGCGCAAAAAGCAGTGAATCTATGGTGTTTTTTGTAATTCTGAACATGATCAAAATGACTGACACTGACACTCGAAAGCGACTATATGCATATCATCCTTTGAAACATACTTTGGATGATTTTTTTTGCTCTTGGTAAGATTATTTCACCCGGCCACTGTGACCTCCTTTGATGGTGTTAGTTCTTAAATGTAGTAGTTAAGTCTTATTCCATTGTTTGTATTTGTAGATGTAACAATGTTCTCTACCTTCGTGGAGTACCAGAGGATGAAGAAATTGAAGAAGCCGCAGAAGACTAGAATGATAGGTGCTAGTTGTAATTGTTATGACATGAACAGAACTCCATTTTTTACTGTTTTTGTATCATCACTTAAATATAGGCTTTCTTTAGTTGTGTGTAGTGATTTGAATCAATGATATGCATCACTTGCGATAAGGTTACCTATATTCAAGTTCTTCACATTCCTGGCTTTGGTTCTACCAAAATCATAAGCTGCATATCGATCTTGATGTGTTTCAAATACGGGTGAGAATGAGGATAGCTTCTCTAGAATACGCATGCAGCTCGATATGTAGTAAGCTGAAAGTTTTAATTCATAAAAGTTAAGACAATTATATAATTGATATTCCATTCAAGTCACCTCAAAGTAGATGTTGAAAGATGTATTATCGCGCCAGAACATTACTAGCATGCTAGAACTTGTCGATGCTTCTATATTTCTTTGATTTTGAAGAAATACCTGGAGATGGAGAGGATGTGAATTTAAAATGTGCTGTTAATTGTGACGGATGGTTTTTAAGAATTTTCGAATTGATGAGGAAGGTTTTGGGGATTTGTTAGCATGGCAATCGTGCTCTCGCTTGTTGCGTCATGGGTGACATCCCTAAACTAGAGTGTAAATAAATAATAGCGAGTTTCGATATACAATTTATTTAATAAAATGTAAATGATAATTTATATTTTTAGCCAAAAATGATAATTTATATTATAAATTTAATAATAAAATTTATTAAAAAATTGAAATTAATTTTATTTGATTGAGTTATACTAAAGAAAAATTAAATTAAATTTTTTTAACATTTTTTTTATTTTTTTTAACGTGTTAAAAAATACATTTTTAGATGGTTAAAAATGAAAACAATTATTAAAAGTAAAAGTATTTATTATTTCAAATGTGTTAAAGGTATATTTGATATGTATTTTGTCGTGGTAATTTAAAATATTTAATAAAATATATTTAATATTTAACATACACTCTTGTATACACGTTAAAAAATTATAATTAAATAAATTAAAAACATACCTTAAAATTAAAATTAACCTAGGCATTGATTCGGCTTCTTACAAAGGACCAGAATCGGGTATTGGTATTGGTATTGGTTTTGGGTGCCTTTGTTGCTTTTAAAAGTCTGCAAGAAAAGTTCTGTATCATGGTATTTTAATTCCATTTAGATGAAATTATTAATAAGCATTTACAATTCAGGTTTGGTGAAGATTGAGGCCAACAGCAACTCCCTATGTGGGTTTCACGTGTCACAGAGTTTTGTCAAGAAACTCTTCAATTTGCACAATTCAAACAAAAGAACAGGGCCCACATTTTATTTTTCTGTGGCTGAATTTCTTGGCATGTCCACTCAAGGGGTGCGGTCTTAATAACTTCAATAATAATGTTAGTTGGAAAGTTTGGAGAATTCATTCTTCATAGAATTCTCTAGCAACTTCCACAGCTTTCCACGATCCTTCATTTGCCAACAATTTATGTTAGCAAGGCCAGAGGAAAAATTATATTTAAAATAATACAATTGTTCTACTCTTATTCATTTATTTAGAAAATAATACAAATTAAAGAATTTAATTATTTTATTAAAATTAACTACTAAATTTATTCATTGACTCTTGAACTACTCTAATAATATAAATATTTAGTGTAAAAAGTAACATAAATAAAAGAATATTAAGTAACATGATTTTAAACTTATGCATAAACAAATTAATAGACATATTTTTTCTCTATAAAATAAACATTAAAAATATAATATTAATTAAAAATATCATAGCTAAAAGGTAATGTTTTGAACGAATAAAGAAGCTCCTGTGAAAAAATATTCATCATAATTTATTTTAACTCTTATTTGTTTAGATATTATTTTTAAAAATATGTTATAATATAGATTTATAATTCAAAAAAAATTTAAACATATATTTCAACGATATTTAATAATTTAAAAATAATTATATTTAAATGTCAAAACAAACAAGTTTTAAACCAGTGGTGTGAATATAAAGGAGTATTTCATATCATGAAGTAATAATATTCAGTGTTGAAAAAAGCGATAAAGTTGTTGAACTAAATTAAACACGGTTGATTGCCAATGCTCGATCGCGGCATCAACTACCCCATTAATGGTTGGCATCATTGCAGCTGCAGAATAACATGACGAATATATTATAAGGTTTAGTCGACAACACCTATATCTTAATTTTAAGGGATTAATCGATGAAAGTATGAGAGGATCTTACATTTGATGAATTACGTTTCATGTTTTTTATTCTTCTTTTAAAAATAAGTAAATATAATACTTTTTATAAATATTACTTGTATTTTAATCTACATGTTTAGAGAGAAAAGATTATTTATTTATATAAAAAATTATGATAATATTATTTATTATTCTTTTACTAATCCTATCTTTCTGTCTATTTAAAATATTTATATTACTTGAATTGTTAAAGAGTTAAAAGAGTTAATAAGGAGTAAATTAATAAGCTTAGTAAATAATTTTATCAAAATAATTATATTTTTTAATTTATATAATTATTTTTTATAAACAAATAAATAACATAATAAACTGTAAAAAAAAGTTATAAACAAATTTTAATATTAAAAAATAATTTTTATATAACTTTAATTATCATCCCTAAAACATTTTTTATCAAAATATTTGTTTATACTGTTTATCAGTTTTTTCGTCTTTTCATTTACATTTGAAAAACTGTAGATATGCATTATTTTAAATAATCATAGAATTAGTTCATGGTATAAAAAACATATATGTAACCATGGTGTTATCCATGCCTTACATTTCATCCAAAAATTAAAAAAACTTATAGCTTTTGTATTTCTATAATTTACTAGGCATATAAAAATTGTGTTGTGTTCGTATGCACGCATACATAAGGGAGAAACAGAATGAAAAGATGATTTTATATCATCAAACTTAACAATTTTACAATATTAAATATTTTTATAAAATATTGTTTTCATTGTTTTAATTATTAAATCATAACTATTTTTTTTTAAACTAGCCACAGTTATCTTCTATGTTGAACAATCTTCTTCATGTCAGTAATATTTTATAATAAAAAATTCATTCACAAAATTCAAACTCGAGATTATTTGACGCTATCCAACCTATATCACTAATATGAACCTCCATTATTATTGATTGTTTATATTCAATCTCAAAAAATCAACAATAATAAAAATCTAATTTAATAATTCTTATATATATATATATATATGCAATACTAAATAATTTTTAATTGATGTAATATTTTATAAACATAATTTAAATAATAAAAAATAAATTTAATAAATTTAGCAATAAAATTATCTAGTAGAAGTAATTAGTAATATGAGAGTAATTAGTAATTAGCATATCCAATCTTCATCTGTATTGGAATTAGCATCTTGAGATATTTAATTCTAATAACAATACTCACAGAAACGATAGTTTCTTTATGTCCAAACTTTTTTGGTAGCTCATACAATACAAGGAATTGTCTGCATCTCCGAACCTTTCTTTTAGGTTCATACAATACAAGAAAGCTAAAGAAAATACTTTATAGTCTAGGTATAAACAAAGTATATAAATTACGTGAACAAAAAAGAATTCATTAGAAAATATAGTGAAAAAGAATCATAGGAAATGTTGCCATCACGGCAACAAGGACCCTCTCTCTTTGAGGGCACTGATGGAAGGCAGCGCAAATAAGGCCCCTTCAATATCTTTTACCCACCACTCATATATATATATGTTTACGCGCGTTTTATTATCAGACACCCAACGGCTTGCTTTCAGATATCATCACCACACATCGCGCAAATATCTGCCAGTCATTTGTAGATTCTTTATCATGCTCTCAGCTTCGGAACTATCCAGAGAACCCTGGAATTCACAAACGCACAAACCTGGTTAGCCACAAACTCCAAATATTGGAAAATTAGTGGTTAATATAAAAGAAAGGGTAACCATCACGTCACGAATATGTCCCGTACTACACAATCAAAATAGACACGTGTCCACGTTTGGACCAAAAACAGGGACACGATGTCCACGCGCTCTACGAAGCAGATATATCGTTTGGTATTATTAAATGGTAACAACAGAAAATCGCTGTAGTCAGCAGCCAATAATACAAGGCAGTAAATTCGTAATTGTCCAAGTCATCAATTTAAAGCAATTCAAGATTTATCGTTAAAAAAAATTATACCTGCTCTTGCACAATTGTGTGCAGAGTGCGGTGTACATCCCTAGCCATGCCCTTGGCATCACCGCACACATAAATGTAAGCTCCCTGCGATATCGTGCTCCAAATATCTGAAGCCTGTCACAGTGAAGTGTTGCTGATTAAGAGAAGGCGTAAATAGTTAATTGGCAATTAAACGTATCTGAGAAAAAGTAGGTACCTTCTCCATCATTTTATGTTGCACATATTCTTTGGTGGGTCCCTCTCGGGAGAACGCAACAATTAGCTCGGAAAGTGCGCCAGTATTAACAAAATGATTCAACTCATCTTCATAGATGTAGTCCTTTAATAAAAAAATATTTTAAAAAATATTGGTAAGGCGATATAAAATATTAAACCCCTGCTAACACACATGCGCACACACCTAGGACTTAGCCACTCCTTAAGTCATAAATCTAGGATGGATCACTCACCATTTGACGATTCCTGCATCCAAAGAATAAAACGGAAGGGCCAAGTTCAGCTCCTCCTTCTTTCAGAGCTAATCTCTCCTGAAGTGCAAATGAAAAACAAAGATAAATAATTGGCACAGGCAGATGGATGGAAGAAAGAATTAGGAGACAAATATCAAGTCTTTGGTTAAAACCTGCAAGAAACCCCTGAAAGGAGCCAATCCAGTACCAGGACCAATCATGATTATAGGAACGTTATTATCAGCTGGGAGTTTAAAATTGGACTGCCTAACAAAGATAGGACCCCAACTGCAGTCATGACTTTTCTCCAGTGGCACAGAATTCTGGACATCAAACCAAATGATCAGTTTTGTTTTCAAATGGAGGCATAAGCAGTTTAGTTTACTCACTGAAAAAGCCCATAGAAGACTTAAGATGTCTAAATAACCAGATATTGTCATCAAAAGCAGCCAGATATTGACAGTAAAAATAATATTCAACCATACCAAATTCAAGTTGATATTCGTACTTTAAGCCAATCTTTTTAACACAATTATGCATTGCCGATCTTAAATAGTTTAAGTAACCATAATCTAGGAAACAATCATAATTACCTTCATCCATGTTGAACACACTCCTTTGTGAATCCTTCCAGTGGGCATTTTATCATAAACTAATGCACAGGTAACATGAATTCTGTTTGGTGCCATTCTGTCAACAATTACAGCAAACAGCCTAACAGTAAGTACAACATAAACATATTTGATATACAAACTCTGTAAGAAGTAAAAAAATCACATAGAAAAAATTCCAGTTTTGAGATCATTATGGACATGCTAAGATTTAGACTCTATTGAAACTTTGGAGTTAATTGGGTTGGCTAAGAACTATGTTGGTATGACTTTGGAAATCAGAACACCCCAGCTATTGCAAAATTGGTTGCCAAATTTTGCTGACAAGTATGCAATGATTTTTCTCTTACTGCATGGCTAAGACAAGTAATAAAGATTTATAAGGCTTCCACAACTTGGTATTCATTTACTAGTATCTCCCTAGTCACTACATGCTCACACAATACCACATGTAAAAACAATAATGCACAAGCAAAAAACAGAAGTATACCTTGGAGATGATGAGATTGAATAATATCTTGGCTGCAGGCGAGGAGCAACAGCTGCAAAAAAGACACCAATTGGAGGTCTGGCTGATGGAAATTCAGTCATGACCTCAAGGAGACTTCTCTGAGAGGTAATCACCCACTCTGAATATTCATCCTGCAGAGGCAGACCAAAGTAGCATACAAATGAGAAACATACGGACAAAAATTTAATTTAAGTTCCCGTGGTATATAATATAAAATATTACAACCTTTCCAGCAGGTGAGGCAAGATGTCTTAGTCGATTGGCTTCAGATGGATTAGATGCATGAGCAGCTAAAGCAAGCAAGGCAGACTGGAAAATATGTTAAAATAATTATTAATTGTTAACATAAATGGATATAGGATTATAGTTAGAAACTGAGGCTGCATCAAACTCAAAACAGGCACCTTTTTGGGTGAACTCAAAACATCCGCATATCGTGCAAGTGCTGTTCTTAAAGTACAGGGTGGGAATGGAGGTGGCAACGAGCTTCCACTAAGTGGTTTCCCATCTTCATCATCAGTGTGGATTGAGAAATAGGTATCTGGTGACAAACCTAATAACCTTACTGCCTCTTCCACAGTTTCAGACAAATTCTCACAGTAAACACCAACATGGTCCCCTGTTTCATATCTGTGAAATAAAACAGCAATAAGAACAAGGAAATTGTACGAACATTATATAGACAAGTGTATTTCTACATCTATATTTCCACAAGCAGATACTTACACAACTCCAGAGCCTGAAATGTCAAATTCTAGATGAGTGCAAGAACGATCTGATGCAGGAGTATGAAGCTCCTTTCGCACAGCCACATTTGCCCTACATAGGTAGCAAGTATTCATGTCAGATTACAGTATGGCCCAATTCATTTGCAAATGAATAACCTATTCTAATGTACCTGACTGGATGTTGAGCATCCACAATGGCATGACCATTTACATTATGCCACTTCTTTTCGTCAAAAGCTGCATCTAATGGATCATGAACCACAACCCGGTACTCCAAGACGGCAGCAGTATAAGGTGTAGACACAGTTGTATCATCCTCATCTCTAAGCAATTGATCCAATGCTGGCCACAGTTCTTCTTTCCTGAAATAACAGTCATCATAGTAAGGGAAGGAGAAACAGCTTGCAACCTCAGCATCAAAATACAGTCCTACACTCCTGCTCCAACATATTCAATTCAACTTAAATATTTCAATACCATGCAGTAAAGTCATCCTCAATGCATTGATCATCATCTCCTAGACCCACTGGCACAAGACGCTTCCCCCCTGCAATTGCACAAGATAGGTCAGATTAGAATCATTGTGAGAATCTATCAAAGTGGGAATTTTTTTTAAAAAATAAATAAATTAAATCATGTGCATTTATAATCTTAATAGAATATGGAGAATCAAAAAAAGGTTACTGGCAAGTAACAAGCAACAAAAATTAATTACTTGCGGAATTATTATTAAGTATGGAGATTGGGATCTCATGTGAGCATCTTGTGAAGGAAAAAAAAAAATAGACAGAAAAAAGTTGTGTTAGGATTGCCTTTGTGGGGCCCTATCGAGGATTCTAATTGTGACTAAACCCTTTGCGTCTGAATCTCTCTTCAAAAAATTACCTGTCAGCGTGATCCTCGTGTGAGATCCAGATCCGGAAAATTGAAATAATTTTTCCCTAGAAGGCTAGCAATAGGGAAAGAAGAGAAGTTTCCCACGCATATACTTAACTATCAAGACTTTCAGCCTTCGGTACATGTATTACAGATTCAATCAACGCTCAGCATTATACATAACATAAAAGTGACAAAAATCAAAGTAATGCACAGAAGTGAAAGATACCAGTTGGTAAAAAAAATGTGTAATTTTAAAGACTTTTCTATTATTTATAATGTTGATTCCCTGCAAGCCTAATGTCAGAGCAATTATGATTGTCCAATCTAAATTTAAATCTACCAATTGGACCAAGAGGGCTACCTTGCTCAGCAAGTATCTCATCCACAACCTTTGCCACCTGCATCAATTGACATAGGCATAAGATACACACAGCATAAAGCAGCTAGCAACTCCATGATTAAGTCAAAGCATAGAAAGCCACAAAAATGTAAGAATTCAATGTGAACCTTGTTAAAATGCTCGTACTGTCTGTTCCCAAGGCCAAAAACACCGTACTGAAGATGCTGAAGCCATCCTTCTCCTCTCTCATTCCCCTAAAATCACAATCCCACACAAATTCAACAAATAATACAATAACTTCACTCTCAATATCAACGCCACATGCGCCAGAGACAAACTTACCTCTTTAAACCATTTATAAAATCTAGCCGCATTATCAGTTGGCTCACCATCACCATATCTGCATCCACCCCACAACAGATTAAAATTTGAAATCCCTAAAAATATTTTAAACACACACATACAAAGACGAATAGAAACAAACCAAAAATAGAATAAAATAAGAAGGGGCAGAGACGGAAAACACTTACGTAGCTAAAAAGAAAAGAACGAGCGTCTCCTTTTTCATCCTTTCCTCGTATTCATCGTCATCAGCTGCATAATCATCCTGCTCGCAAAATCCGGAAGCTCAATCGCAAAATCTACGCAACAAACAAGCCAACAACCAGAGAAAAACGGTTACAGTAACATTACCAGATCGATTACTCGAAACGTGGCCTTGTCGTATCGCGCTTTAGCCTCTTCAGCTATCGCCTGTTCAATTCAAGTAAGAGGTCGGTTCCAGAACGCAGAGAGGGAATTAATTTTTTGGCTTGCTAGACTGAATACCTTAGCGAATCCTTCGGCGGTACCGGTTTGAGTGCCGAAGAAGATGGTGACCTTTTTGGTGCCGTCGTCGACCTCAACTTCAGGAAGCTTCTCGACGAAGCGTTTGGGAGGCTCGAGAGGCTTGGACTTGGGAGAGGTGGATCTACGCCAGACGAAAACGACGACACATCCGATGAGAACGGCGACGGAGGTGGTTAAGAACATGAGGAATTGACGGTTTTCGAGTAAGAGTGATGCGGCGGCGTCGGAGGAGACGTTGGAGGGATCAAAATTGCCTTTGATGATGGCAGACATGAGATCGAGAGGGGAAATCTTGATGGAGGTTGATTCTTGCATGATGGATAGGAGAGGAATTGAATGAAGAAAGAGTCTCTCTTCTGGGAAGTTGGTGGGCACAATGCGAAGTAGTTGGGAGTAGAGAGAGACTCTGAAGAAGGAAATGCGCTGGGAGAGGAAGTTATATTGTTGGGAGGGAAACAATGCTTCACTGAACCAACGCCCACCAACCCAGACCGGTCAAATCCACCTACCACCCCTCCTTAACCCTGGTTAATCTTTCCTTTTTCTTTTCTTTTTTTTTTTAACTCCCAATTTAATGATGTATTGTATTAAAATTATGAAAAATTAAATATATTTTTTTAGTAAAATTTTGATTCTAATTTTTAAATAATTTTTACTTTTAGTTTAATAAAATATTATTTTAAATTTTTTAACTGACGTAATTTGACTAAAAATTTACGGTTAATAGTATTTTAATAATAAATCAGCAATAAAAAAATTATAAGAAAGCATAAATACAAAAATAAAATAAAAAATCATTAAAATATATTTAAATGGAAAAATTATTATTAACAATTTTTTGAACTTAATTAAAAGGATTAAGATTAACATTTTTCCCCTATTTTTCTCGTAACCATATAATTCCATATCTATTGTTTTGAATTAAGTAAGGTCATATACTAAGTACTGTTTGTTAAATGTTTTAATTATAATATGTCTACAATTTTTATTTATTAAATAAAATATTAGTTAAAAAATTTAAAATGGTTTTTTTACCATGTTATTTTTAGTAAAAAATATTTTTTTATTGTTTAAAATTGTGAATAAAAATTAAACAAAATAAATAATGACTACTTTTATTTTATATATATACATATGTATATATATTATAAAATAGTAAAAATATTATTGAAAAATATGTGAAAGAATATAACATAGCTCGTAATTAAAATAAAATTTACTATTAATTTCTGTCGACATGTTGCCACTACATAGGAACTGAAATTTTTATTTTATTTTTGCGTGATCGCCGTGATATCTGTCTGAAACTCCTTTCAACATTGGTTTTGTGAAACTTGGTCTCCCAAATACGACCTCAGTTCAATTTCTTGTCAGTTTACCTTACCGCGTGTTATTTCTTGAAAAGGGAAATCAACACTCAGGACATATATGGATTCTCCGATCAATAATTTGTAATTCAAATTTTATATACGCTAATAAACATATTGTATATTATTAAAAAAAAGTAACATTACTTTTTAATAATATATATGCATAAAAAATTATCCAATCTCAAAAACATTAATATAAATCGTTGTATAATCATCTTTAAATAAATAAATAAATAACTTGCTTGCATATATTAAATTTTTATCTATTCCCTCGGAATAATCTTCTTATATGTATTGGAATTAATTTTTTAAAAGTAGATGAAGTTATTCTTACTATCTCTTCTTTGGGGACTTAAAAAAAATAATGTTTAAGCCCAATTAAATATTAAGTTGGTCCGTTTTATTTGATAAAAATACATTTTATTATTATTATTATTATTATTATTATTATTATTATTATGTTTTTTTTTAATTCAATTTAACCTTACATTAATTGATTATATGTGTTATAAAGTTTAATTTTTATTTTTATTTTTACGTGTTCTCGTTGTGTCAATGTGTTTTTTACATATATTATCAAACAACACAGTCAATACAATTTTTGGAGAAATAATAAATTTTAGATGTAATATATAAACATTAATAATGTCTTTGTTTATCTAAAGTTAAAAATTGTTGATTATTTATATAATAAAAACTGACGTTAAAGATTAACATATGTTATTAAAATAAATATATATATTGAAAAAATAGTACTAAAAATGTGTAAAATTCATCTGAATTTTGTTCTTAAAACATCACAACAATTATCTGGCAACTGTGTGAAGTTAGTTTGATATTTATACCTATAATAATAATAATAATAATCATGATGTGTAATAAAATTGAACTCCTGTAATTAAATAAAAAAATTTCTATGAGATACAGTTTTCTCTATTAAGTGAAGGAACTTATAAAAGAATGGGCAATTAATTATAATTATAGGTTAATTTTATTTTTTATTTGTATATATTGTACCAATTTAATATTTTAAAATTAAAATTAGTATTTTTATTTTAATTCATTTTATCACGTAACTTTTAAAAGTGTATCAAATTCTGATTTTTTTTATTAAAAATGTTCATTTTATTTTTTTACCACATATATTATTTGTATATTGTTTATCTTATACATGATATATTAAATTTATGTATTATTTGTCTTCTTTCTCCTTTTATCCTTTTTACTGTTTTTCAAAACCTCACGTTAAAAATGACATTATTGACTCTCAACGAGGGGGAGAAGGAGTGACATCATTGAAATCTTCCATTTTTATTGATGAATTCTCCTTTACTCAATAACTTATTGTCAACCTCATTAATTGTGAACTTACTCTAATTATTTACGAAATTTTTATTTTTGATTGTTATACCTCATTTGGAAACCTAGGAGCTGTGTTCTTAAATCGTCCTAACAAACTTACTTGCATATCAACGATTACTCGTATTCACCCTTCCCAATTATGTCAATAAACCATTTGGCTTGAAGTCACTAGTAAGGCAGTGATAACAGTGTTGCTTCTATTTGAGTAATGAAAGTGTCATCCTCCACGGTCTAAAATATGAAAAGAAAGAATAAAGAAAATTTTAAATTTATATTATTTATACAATAAAATTAAATTTTTGTTTAAAAGTTGGAGGAAAATATTAATTTAATTTATTTTAAATAAAATAAGATTTATTATTATTAAAAAATGAAGTGATTTTAATATGTTTTTTAGTTTTCAACACGCTGTATCTGTATTAATAAGAATAATAAATTTGGTTATAACAAATTATATTCAGGTAAAATTGACTAATTTTAGATACTTTATTTATCTGATTAAATTAATTTTTAGTCAATATAAAGAGAAATAATGACTAGATGGAGAAATATTTTTAGAGAAAACAATTCAGTTCTAGCCCGGCATGGAGGAAATTATTTGAATTAAATTCCTTATATAATGTATGAAATAATAATAACAATAATAATAATTGATTGAACGAATGAAGTGTGCTTTGACTTTGACATCTACATGAATCTCATTCATTCAAATTTTTATTATGAATTAAATGAATATCTTAAAATAAATTTTAATGAAATCCAACGGTTGGATCTGCACATCCTGCAAAGAAGATAAAATAATTTCCCACGTGTCTTGCGCTTCCAGCCTCTCTTTCCTTTTTACCAAATTATTTATTGCTTGGTGCAGTGCAATCAACGATTCAACCCCCGAAGAATTTACCAAAAATAATGCATAGTCAATCAAGTGCACACACTCTAAAATAAGCAAGATATAAAAAGTTAACGTTAACTTCTACGACGAATTCAAATTCATACAAAGTGAGCATAAAACTTGGTATATAACAAAATTTAAAAATAATATAAATGATACCAATTCAATCAATAACAAGTTGTTATACATAAATAACATTTATTGATATTTAATTAAATAGAAAATAATTTTTACCACATAAAAGAGTGGGGATCTCATTGTTTAAAAATATACAGCGTGTTAAAAAATTATTTCTATTTTTATAAAACTAATTGCAATTTGCAGTTATTAATATATCTTTTTAAAAATATTTAAGCTAAATTAATATATTGATAGTTTAGTCCTTTTTTTATTTTTAACTTTTTTCTGTTGTTTCATTTAATTAAAAAAGTGTTTAAATTAAAATCATTGATTCAAGTATGTAAGATTAGTATTTTAATTTTTTAAAAATATGTAACATAACTACATCAAATTGAATTTAAACTTGATATCACATGATAAATTGACACAGCACTTTGATAATAATTTACTTAAAGCATTTGTATTAAATTAAACAATCAAATAATAGCAAAAAAAAAAGTCAAAGAATCAAAATAATATTAAAAAAAGAAAAAAAACCAATATTTGGTTAAATTAACAATACACGAATTTAGTGGAACGTTTAATATCTTAGTCGTCGTCTGTGCTTATATCATGTCATTGCACCGCATACGTGTGCGAGTGCGCATCCATTCATATTCTACATTTTTTGATTGACGGGTTTTTCTTGTGATATTAACTTTGCCTATAGGTTAACGAAATACCCCGTCGCCGTCTTTCCTCTTGAAGACGATGACAATGTGTTTGGTGGGACTCTTATTATATTAAACAAATATTATATGATTGTATTAAAATTTTAATTTTTATTAAATAATGAATTATCATAATTTATTATAACATGTTAACCACGCTTATAAAAAATATATTTTAAATCTATCTATATTACAATAATTAATAATAGGGACATTTAATTTCGCTTGGTATTTAGCACGCAAAATAAATGAAATTAAATTTATTTGTTCCCTCCTTGTTATTTAAACGATCTTAATTATTGATTAAGTTTGTAAATTGCTTTGAGATCTTTGATTACAGTATGAAAATCAATATTTTTTCGAAATTTAATAACTGCATTTTCCTTAGTTAATTTTATGCATGTTTGAATTTTTTAATCTTAAATATGATAAGATTCTTTCTGCTTAACGACGGGAGAATAGCCTGGCTGCATAGTCGACAAAATCAAGATTCTTTATGTAGGAAATATTATTTGACTTACTCCCACGTGGTTATTCACTAATTAATTTTTTAATACAGTTCCATTCATAAAACAAATTCACAGATGGGTACTTGAAGAACCACTGGGCAATGGGCATGGCTTCATAGTCGACAAAATCATGCGCCATTGTTGATAATATTGTACGGTCGGGTTCCATAAGCCACAGTGCTTTTTGTCTCTGGGCGTCAAACGCATGAGCAAGCAGTGAAATACCAGGATTTTACAATAGCCAATAGATTTATATCTTAAAAATATTTAAAAACAAAGTTTAAATAAAATAATTATAACTTTAGTATATTATTTTAATTAATTTAAAATTTATTTGAGAGAAGCGGCAATTGGCAATTACCAGACAAAAGGTTTTGTATTTATGTGACCAAAGGCAATAATTGAATTTTTTGGGTTTATAGATCCTTAGAAGCTGCAAAAGCAGCAACTAGTTATAACGAAAACGACGTTCGGCCTCTTTGCGCCGTTGATTTAGCAACAATAAAAGAAAAT